GACCTTAGAACTTATATCTCGAGGTGGGTCGCGCATTTACGTTGTAGATGTCTATGGGCTCCAGTAACGACTTAACACCAGGTGGCCTGTGAGCTCGTCCACCACCCATCTAAGCAATAAAAAAAAAGAAAAAAAAACTTCACAATAAAAATAGTTAAATAGTTAAAAACTTGTTTATAAATCGTATTTACTAAAACTGTTACAAAGCAGACGTCACTTGACATAAATGGAAGCGTTTTATCAGTGGTTCTATTTGAATTCGATTCATAAAAATTTTTTAGTAGATACTTTCATGAAACAGTCAGATATCCCTTTATTAATTAATGCACACGACAAAACAGAACGCATTTCCAGATACTACATCCCAAAACCTACAAGAGTATTACATTTAAATTATAACACAACGAGGTCTAATCCACAACAAAATATTCAGTTTTCGATGATTTTTCAAACAATATTCTCAACAAATTTTAATGCGCTCTAACAATGACGATGTCCATATTATCGAATACTAAAGTACATAGATATAAAAAATAATAATGACATCCTTAAAACTAAAAAGAGCATTTTATATTCGGAAAGCAAAATTATGCACCCACATCAAACACTTAACTTAAATACGGTTGAACCTAGTTGAATTTATCTTAAAAACCGAAACATTAAAATGACTAGTATTTAGTAGAAATTACAGCAAAAATGTATAATGTTGAAACTTTTTTAATTGCTTCGGTATTTCAGTTTAACTCATTTAACTAATTATTATAAGGTTGTTATGCAAAATAACTGTGTGATCGTTGATACGGATTTTAAGACTACTGGAAATAAATGCCATAGATATCCGTGAAACATACTCAGAGTTATTTAGCGGGAATCGCGAGCAGTAGTGGATAGGTTGCTTGCTTAATAAGAATAGGAAATTTATCTTTAATTAAATTAAGAAAATACCTGTGCGGATGTTGTCAAACAATTTTGAAACGCTATTAGGAAATTTAGAAAAACCAATCATATTTTCCACATATTAATACACTGAGCTTAAAAATTACTCGATGAACACATCTTAAAGAATTGTGACGTAAAAATAAAGCTCTATACACAAGGCATCTTGTTTCGCGCACTTAATACTAGTTTATACAGAATGTTTTCAAATTAATTTATAACTATCGCGTCAGTTGAAGCGATTTTATTGTTTGTAACATAACCCATGACTCAAGCTAATGATATACAAATTAATATTTTAAATTATAGGGATGAGGGGCAGCAGTGGGAAAGCTAGCTGTCTCTCTCACACGCCCGCACCTTTACACTAGTGACGTCATTCATATACTCAACCTTGTTTGTTATGCAACAAATATTCCCACCACCAAATTAAAAAGGTGTTACTTTTTATTTAAAAAATGAGTCACAGTTGCTATTTATTTGTTACTTTCACATAAACAACATGGAATAATTTTTTAGAACTACTCATGAACGTTAACCTAATAGACTTTTAGTTTTGTTATTAGAATCTTTAAACTTATCATTTCTTTTGTTATTTCGTAGAATTCATAAGCTGAGAGGTAATATAACAAAGATATTGCTGCCAATTATTATACAACGAACAAATTTTTGGCAAATAAAATTTTGGTATCAAGAGAGCTAGTTGACAATACTAAAAAAGAAATACTGAATAAAATCAGGCATAAATCGACCAACTACACAAAAAAAACACCTATATTTACACAACAGATGCTTAGAACTAAACTAAAAACAACACGCTAAGCCAACGACTTATAGTCTAAAATTGTATTTATAAGTAAGTGTTGTCTTTTACCTTTGTCTTTTGAATATTGTAATGAATTTTTATTTTGACAGATCAAGTTTTTGAACGAAAGATAAACTTTACCAGACTTTAAAAAAAAAAAAGTTTTCTTCCATAAAAATTATCTTATTCTTTAAAAATATTCATTTCAATCGGCATTTTAATTTATAAATAAATGCAACTAAAGATATAGCGTATACATTGTAAGCAACCAGACATTACATTTATTTTTTTATATTGCCGCGTAAACTTTTACATACTGTGACGTAGTAAGTAAGCACTTATATAAACATGTAACGTTTAATTATGAGAGCAGTAATAAATACTACGAGTAGATTGAGCGCAATTTCATTACAAGTGACGTCATTGGGGGGCAAAACGTACGTCAAGCTAACCACAGATGATACAATAATTCACACACAACATATGCAATGCGATTGACGTTTAGTTTGGCGCGAAAAAAACTTATGAACATTAAATTTCATTACATCTTTAAAAATTACTACTACACAATTAATTATAGTTTTAATTTGTTTGTGAACCCTTATGTTTTTTTTGCATGTAATGTCCGGTTGCCTTGTTTTTGCAAAAATAAACTTTACGGTGCCTTATATAAAATGCTATTCTGAATACAGATTAAAAATCGATTTGCTTACGTGTGTATTCTCTCTGCTATTAAATTGACTTGGAAACGTATCGAACACCAAATTTTAGTGCTATACACACACTTCAATAAACGTTCAATTGCGTTATTAAAAATACTAGAAAAATGTCATGAATTACAAAAACAGTGCTGGCAGAAAATTTGAGAAAATCCTGCATTAACGGATTTACATTTAAAACGTTTCTTACAAATTCTAATTGAACAAGATGCATGAATTATCTTCGGTGAGAAATATTTCTTTGAGACTGTAAATATATTTAAAAAAAAAAAAATTATATTTACAAAACGGACGCGCAGTGATATTAGCTTGTCTAATAATAATTGTCTAATAATAATTAAATGCGTGTATTCGTTAAAATATAGGATTGTCACTGGCAACACTCCGCGAGAAATATGTCTTAGAGCTATTAATTTTTCAAATATATTATTTACTGAGATGTTTCTAGGGGATAGCACACAGTCTATTATCTTTTTATTACTGTCCATCGAAGCAATAACACGATCGATTGTGAAGTCACAAAAGTTCCGTTCGTGCTTAATTAACAACTATTGTATTACCAGTGACTAATCCCGTATTACGCGACTGATTTAAAGCAAACACCAAGCTTCACACGGTACAACAACAATTCTTACAGTCTACACGTGGCACCTGTAAAATGTTCATACATCTTCGACGTCACAATACGAGACTCACGTCAGAATTAGCATTGAAAAGAAAAAACCTTTAAGAACCACACCCTGTATAGTTAGTTACAAATATACTGAGTACGGAGTAACTATACTGAGATCTTAGAACTTATATCTTAAGGTGGGTGGCGCATTTACGTTGTAGATGTCTATGGGCCCCAGTAACCACTTAGCACCAGGTGGGCTATGAGCTCGTACACCCATCTAAGCAATAAAAAAAAACTTTGTTATTGACTATGCAAGAAGCGAAGAGATCGCGAAATAGAAACGAAAAACTAAAATAGTTTAACGCCGTGCTCTTGCTCATTATAGTTCTCGTGAATTCATTAATTTGTCATTTCGTTATATTTTCTCCCAAAGCAATCGAAAACAGGCGTTATATCTCAAGTGTACATTGTGGGCAGTTGTAGAACATTTTAATTATAGTATCGAATGTGATTTTGTGTTAGAAATTCCTCAAAAAATAAAACATCAGACTCGTTTGAGATCGATTCGAACACAGCCTGTATAAACCCAAAGGTCAACGACCTAGTCCAACTTTCTGTTCATCAGTCCATAGTATTGTCACCCTACACAAAAACCCTTGGCCTGCCAACTCCTAGTTTAATATTCGGGTAAATTTTTATTATTATTTTAATTTAATACCACCACCCTGTATATATTTTCATCTCAAAACAGGATAGCCGAAAGAATGGTTTTTTTAAGGGATTTTATGACCTGATAACTAAAACCTTTAGGTCAAGTCTTATAAATGAAATGAAGTTGATTAATATGAAACATGGCATGAAACAAGATGAAATGAGATGATATGGTATGAAATATAATCTCAGTAAAATGGTAGTCATTTATTGCGATTTTTTCAGTGGACTTTTTGGAGGATCCCGAGAAGTTACGTCCAGCGGCTTTGTTTCATTTTCCCATATTTGTGCACTTTCACAGATACTAAGCAATTAATAAACCACCGTTATTACACATTTAAATCTGAAGAAACACTAAATAGACAAAATAAATCAGATTACACAACTTCAATCCTCGCGTTCCCGCCAAAAAGTCCCCAAAGAATGATTGGTCGTTATGATATTTAGAGATACCTCATATTATTATGTCATTACGGACGGTGAAAATCACGTCGTGTAACATTCGTCATCTCAGAAAACGTAGAAACCGAGTGATATTTGAAATAACGTCGCCGTCAAACCAAAACCGGCTATGTGCGAAAACTGTATTTTGAATTAACGAGTAAAAACATTTTCGTATAAAATTTTATATGAAAGTGAATTTTTAAGAATCAAATGAAAGCTATAGATAAATATATTATTAAAGCTATAGACAGATAACGGTTTTTTTTTACGGTAGATAGATAGGGCTGTGAACTATACGAAAAGCGGTAGACAGCGGCTTGGCTTTGCCCCTGGCATTGCTGAAGTCCATGGGCGACGGTAACCACTCACCATCAGGTGGGCCGTATGCTCATCTGCCTACAAGGGCAATAAAAAAAAATTGTCAAAAAGTGCACATAGCAGATTTTTGTTTGACAACGACGATATATTCGAGAGCCTTCTGAACATTAACTGCGTAGTGTATTTGCACGGTGTAACGATAAAACATTTTATGTAAATATCTCTGATTAAATTCCAAATACAACTAGACGAACTGACGTGGATGCGATTAGGAAAACCAGTTCTTTAACGCAAAATCCTTGCTGTTAATTAATTATGTAATTTATGTTCTTAACGTCAACAGTGTGTTTAGTGCGAGTTTTTTAACGTTTTCGATAGCGTAAAAGTTAACCTAATTTTGTATGCAGTTTTCACAGCGCCCCTAGCGGCAAACGTACGCAAACGATCCCATTCCATACAAATATGAGTTAACTTTTACGCTATCGAGAACGTTACAAAACTCGCACTAGAGCACACTGAAGTCGGTTCCCAAAATGACTAATTAAATGCAGTTGTTAATTAAAAACTAAAAATCAATCGGTTCTCGGCTCACGCGCGTCGCGTCGTGCGCTGTTTACAGGTGCCACGCATCGTCGCATGCGAGTGACGTCATCATTCGACGATGACGTCACCGCGACCGTCGTCTCGCGAGCGCTCCGAGCCGACCTCCTGGGCGCGCGCCGTCCGCTCAATCTCTACGCTCGACGATTCGTCTTTGTCTCTGTTTTGAAAGAATTGTATTTAACATTATTATATATTAGTTACAGTACAGTAAATTTGTTGTCATGTCAACATGCACGTGGTCCTATAACTATATATTCATGAACACTGTTAAATTAGGAGTTATACATTAAAAACTGCCCCAAATCTCATTCGTATCACTGATTCGAAATTCAAATTTCTAATTTGTTTGCTATTTATCTAGTAATGCGTGTTGAAACTCGGCAATTTTATTTAATCTATGTATTAATACGTGAAGCAAAAGCTTTGTACCCCTTTTTACGAAACTTTGCACTGACGGAGGATTATGAAATTCTTTCTTATTCCCACACTTATAGAGAATATTACGTCACAACAGTACATACTCGATAGCCGGCCTTCGTCAAAACGATTTTCGTGCTCTCGATCATGAGTATAAGTTTTAAATTTCCAGAACGTGACGATTCGATTGCGAAAGGGAAGTAAGTGAATTAATTCGTGCTGTTGAAATTAATTCTTTTTACGGCCGGTAGGGGCGCTGTTTAAATCCCATACATTTTTTCTCGACAGCGATACGAATACATTTTCGATAGTCATTCGTGCTCTGTTCACGGAGCCTTCGTGCGCTCCCGTATATGAGACTTGAGACGTCGACCTCACGTGTACACGGGTCGTGCGACCTGAGCCTGACCTTACCACATTTAATTTGCAGGTTTATACTCACGGCTGGTGCGGCGGTGCTGACAGTGACAATGACTGCGGCCGACGCAGCCACGCGCTTCGCTCGTCCTGTTCGCAAGACAAGAAAAATTAAAATATTTCTCTCGATTACAAAATTTGAGGATGTCGCTTTCGTGTCTATGGGCCACAGCTGCCGCATAATGTTAGGTGGGCCGTCAGCTCGTCTGATCTTCCGACACACAAATGATAATACGTAGTAATAAGTTTCTCAATTTCGAGAAGACAATATTGTGGTGTGAAATAATATTTGGGTTAAGCAACATTTATCTCTGTAATGAAATGATAGTTTTATTTGGTGTTACCTGGTGTTAAGTGGTTACTGGAGTCCATAGACATCTACAACGTAAATGCCGCTACCCACCTGAGATATGAGTTCTGAGGTCTCAGTATAGTTACAACGGCTGCCCTACTCTTCAAACCGAAACGCATTACTGCTTCACGGCAGAAATAGGCAGGGTGATGGTGCCTAACCGCGCGGACTCACAAGACGTCCTACCACCACTAATAAGAATTAAGTTACTTCAATTCAATAAACATGTAAAGTGATAATCGAAATGCTTTAGGACTGATAACAATGTGTGTGTGTGTGTGTGTGTGTGCGTTCGTCGGCGTGCGTGCGTGGGTGTGTACGTCCACACACCTGCGGCGTGAGGACGGCAGTGACGTCAGTCTGCGTGGCGACGGGCGCGGCGGGGGGCGGGGCGGGGGCCGCGGCGCGGGCGGCGGGGGTCACGGCGCGCAGCACCTCGCGCATGCAACTCTGCAACTCCACCACCTGCAAGAGCAACATAAAAAAAATTTAATGAATTTTATGACCTGGTAACTAAGACCTTTAGGTCAAGTCTTATTTTAATTTTAACGAAAACTTTTTTATATAAAAAATGATATTATGAAATGAAATGAAAGCAGATGGAATGATATAGAATGAAATATAATCTCAGTTAAAAGGTGGTCATTTACTGAGACTTTTTGGAGGATCCCGAGAAGTTATGTTTAGCGGGTTTGTTTCATTTTCCCATGTTTGTGCACTTTCACAGATACTAAACAGTTAATAAAACACCGTTATTACACATTTAAACCTGAAGGAACACTAAATAGACAAGATAAAACAAATCACCCAACTTCACTCCTCGCGTTCCCGCCAAAAAGTCCCCTGTACAATAAGTTAATTCGTAGTCCGCCCGGTAGTGTAGTAACCCTCAGAAGTTTTTGTTCACTCGGCGTTTATGTTCCATTCACTCACTCGTTCGTTCATTCGATCATCTCGCCTGGCACCAACAGTTTAGTGTGAGTTTTTTAACGTTCTCGATAGCGTAAAACTTAACTCAAATTTATTTATAACTTTTACGCTATCGAGAACGTTAAAAACTCCCACTGAGCACACAGTAGTGGCCAGAAAGCCTATGGCGATCTTTAATTTAATAAAACTTACCTGCTCCTGTAGGTTGATACATCTCTCTGACAACTGCCGCAGTACATCCGTGTTCTCATCGCAATCTGACATGTTCTTGTGTTTGCCATCTACAAAAAAAAGACACCAATAAACATTTTCCATTTTCATTGATTGAAAAATTATTTCGAGGATATTAATTTTACGGTAGGCAGCGGCTTGGCTCTGCCCCTGGCATTGCTGAAGTCCATGGGCGACGGTAACCACTCACCATCAGGTGGGCCGTATGCTCGTCTGCCTAAAAGGGCAAAAAAAAAAGAATAGCTTAGCTGATAACAGAAAACTGATTTTTAATCAAATAAGTTTGATTTTTCTTTGTTCTAAATTACTTCATCATCATTGGCTTTATTCAAACAGATACTTTAGCCTATACATTTATATATTCTGTACACGTCTCAAATGTAATTAAATTGTAAATTGATTAATTGTAAATATTTAATTTAACTTTTTAAATTGGTGTAAAATTTTTGAAATATTTTAATTAGTGCCCACAAAAAAAGTAAAAAACGTCTCAAGAAGATTAAATCATATCGTGTAAAACATACGTATTATTGCGAATTTTCTAAATGTATGTACTTTTTTTTTTATTGCATAGAGGTGTGGACGAGCTCACAGTCCACCTGGTGTAAAGTGGTTACTGGAGCCCATAGACATCTACAACGTAAATGCGCCACCCACCTTGAGATATAAGTTCTAAGGTCTCAGTACAGTTACAACGGTTGCCCCGCCCTTCAAACCAAAACGCATTACTGCTTCACGGCAGAAATAGGCGTCTCACGATGTCACTACAATGGTCACACGGCTCACCTAAAGCTTGTAAAGTGGAGACCTTCTTCCAAAGGGCGTTAATAGCTTGCATCTGTAGCTGCTGTATCTTCCTTTCGCTTTCCAGGGCCGCTTTCGTGGCTTCCATATCGCAGGTTAGTCTTCTAAATAACAGAAAGAAAAAAAAACATATTTATCTTTGGTTCATACAGTGGCTTTAAATGACCAATGTTATTGATCTTGACACACACGGACAAAATGACTGTCTGACAGTAACAGATTACAATGAATCCTTAAAGCGAATATAATAATAATAATAATATATTTATTCAAGCCTCTTAAAATACAAACACGTACAAGAATTCTTAACGCTAGTATAATAATATAGATGGCTTTTTGAGGTATACAATAACAATATTCCCTGATTTTTATGCTAGGAAAACCTGTGTTACAAAAGTCAGTGGTTCAGTGCTAGGTCACCAGGTAAGTAAGTTAACTAGGACTAACTTAATATGACTAAGACACGAAGTTAAAGTCTCAATAGTGCTGTATGCTGGCTGTACCACTCAAGCTGGAGCACATGGTAGCTTCACGGCAGAAATAGGCAGAATAGGTAGGTGCGGACTCCACAGTACGCCCGACCAATCTTCGAAATGACAACTGAACTATAATCTAGTTAGACCTTCCGTCTTGCTTTTTTTTCCTATATAATCTGATAGCCTTGAGAAGCTATTTCAGTGTAACCTTAACTAGTAGGTGAGCTCACGGGGCTCAAACCTGACGACGATGCTAGCACGAACCCTAGCAAGAGCCGTGCTTCGCAGAATCTACCACCGGATCGGAAACGCGACCCACTGAGAAGATCCGGCCAGAAACTCAGTGGGCTGTGTCTGAGGGTTAATTTACTCGTCGAGCCTTTCGTCGCGAGCGACGGGTTCGACGAGAACGACGACCGGTGCTTGAGGTACCTAAAAGCACCGTTAGTGGATCGGGAGGATCCGTAATGAAGTGTTTGGAGCGACGTCGACTGCTTTCCATTCTGTCCGCAGGATCGGGACTGGCGTCTTGCATTGACTAGTAAAACCCCTAATAATACGCCTTCAGTCGCCTGATAAGTAAGGTATACGAACTGTATGTGCTGCCTGGCCCTCGCCGCTTGGATCGCATGAAGGATCCTGAGAGTGTCCTTGTTAAGGTTCCTGCTCCGGTATCCTCGCCACATCTTCTGTATGGTGACCGCAGCCATCGACTCCACGCTCATCTTCTTCTGTCTCCGCTGATTCGATGCCAGCTTGATAATCTCCAGTTTGTCTTGCTCTATGACGTCACTGTTCACTCCGTTCATTTTGTCAGAGTTTTTCACGTCCAGCTTAGTCAAGCTGCCCTTTCGTTCGACTTTGGACCTTAACTTCGGCGAGGAAGTGGCGCTTTTGGTTAATTTCGGCGAGCCTCTCGAGTTCCTTGTCAGCTTGGGCCGGTCCTCCTGTGCGCTGCTGTTGCTGGAGTGAGAGGAGGCGCTGTTCGCAGAGTTGTGCTGTTTGGGTATCGTCTTTTGTATGTCGTAGATGGGGTCCTGGTAGTCTGGACTCATGAGGGATTCCGGTACGGGAACCATTTTAGATGCAGCCTCCAGTGACTGGTTAACCGGTTTCGGTGTTGGGGGTTGTTCTGTAATAGATTTTTGATTAGATTAGACAAAAGTAGCCAGGCCCTAGCCTAAGGGGCTATTCTAGCTACGCCCGGCCGGGTAGGTGCATTCTCGAGTTGAACCTGAGAGAGTTTGTTAGCACTAGCCCTAGCAAGAGCAGTGTTTGGGAGAATTTACCACCAGATCGGAATCGCGACCCACTGAGAAGATCCGGCGAGAAACTCAGCGGGCTGTGTCTATGGGTTATTTCTTTTTTTTTATTGCTTAGATGGGTGGACGAGCTCACAGCCCACCTGGTGTTAAGTGGTTACTGGAGCCCATAGACATCTACAACGTAAATACGCCACCCACCTTGAGATATAAGTTCTAAGGTATCAGTATAGTTACAACGGCTGCCCCACCCTTCAAACCGAAACGCATTACTGCTTCACGGTAGAAATAGGCAGAGTGGTGGTACCCATCCGCACGGACTCACAAGAGGTCCTACCACTAGTAAAACTCCAATAAATCTTCCACTCCGGCCGGATTTCGAATTGGAAATAAAGGGAAATGACCACAAAGCCAACGACACGATCCTAACAAACTCACCTAACGTCTTCTCTTTGACTGGTCCGTTCTTCTCGAGCGCATACATCAGACCAGTGGAGTCGAAGCTCTGGCTCATGGAGGAGAGGCCTGGCAGGTCGCCAGTGTAAGATGAGCTCATGTTCGAAGGGGACCCGTTCCTAGATAAAGCCGCGTGATAGCTCGAGCTTAGGCGGTCCGGCGAACGGCCCACGTACCTCGAAGTTATGCGAGCTGTGTTCGACACAACAACTTTTTAAATACTGTCGAATATGGCAGTTGACTGAGCGTGGTTACTGAGTTTCAAACTGAGTTTTTTCATGGGCCACCAGACGGGCTCGGCTGGATCGCATAGCAGCGGACTGATAGACTGAGTAATAAAGGCACTGACTTCTTCTGAACACTTGTATTTCGTCTGAATTAGTACAATTTACATTTAATTATACTGAAGACGCGACCGTTCGCGTGAGAGGCGCTTGAACAGAGAGTACAGAGTAATGAATGACAAAAAACTGAACATTAACATAGATTATTACGGCTTCGTAATGATTTTATACAGATAAACAATTTTCTTTTTAAAGAGTAATAATTACTTGTGAATTTGCATGAACAAATACTGGTGATCTTTCTTGACTGTCGAAGCCCCGTGACGTCACGACGTGGAGGCACCGCCATCTTGAAGCGTGTCAAAGTTTCTCTCGTAACCTATCTATGACCTTAGTTTTTTTTTTCTTAGATGGGTGGATGAGCTCACAGCCCACCTGGCGTTAAGTGGTTACTGGAGCCCATAGACAACTACAACATAAATGCCGCCACTCACCTTGAGATATGAGTTCTAAGGTCTCAAAACGCATTACTGCTTCACGGCGGAAATAGGCGGGGCGGTGGTACCTACCCGCGCGGACTCACGCGAGGTCCTACCACAAGACTCAAATAAATACTCCTGCAACGTACATTGCATCCTCGGCGATTGGAGCTTCGGCCTCGGCGACCCGTGGCTTTGATCCTTGAGTTGCTGCTGGTGGTGCTGTGCCTACAGTGACAACGGACCGCGATCAAATAACTGGTATAAGGCAGCCAGCATTGAACACAAGATGTTTAGATGCTTGAATCACGGTAACGACAACTTCAAGATGAGCTCGCATCTATCGACGGCGAAATTGGAATTGTCGTAAATTGAAATATCAAATTCAAATTCAAATTCAAAATCATTTATTTCAACTTAGATGTCAGTATGACACACTTGTTGAATGTCAAAATACAAATAACAATGTTAACTCTACTACCGGTTCCAAAAAAAGTCCTGAGAAGAACCGGCGAAACAAACTCAGCGGGCTTTTTTTTTTTGTTTTTTCTCAAATATTTTGTTTTTTTTTAAATAAATATAAACATTTACAATAAAGGAAAAAACAAGTCAAAAAAATACAATTAAAAAATAATAATAATAATAATGAAAAATGAAAAGGCCAGGAGCGAGCGCCTCATTCTCACGTAGTGCCATCTAGTAAATAACCCAACTTTACACCAATTTCTTATATATAGACTGGGTGTTGGGAGACCGCTTCCGAAAACGAAGACAGATGATAGTACTAATGAGACCTTTGACGATGGGACGGAAAAAAATATATACAATGCAAACGTTACGACATTTTCGCTTTCTTCTTTATAAACAAGTTCGGAACAGCAACATTCGGATCGTCGGTCCACCGAGCAATATCAAACACTCCGTGAAAGATATTCTCTTAATCGTTTATTGTCAAAAAATCAATATGCATTTACATACACAGTACATTATAATTGAAGAATATTTGAAAAAAAAAAAAAAAAAAACAATTTTTTTTTTTATTGCCTTGATGAGTGGACGAGCTCACAGCCCACCTGGTGTTAAGTGGTTACTGGAGCCCATAGACATTTACAACGTAAATGCGCCACCCACCTTGAGATACAAGTTCTAAGGTCTCAAGTACACTTACAACGGCTGTCCCACCCTTCAAACCGAAACGCATTACTGCTTCACGGCAGAAATAGGCAGGGCGGTGGTACCTACGCGTGCGGATTCACATGAGGTCCTACCACCAGTAATTACACAAATTATAATTTAGTAATTTTAAAAATAATTAATTTACCAAGTTTTATTATAACATTAAATGCTCTCTTACCTTGCTTAGAATAAGTCTCAGTTTCCTTTGGTCTTCCGACTCCAGTGCGTCTGCGGTGAGGGGACACGTGGAAGCCAAATACTCGCACAGCTCCTGATGCTGCCCGGCGTGGTAATGTCGACCCTTGCCCTGACTGTACAGCCACTCCGCTTTTAAACTAAAAAATACGTGGAGACGATGAATAATTAAAATAATTTTTATTTGAAAAATAAGCGGGATAATTCACAAATCCTCTCTACGGCTTTTCAAACAATAAACAAGTGGTGGTAGGACCTCTTGTGAGCCCGCACGGGTAGTTACCACCACCCTGCCTATTTCTGCCGTGAAGCAGTAATGCGTTTCGGTTTGAAGGGTGGGGCAGCCGTTGTAACTGTACTTGAGACCGTCGAACTTATATCTCAAGGTGGGTGGCGCATTTACGCTGTAGATGTCTATGGGCTCCAGTAACCACTTAACACAAGGTGGGCTGTGAGTTCGTCCACCCATCTAAGCAATAAAAAAAAAGATTAAATCTGTGCCTATGTGCCAAGCAGATCAAATCTGACTAGTAATCTTCTTAGCCACTCTTATCCGGAATGTACGGAAGGTGAGTGGCAGCACTTAAGTTGTCCATGGACTCGGATAACCATATAACATCAGGTGGGCCGTGAACTCGTTCACCGGTCTATGCAATAAAAAAGATATCCGGCCTTTTAAAAAGATCCAGTTTACAGCCCTCACGCTGTTAAGTAGGACATCTCACGAACATGAACATTACCTATCTGGAGACACGAACTTCAAGTTTTAATTAAATCTAATTAAATTTAACATAGTGAATTTAAAACAACTTTTACGATTTAATCTCTCGGTTATTATCTGCGATGTCTGCGACTACTTTACTATTATAATAAAATACTATTATTATAATAAATAAACAAATTAGCACAATATTGGAATGTCATCGAATAAACAAGCACCGAGCGAACCGTCGATAGATCGACTTTTTTTTTTTATTGCTTAGATGGATGGACGAGCTCACAGCCCACCTGATGTTAAGTGGTTACTGGAGCCCATAGACATCTACAACGTAAATGCGTCACCCACCTTGAGATATAAGTTGTAAGGTCTCAGTATAGTTACAACGGCTGCCCCACCCTTCAAACCGAAACGCATTACTGCTTCACGGCAGAAATAGGCAGGGCGGTGGTACCTATCCGCACGGAGTCATAACAGGTCCTAACACCAGTAAAATTCTCTAATAATCAGTATAAAGTGTCGAGCGTCGGAATACTGACTATTTCCGCAGTTTGATTATTAGTTATAGGCATCGACCTGTACGGACGTGTCTTAGCGCGTATAACGTTTTTATTAAGCTAATAACATTTATAAATAATTATTTAAAATTAGTTTGCTGTGAATTTAGCATATTTTTTTTAAGTTAGTTTTTTATAAGACACTTTTTTAACAAAACAAATTTCTGTAAAATATTTGAAAATAATCTCAGCGTTAAAAGGATTAATCTTCCGTTATCATGTAAGCCGTGATTTATTGAAAATGAAAATATTAAAACCGAGATTGTGTAGTAGTAAAAGTAGTTTTAACTCACGGAGACTCATGGAAATATTAACGTTCCGCACTTACCTCTCAATGGCGCTAACGACAAATCCATCTATAGATTTGACGCTCATGATCCAATTAAGAATGAAGGGTCGATAATCAAAACCTCTGCGTTGATTTGTTAAAGCAATTATTGTGATACATCATTTTAGGTAAGATAGGTGGTAATTTTTATACGTATTTTTCGACTGAAACAATTCAAAAGTTCTACAGCGCATTCCGATTTGAGCATCTAATTACCAATTCGTATAATTTCGATAGCTTATTTCGGTAACCCTAAACTAAAATTTTCCTCTATTATGTATGCCAAATTTATAAGTACGTCACACTGGATAATACATAACATAACATATTTTACAGGGCCACTAACTTCAATCGGGAATCGAAACCGGGTGCCCTATATAATATAATATACCCTTGACACAACATAGTACCGTAGTGTGAATTATTAATCACAAGAACAATTTCGCGATTGTGATTACATTTACATATATACGTATAATGATATGGAGTATTCTAAAAATAGTTAATCAATAATAAAAGATTTAATTACGTTTTCTATACAATATAAAGAAAACAACATTTAAAGCCTTTTTTATTTTCCACAACTTATTTTACACAGTATTTTTGAATTGAATAAATGTGAACTCGTTTTTTTCTCAATGACAGAGAGAGTTCAGTCAAACTATATAAGAAAAATCATTTAAAAAAAAAACTAAAATGGTTTTATACAAAAATTACATAAAAAAGTTTTTTCTTTACATATATGTATATAATAGCCGTACTCGCCCGCTCCGCTGGGCATTTAGAATTAATATTATTAATAATTGTCATTATTAGAGTCCAACACTTATATAAATATTAGTCTATCCATTAAGTACATGTGTTTTCTACATGGATACCAAGTTTCAAGTTAATCGGATGCACGGTTCAGTAGTTATAACGGAACATCCGTAAAAACCACTGTAGATTTACATATTAACGTATATAGATATATTTATTTGAAAAACATCTGGTCCAAATCGAGAACCTCCCTACGTTCAAGCAGTTTAATTAACAAAAGGATACAGTTTATCTTTTCCCGCCATGGAGACGCAGGGGTTCCCTTGTATTGTGAAGCTTTCCAAGTTACTTAAGTGCACCAGATGACATATTTCGTTGAGGTCCTGTATGTTGTTGTGGGCAACGCCGAAATGCACTAGGTTCGAGGGTAGGTAGCGATCGCACTGACGCAAATCTATTATACGATTCCTTTCTAAGCTTAGATACTGAAAGGCGAAGAAAATTATGAACTTTACAATTATTATTTTTATTGCTTAGATGGTTTGACGAGCTCACAGCCCACCTGGTGTTAAGTGGTTACTGGATCCCATAGACATCTACAACGTAAATGCGCCACCCACATTGACATATAAGTTCTAAGGTCTCAAGTACAGTTACAACAGCTGCCCCACCCTTCAAACCGAAACGCATTACTGCTTCACGGCAGAAATAGGCGGGGTGGTGGTACCTAACCGTGCGGACTCACAAGACGTCCTACTACCAGTAATTACGCAAATTATAATTTTGCGGGTTCGATTTTTATTACACGATGTTATTCCTTCACCGTGGATGTCAATCGTGAACATTAATTTGTTGAGTACGTATTACAGTAGAGTAATTTTTTAAACATATCCGATGTCAAATGTTTGATATTTGGGACAATAAAAACGTTTTTTATCTGGAGAGTTATGATTCGGCAACGGTTGTCTTGGAGATATTGCATTGGCAATTAATTATCCACTAACACTAGATATTAGACAAAAATTCAAATCGCGTTTGTGGTAATTAACATAAATATTAGTCTGCAATAGTTCCGAACACGCGACACTCGCGAATTATGGTCCATGAAGGAATAAAGTGAAGGCGAAAGATCTTCCGCTTGATAATAGTTTGATGAGATAAGTCATCTATGTTGCACTAAAGCAGTGCAGTCTGTTTAATATTAAATTTTAAGGACTTATAATAATAATAATAATAATATAACTCTTTATTTATTTAACACCTTAATATGTACAGAGTAAACTAATAAAACAAAAGTCGGTGATATAAATCGGCGGTTTATAGCGGTTATTATCATAACCCTTTAGGCAGTTTAGTATTTCGCAATTGAGAATCAACTTCATTTCTAACATTACATTGCTACTGGTTCGCTTGGAAGAAATTACCCTTCATAACACTCTTATATAGGCAGTTTTTCTTTTGCAACCACACATTTTTTACGTTGCGTGGATGAGTGAGCCTATGACCTTAGTGAGCTTATGACCCACCTGCTATTACCAGAGAGCCCATTGACATAAAATGGCATAGCCATCTTTTAGGCATTTTAGTGTTTCACGATTGAGAATTATCATTTCTAAGACTAAATTGCTATTGGTTCATTTGGATGAAAAGGCTTTTCACGACATTCTTATAAAGACACTTTCTTTTAACAACTGCAAATTTTTTTCGTTGCGTTGATGAATGAGCCTATAACCTTAGTGAGCTTATGACATGAAATTGGTGTTAAAAATGACATAATTACTGGTGGTAGGACCTCTTGAGAGTCCGCGCGGGTAGGTACCACCATCCTGTTTATTTCTGCCGTGAAGCAGTAATGCGTTTCGGTTTGAAGGGTGGGGTAGCCGTTGTAACTATACCTGAGACCTTAGAACTTATGTCTCAAGGTGGGTGGCGCATTTACGTTGTAAATGTCTATGGGCTCTGTTGGAAACCCAACAAAATTGGTATAAAACCTTTTTTATTGTTGTGGTTGTGGTTTCTGACATTACATTTGAATTGGAATTTTGGAATGTCATAGTTTTGTAATTCTCTTTTCATCCGTGCTATTGTACGCGATTTATGAAATTGTAAAAATATACAAATTTTATACGTGCAATCCTCGCGAATTTATTTATCAAGTTCCTTGCCCATCTTAATCATACAGTCCACTACAGGCTCCAGTAACCACTTAACACCAGGTGGGCTGTGAACTCGCCCACCCATCCAAGAAAAAAAAAATGCTACTACCCATCTTGAAATACGAGGTTGAAGTCTCATTTTATATTCACGATAGACGTTCCCATCAAACCTAAGCGCTTGACTGCTTGACACTGCCCAAACTAGACCGAATGTCAGTTCCAACCACCAAATGTCACTGGAGCGCGTCGATTTTGCGATTCTACATTGCGATCGTCAAACAGATGGATCAATGTAAATCTACTGTTACCTTGTAACGTGTTGATTATTTTAGCTATTTATGGGACTATAAGTTTTAGTTACCTCTATATTAAACTAATTATTGTAATAATAATATTAACAATGATAATAAGAAGAAAATGCGCTAAATTCTAGTGTCTGCATTTAGTTATTTAAAACTCCTTCGTGAAGCGATGATTATATTTCTATTACATACCTTTAAATTCTTCAAATAAGAGATATCGGCTATGAACGAGATCTGATTGTTTGATAGATCCAAATGTTCCAAATGCATGTTGTTATTCAAATGCTCTATCGATTTTATGCTGTTACCTGAAAAGAAAAATCGTTTTGATTGTCTTAAAACTAAGATTCGATTTGTGTTTATCATCGTGTACTTGCGTAAATGTATTACTTAACATTGAATTTAAATAAATAATAGTTAAAAAAAAACTAACAAAATACGCTTTTATAGAAAATCCAACTAAGAAATAGAAAATAAATTTTAATAAATTTGAATTAGAAATAGTGTAAGAAAAAATGATTTTATTGTAAAAAATATTATCAAAATAACCCTTCTACTCATATCTGTTCATAAAATATTTATAACTACTGATACCACGCACCCCACGCAAACTCATGTTCAAAGATTCAGTTACAAACATACATACGTCTGAAGCTAATAAAAGCGTATTAAAAAGCTTAGAAATATTATTAGCGAAGCTTCTTTCGTATATGCTTTGTAGGCAAAACGAGCATACAGCCCATCTGGTGGTGAGTGGTTCCCGTTGATCATAGACGACAGCAATGCCAAGGCCACAGCCGTGACGCTGACTGCCACAAAACTGCATACCGTTTTAACCATTTAAATATCTATGTAAACTTGCTGTATAATTGGTCCTAGTGTGTAAGTAGTAAATAAGCGTAGGAATTACGCGTGTATTTTTTAATAGAGCATGTTTTTATTTTGGGTGAAACTTATGTTGATTTTTTTTTCCTACCTAAGCTGATAGCCTTGAGAGGCTATATCAGCGTCGCCTTAACTAGTAGGTGAGCTCACGGGGCTTAAACCTGATGACGTTGCTAGCACGAACCCTAGCAAGAGCCGTGCTTCGCAGAATCTACTACCGGATCGGAAACGCGACCCACTGAGAAGATCCGGCGAGAAACTCAGTTAGCTGTGTCTGAGGGTTAATTTACTCGTCGAGCCCTTCGTCGCAAGCGACGGGTTCGACGATAACGACGACCGGTGCTTGAGGTTTATCTTGAAAGATTACTTTAAATGTATAGAAAAATACACAGATGGTGACTTTTGCACAAACTAGGAACTTCACAAAAATACTTGTATTTATTTATTTATTTTGCTTAATTATTTTTCGTTTATATTAGGTCAGTTGCTTTATGTAATTCTGGTTTTGAGAAAGATGTCATTACACACTGTTTAATCTTAGGTAATATTTTGTCTCTGGTATTTGTGGACTTGTAGTCTGCACCAAATGTGGTTTCGAAAATTTATCTGATAATATTAATGTGCCTAAGCCGTTTCAGATATACTAATAAAAAAATCTAAATCATTATTTTACTGTCAACATAATCTTAGTCGTTTTCCTCTGTTTAGCAATAGATAAGAAGATAGAATAATTATATTCTAGATTCTATCTATTATAATATTTAGTGGAGTACATTAAAAAAAAGTCCTATTAGTTCACAAATAAAATATATAGTAATTTTAAAGCAGATATGATGGCACATGGTTGTAACAGAAAATACTTATCTAATAATTTGCTGCACTTAATCTGTACAAGGTCACTTTGCTTGTATGATATCATCAAAATGGTTACAGAATTACTCACTTTAAGACATTGGTTGGCTACTAAGATTAGTTTCACAGTTGCATTCTATTAATTAATTTATCATTTAAATGAAAATTTACTATTACAGTTTATTTTTACTTTATTTTGTAAATAAACTAATAGATCTTAAATAATTTTCATTTTCTAAATTTTTTGCTATTTGTACTCATAAAAATGCTAAAGAAATATTGTAGATTGTAAAATGAAAATATTTTAATTCATAAAAATATTCTGTTCATTATTTATAATTAAGCAAAATAATATAAATATAAATAAATCCACATTAGTTTATATGTTTAGTCTGTGGGTTAATTGTGAAAACATAATAAAAACAAGGAATTTAATGTATTAGTATTATTTTTCTTTTATTGGTACCTTCTATAAAAATAAATGCAAATCATTCAAATCAAACAACAATTAAGTTGTTTAGATGACAATAATTATTGTAATTTTCATATTAAGGTATTCATATAAACCCAAAAACATCAGTCGTAAGGGTCGAATGATTGATTCGGTAGTGCAATAGCTAGCACTCCTGACTGTTGCACCGAGGGTCATGAGTTCTATTCCCACATTGGGCGAACATTACGTGATGATCAGGTTTGTTTGCTTTTTGTCTGGGTGTTTATTGTATAATAATATATGTGTATATATTTAAATGTATATAAGTATGTATGTCAGTCTCTAGTACCATTAAGACAGGGAGTCCTAAATTGGAGCCGGATGACCAAGCGTAATTTGTTCATTTAAAAAAGAAGAGGTATGGTAGCAATTATATGTTCTTAAATGATGCTATTTATTACTTTGGAGTTTAGATCCCAAATGTAAAGTTCCCTGTTTTATTTTAAAGTAGGTAACTATAAAAATCTATATATGAATGGCTTCCACATAAAAAAAAACCAAAATCATGTAAAATAATTTACATAATTTATGTTAGTGTAACTCTTGTGCGTTTTTAGCTATTTATTTGTATATTTATGATAAATGTTAATTTTAATTTTAAAATTTATTTAAAGTCATATGTGCCATTCTCTGGATGGAGAAGATGGAGTGACCAAGTGTCTGAGTGTCTGGACATGAGACTGAGCCACGCACTTCACTGTGCCACAGACCGACATAAGTGGCTACAAATTACAAAAAAAGGTCACAGGCGGGCGCATCACGATGCTCAGCAATGAGCGATCGACTGAAGGAGGAGGAGGTGCCATTCTCTTTAATGCTAGACAGGAGGAGATTGAGGAGGTTAATAGCAATGCAGAGGTAAAGTAAATTCACATAATGGTTCATATAAAGGATAGATATTTCTTAGTATAAAATAACATCAACATACCTGCTAATTTTAATTCTTTTAAGTATATCAAATCCTTGAGACCTTCTATTTGAAGTATACTGTTGTTATTTAGAGCTAAAACTCTGATGTTTGTTAGACGCGACACGCCGTGCATGCGTAAAAGGAAGTTGTTGCATATTGATAGCTGCAGAATAAAAATTATAATTAAAATTTTCTTGTGTATATTTAATAATTTATAATTAAATATTTAATTATCTCAATTAAAAGTGAACTTTCTATTATTTTATTCGCCAACTACACATACATATTTGCATATATTGTGAATTATTTTCTATGGTAGTACAGTTGTTTTCTTAGCGGTTTTTTACACCGTTCCACTTACGTTTTCCACTCGATTGAACGTATCAATATTATCCAGCTTCTGGAGTTCGTTCTGATCGAGAATTAAATTTATAGTCGTCTTTGAGTCTTCTGCAGTCGCTTTCTCTAATTTCTTCAGCCCACGCCTCGAAAGATCTATTGTTTCGTGTTTCGCTTCATCTGTAAAAAAATTAAGTATTAAGAACTCGGTTCACAATTCTATATTAGATTCGAATAGTCGCGCTTACCCATATTTAGCGAATTTTAGAACATTTTTTTTGTAATTTATGCGTGCTTGATACGGTTTCCACACAAAATCAACATCCGTAACTACCGTTTTAAAATCTTTATCGATACGATCGCAGATGTCATTAATGACAAACTTAGATTAATTTAAGGTAATTTCAAGTTTAATACATTTAATACTGTAATTACATTGATCAAATTTTCGTAAATGCCTCAGTGGTTTCAGAATATTTTAATTTTATTTTGTTCGTTTTGAGATTCTCTGCATATCTTATGAACTGGAAGTCGCGTTTCCGAACTGATTGAGAAAATTGTTATTACATTTTGACAGCTACAATTCTGCGATCGTGATCGTTTACACACTGCCTCATTAGTTTAGTCGAAGCTTTTGGTCGATCCTCATAGCATCTTGGCATTTAATTTTCGTGTACCTAGATAATTCAAAAAGAAAATTCATATGTTATTTTAAAAACTTTTTGAATGAAAAAAGATTTTGAAATTAAATGCTCAGAAAACAAAAAAATCTCAGTTTAGTCGATTTAAAAAAACATAGGATAGTATGCAATGAAAACTTGTACAACACTACTTAGCGGCGGCAGGTTTTGCTGAGGTTAGTACAAATATTTACGAAAAATAGTTTTCTGTAATAGAATTAGCATAATTAGTAAATGAAATATACTGGATAAAATTATGTAGTTTTTTAAAATAAACTGGTTCAGTAGTTCACTACTTTTCATTCAATATCCACAATAACAGAGGGACGCGTTCATTGACATCCCAAGTTTTCGTTGGTCTGAAAAAGTCGGCAACAGAGCTCTTTTCTTTAACGTACATAGTTTTTCGATTTGTGTTTAAGTGTATCGAATAAACATTCCTAAAATTCAAAAGTAAAACGAGCTGAATATGATCATCTATAAATAGCTATATCACATGTAACCTCTTTCGTTTTAGGCGGGAGAATGGTGTTGGCAAAGGGTTTGAGGCCCGTTCAGGTGGTCTCTTTTATATTATTCGTGAGAATACTTTCTGTATTCTTAGTGAGAACTTGGTATGTTCCTGACGAGTACTGGCAGACCTTGGAAGTGGCCCATAAACAAGTGTTCCACTATGGAGAACTCACCTGGGAATGGCAGAGGGGTATCAGGAGCTACTTATTCCCGAGCGTAGTTGCTGTCTTGTATAGTATATTGAAGGTTACTGGCTTGGATCACCCTGAAGCTGTGGTAAGTAATGCAATTTATACTATAAATCGAAAATTACGAAATTAACATACCTACCAAAAAAAATAGGTTTTTTATTCATTTATTGACATTTGGTAAATAGTTCTTACAGTACTGTTCTTATTGCTGTTGTACTTTCGCTCATGAACTTAAGTAATGCCATCTCTCAAGGTGAGTGATTGCATTTATGTTGTGATGGCTATGAGCTCTGGTAGAATCATAACACTGGGTGAGATATGACCTACAGAGCCATAAAAAAAATATAATAATGTACAAATAATTCTTAATTAATTATGCATATCTACATATTTTTTTTATCTCATTTTTAAAACCTTTCAGATTCTTCTACCTAGGATCCTACAAGCAATACTCAGTACTGTAGCAGACTACAGTTTCTATAAATGGACAGGAGGTCGGAAGTGGGCTCTGTTCCTCATTCTCACATCTTGGTTCTGGTTCTATACTTCAGGCAGAACACTGCTCCAGACTACAGAGACAGCTCTTGTGGCAATCGCCTTATCTGTTTTTCCATTCAAGAGTGGAAAACTTGGATATTATGATAAAGGTGTGTTGTATATTATCGTCATGAATTGTAATTTTTTTCTTTCAGTCTATTAATTTGTGGTTGCCCAATATTAAGGCCAAAATACACTGACAGACACATAAACTGCATCTGAAGTAAATGTTTTATGTAGTATGCAAACTTTTCACAAAAATTTAAATTAAAAACTATATACAGTAATCCCCCTTATAACGTGGTAGATTAGTTCTGCATTATAGGAAACACTTTGTAGGAGTATTCTCGCATAATGCTTTTGTATGACCACATATAACACATTATGTACAAACATAATATATATACATATATTATTATAATACAATATTGCCAATGTTTTTACAATAAAAAAACTAGAACATTAGAACATAGAACTGCACAAATCATAAATTTCAATGTATGTACTGAAATAAAACGTGAAATTCCCGCATTATATGTGGGAATACCAGTTTTATACGAGGGACCGGAATCGCGTAATATGAAAAAGCGTTATAAAAGTACAGTGTTATAAAAGCAACTAATAGACTAGAAATGACCTTTAAATTTTATTGAAGAAAAATAAAAAATGGGAAAAATATTGATTTTAGAAAAATCATTAAAACTATTAACACAAAAAATATAAAGTACGGGTTTTTTATTATTTTATTAAGGTACTAGCTACTAAAAAAAAAAGATGTCTGACGACGGTGTTAATAATGTAATAATGTCGTCTCTCCGACAATAATTATCTGTGACTAGCTGACCCGGCAGACTTCGTAGTGCCTCAATCGATAAATAAAAGACCTAAACTTTTGTAATAAAATAAACATAAAACAAACAAAAGGAATCCATCCGACGGGGGACACATCAAAGGAAAAACGAAATTGTTATTTTTATTTAATTCCGAGACTTTCATATTTATCTACCTTTTAAATCTTGTCTGAACTTCCACAAATAATTGAAGACCAAAATTAGCCAAATCGGTTCAGTCATTCTTGAGTTTTAGTGAGACTAACGAACAGCAATTCATTTTTATATATAACTAGTCAGGTCATAAGTATTGTCACACAGTAAAAACTTTTCTTTTAGAATGCTGGCCACAAATTTTTTTATTGAATTCGAATTTCGAATTGTTCATGAAAATAAAAATGTATACTTTTAGAATTTTACTCATTTTTAAATATGGAGTGGACGCTTAAAGAAGACCGTGTTGCAGTTATTGCGTTGCATCGTTGCGCTTACGCGCCAATTCAAATTATTAACATACTGAAAAATTTGAATATAACCAAAAGATTCGTTTATCGTACCATCAAACGATACAATGAAGACTCTAATGTAGATGACAGGTCAAGAAGTGGTCGCCCTCGGTCTGTTAGGACTCCAGCAGTGATAAAAGCTGTGAAGGCGCGAATTCAAAGAAATCCCAAACGTAAGCAGAAACTGTTGGCCCTTCAGATGGGGTTAAGCAGAACCACGGTGAAAAGGGTGTTAAATGAAGACTTAGGGCTTCGGGCATATCGAAGAAAAACAGGACATCGTTTGAATGCTCGTCTAATGGACCTGAGACTGAAGAGATGCCGCGCTTTGTTGAAGCGGTACGCGGGAAAAAAATATCGGGAAATTCTTTTTTCGGATGAAAAAATTTTTACCGTAGAAGAGAGCTACAACAAACAAAATGATAAGGTGTACGCACACAGTAGTGAAGAAGCGAGCAACCGTATTCCGCGTGTCCAACGAGGTCATTTTCCATCCTCGCTCATGGTATGGTTGGGAGTTTCTTATTGGGGCTTAACAGAGGTACATTTTTGTGAGAAAGGTGTAAAAACGAATGCAGTTGTGTATCAAAATACAGTCCTGACGAACCTTGTGGAACCTGTTTCTCATACCATGTTCAATAACAGGCACTGGGTATTCCAACAAGATTCGGCGCCAGCTCATAGAGCGAAGAGCACACAAGACTGGCTGGCGGCGCGTGAAATCGACTTCATCCGGCACGAAGACTGGCCCTCCTCCAGTCCAGATTTGAATCCGTTAGATTACAAGATATGGCAACACTTGGAGGAAAAGGCGTGCTCAAAGCCTCATCCCAATTTGGAGTCACTCAAGACATCCTTGATTAAGGCAGCCGCCGATATTGACATGGACCTCGTTCGTGCTGCGATAGACGACTGGCCGCGCAGATTGAAGGCCTGTATTCAAAATCATGGAGGTCATTTTGAATAAACTTTAGTGTCATAAGAATCTATGTTTTGTTAAGTTCATTTTGGTATATGAATGGTTACATAATGAATAAACTTGTTTCAATTATTTTACATTAAACATGTGACAGAATTTATGACCTGACTAGGTATATAGATTTTATCCCTGTGTACCCTTGTTTTTATTCTAATCAGTTCTGCATAGATCTTATTAGAGTTAAGGATTGGATATGGTAACTGGAATAAATATTTGAGGGTAAGTGGTCGGACTGGAGTATCAAGAAATACATGGATTTGTTATACACAGCACTCCCATTAAGCAAGTGACAAATTAATAGAGGAACGGTAAAGAAACTGTACCAAAATATCATGAAAGGATAATTAATGTTCACAGAGAACACATCATGGATATGGCTAGCAGTCATAGCTGTGTTTCTTCGGCCAACTTCTGCACCTCTATGGGCAGTGCTCACTATCTACAACTTACTGACAACGAACCAGTCCAAGTTGCAGTTACTGTTGAGATCATATTTACCTATTGGGTGAGTAAAAAAGATTCAAGTCTTTAAATTACTCAAAATCTTTTAGTTTTGGTGCTTAGATGGTGATAGGTTCAGCTGGGCTGTAAGACTGGTTATTGTGGTCCATGTCCAGCAGTTGACGTCTGTGGGCTGATGAAAATAGATGGCTAATTAAGCTCATGACCCACCATGGTATTGTTACTGGAGCTACATCATAACATGAATGCCCCGGTTTGGACTTGAGGTTGTAGTTTCAATAGTATTGTATAACAGCTATCCGAATTAAATAAATTTAAAATACTTATGACATTTTGGATACTTATTATGCTTACCTATTCCTAATAATTCATAAACATGTGCTATGTACAACTATTTTCTTAGATAGATTGGTATCTGCATCTTGGATTTGAATACTCATATAATTCTATTGCTCGATACAAGTACAGCATGTGTTTAAATTTATGCTACAAAGACTTCAGTCTTGTTTTCATTTGAAATGAAACAAAATGTATGTGAATTTTTTTATTGTTTTAGATTGATCGCTGGTAGTGCTTTAGTGGGTTTAGATACATACTTCTACGGAAGAGTTGTGATCACTCCATGGGAATTCTTCAAGTTTAATGTGCTTTATGATATTGCATCTTTCTATGGAAAACATCCATGGTGAGTATCACAATTGGGTTATTTGTCAGATGATTTTGGTTGGGTTTGATTAAGCTGACTTTTAGTGCCTTCCTTTTTTAAATCTATAAAACTGCTTGAATTATTATGAAACCAGACATGAAATCTGCTTCACATATATAAAGGGCTAATACCTTATCCGCCAAGACGGGGCAACGGAAAGCCGGTGTCACCCGAAACATATCTTGTCAGATCCCTCGGATTCACCCTCGGTGCTTTTAGACCTCTAGCACTGGTCACGGCAAACTAACCCATAGACACAGGCCACTCAGTTTCTCGCCGGATCTTCTCAGTCGGCCGTGTTTCCGATCTAGTGGTAAATTCTACGAAGCACTGCACTTGCTAGGGCTAGTGTTAGCAAATTCTCTCAGATTGAGCCAGTGAGCTCACCTACCCGTCTGGGCTTAACTGGAATAGCCTCTTAGGCTACCAGCGAATAGGTGTCGGCATAAGGTAAATATACACCTACAACTTTCATACATATTTTTAAGTACATTGAGTGTAATAGAACAAAACAAAATGTCAAACCATCTCAATGACATTCATTTAGTTGCAAATTGTTAATATTATAATGTGGAGTATCTTCCAGTAATTTTCTATTAAAACAATAAATTTATATACCAGACTAACTGAGTCTCGCGATGTTGCCCGTGGTTATTATCGTACCGCGGGTGACGCCGCGGGGCGAAGCTAGTCTAAAAAAAGCAGCCTAAGTTACTCCTTATATCATCCTGATACCAGCACTGATACTAGCACCTATCAGTGAAAGTCCCGTCAAAATCGGTCCAGCCGTTCCAGAGATTAGGCGGAACAAACAGACAGACAGGCAAAAATTGTAATAAATGTTATTTTGGTGTATGTACCGTATATATATTCATATGCATGTAGTAAAAAGCGGTTATTTCAATGTTACAAACAGACACTCCAATTTTATTTATATGTATAGATTGGTAAAGTGAATATAAAATCTCAGTTTGCTGTCCGTGTTCTAGGCATTGGTACTTGAGCCAGGGTCTGCCGGCCGTGCTGGGCGTCAACACAGTGCCGGTGCTGTGGGCAGCGGTCAACATAGTTCGTCGACCCCGGGAGAACAAGACGGGGGCGCTGCTGTTGTTTGCTGCAGCTCTACACATAGCACTATATAGGTATAATATAGGGATGTTACAGAAGTTGTTTTTAATTTTGGTTTAATTTAGTCTAATCCTGTGTAACAAGTGTGCCATGCATTAAATATTGTAGGGCACATTACGTGTCTGCTTGGCTATACACAACTTCCCTGACAATTTCCGCCTTGAAGTTATTATACTCTCCACTTTGCAACATAGGTCAGATGCAGATGCCCTTGAGATTTCTACTTCAAGTTCTAAGGCAATTGTGATAAAATTCAAACACATTGTCTTCAATGTTTTGTCTATTTAGTTGTCCGTTATCATGTATCCATTAACGATTATTTTTATAATTAGTAAAATTTTCAATTCATGTGTTAGAATTGAAAATATTTAAAAAGCGGAACAAATTTTATGAATATGGCAATACATAGCTATGTACAAAATTTTTTATGGTTTGTAATAACAAGTGACACATAGGGGGGTGTACGAAAATAAGTAATAATTTTTTTTTATTTTCATAATATGCAATTCACAAAATATTCACAATACTTCAAAGATATTCCACTCAATCTGATAATATAGCTGTAGGCAACGCATATTTTGTTATAGTTAAAAAATATAGGTAAAGTAAATTGTTTGTTTTAAAAATGAAATCTTTTAATTTCAGCTTCATCTCGCACAAGGAGTTCAGATTCGTATTACCGTTACTGCCCATCCTGCTGTACCTCGCGCAGGACGCCATCGTACCGTGGAGCAGGAAAGCTAAAAGGTAACTAATATGTTTATAGATTTTGTCCAGCGCACGCAGACATTGACTTTGTTCATGATTATAGGGCAATTCAGTAGATTGCTAATTATCTCACCATCGCTGACCAACTTACATAAGTGCATTTAGAGACCATTTACGACATAATGGTATGGTTTTGGTTGGCATTAAAAAAAGGATTACTTTCCAAATATCTCCATTAACTACAAGGAAAAGTAGTTTTATCTATTCAATAAGTTTGAAAATACAAGGATGCCATTTTTTTTTATTGATTAGTGGGTGGACAAGCTCACGACCCACCTGATGCTAAATGGTTACCGGAGCCCATAGAAATCTACAACGTAAATGCGCCACCCACCTTGAGATATAAGTTCTAAGGTCTCAATTACAGTAACAACGGCTGCCCCGCCCTTCAAGCCGAAACGCATTCACTGTTTCACGGCAGAAACAGACAGGGTGATGTTACCCACCTGTGCCGATTCACAAGAGGTCCTACCCATATGATCAGGCAACATTCCTATCGTATTGCAGATGGCAGCTGTACGTGGTGGCGGCGTGCATGGTGGTGGGCAACGCGGTGCCGGCCGCGTACTTCGGCGCCGTGCACCAGAGGGGCGCGCTGGACGTGATGCCGCTGCTGCGGGACGCCGCCTCCACCAACCGCTCCTCCATCGCCTTCCTCATGCCCTGCCACTCGACGCCGCTCTATAGGTCTTCACGCTGATCATTACAATTGTGTATTGTCGGAGAGACAACATTATTAACACCGTCGTCAGACATCTTTTTTTTTTACCTATTGAACGGTCGAAGGTCACTTGAACAGTCAATTCGTTCTTTTGCCGACTATTTTTATATCGACGCTTGAAAGGCAAACGTGGCTAACGCCCGTAAACATTTTTGTTGAGTGCTTGAGTTGCTATCTAGTTTATGTGTACTATCCATGGTCTCCGACATATTTAATATTGCAGTTGTAACCTAGTACGGCTCTTATATCGCCTTCCTCGTGTCCTGCAAGAAGTTTCTAATAAAGTAATAATTACAATAGGTAAATCGCATAGCAGAATCATTGAAACTTTTTTCTTCTCTTTTTTTTTCAGCCATATCCACAAAAACATCACAACCCGTTATCTCCACTGTGAGCCTCCGTTCAACAAGCCTGGCGAAACTTACGAATCGGAAGCCTTCTTCAACAACCCTCTCCGGTGGTGGAGGAATGAGTACTCCAGTAGACAGACACCAACTCTGGTCGTACTCTTCGATACCCTTAAAGGGAGAGTAGAAAATATTCTGAGTGGATATCGGTTGTTGCATGAGATTCCTCATACACAGGTACGTTAGTTTAGTCTAGTTATACAAATCTTTACTGCACCAACAATGCATAATAATATTATGAATTAATATATAAGATTATTATAGTTCAGCAATGTTTTTTATATACCATTCTCTAGATTAGGACATTCAAAGAGGTAAATAAAATAACGGTCACATTGCAGTTAAGTTTTACTTCCGTTTTTTGTTATCATCACAAAAAGCCTAGTTAAAAGAAACTGCCTAGTTAAAAAAAACTTGTTTGTGCAACAAATATTAATAATAACATGTAATTAAGAAATGAAGTATTGCATAAATATATCTAATTCAATAGCCAGAATGCATTTGAAAAATTGCTGTTCTCGTCCACACATTTCGTTCGTATATCTCAGTATCACTATATAGTATAAAACAAAGTCGCTTTCTCTGTCCCTATATCTGTTTGTCCCTATGTATGCTTAAATCTTTAAAACTGCGCAACGGATTTTGATGCGGTTTTTTTAATAGATAGAGTGATTGAAGAGAAAGGTTTACATGTATAATAACATTCATTAAGTAGTGGAGAAATCAATAATAAATTCAGTTTCCGAAGCGAAGTGAGGGCGGGTCGCTAGTAGTTAATATGATTAAAAATTAAATTGTTATTATTACAGTTCCCAGAAGGAGAGGTCGGTGAGAATGTCTTGGTGTATCAGAAAATAGAAAGTCAACCTAAACCGCCGGCTGACGAAGTTGTTTAACTAAAACCTCACCAGACTCATATCACAGTTATACAATCGACACAGTTAAGAAACGCCCTTAATGACGACATGGCNGGTCGCTAGTAGTTAATATGATTAAAAATTAAATTGTTATTATTACAGTTCCCAGAAGGAGAGGTCGGTGAGAATGTCTTGGTGTATCAGAAAATAGAAAGTCAACCTAAACCGCCGGCTGACGAAGTTGTTTAACTAAAACCTCACCAGACTCATATCACAGTTATACAATCGACACAGTTAAGAAACGCCCTTAATGTCAGACGACATGGCCACCTATGAAGGTATTTACGGTATCAGTATTAAAATTAAGCAATCATTTATTTACCTAATTACACTAATGGCACACATGAAATTACATTAAAATTAGTAAAATTGACATGTTGTTGGTTTATCACTATGATTTGACATCTACGCTATGTTGCAACACATAACTAAAAATATACAAGAAACTACTCTGAGGGATAATTTAATTGAAATGAAATGACCATAAATAATGATTTTCGTATAACTTTCTCGCGATGTTCAAAGTCGTCCCGCCCTCAGTTTTTGAGTGAGCAAACAAAGTGCGATCTTCTTGAGATCCCCGGCGCTAGCTACTGTACATTCGTTTTCTAAATTGTATGGATTGTATAACTGCTTATACCTAACAACTTTGTACACAGACGATGAACTTGTTTACTAGAAAGGTAAATTTGAATCAGAATGTTTCTTCCGTTAAAACAATATGTCATCTGGTGAAGATTCTATTTCTTACCAATCCGATAGTTTAAAATAACGAAATAGTTAGATTTTAAATTGATTAAACATGAGATGGGCGGTATTACGAATTATATAGATGGTTGTTCATCTGTCTACAAAAGTAATAAAAAATATATACATTTGAACACATAGATACAATTTTTTGTTAATTAAAATTTTACTTTGTGAAAAATATTGCCATACTCTGTTGTGAATCAATATTTACCTTAAACCTGTTAAAAACAATTCTCATGTTAGCATGGGAGCTATGTATTAATTATGATAGTATTTTTGTGTTTAATTTTGATAGAAACAAATAATGTGAAGAATACAGTGAATTATGTAAGACAGGGTTGCTGTAACACAAAATGAAAATGAATCGCTCGAATTCAGATTTGATAGAAACGCAATGATGGGAGTTATTTTCCTAGGAAATGTGTTCGATTTAGTAATTATATATACAATTTAATGTAATTTTTAATATGTAAGCGTGGAAATTAAAACAAAAAAAAATGTAATTAACTTCTTGAGCGCCACTTCTATCCTCATACGAGATGCTCCAAGTTCGGAAAGCTTGTTGGCAGTGTATCATTAACCTTCGACATGCGCCAGTAATGACATGATGAATGAATTTGATTAGATTTGAAAAAAAAAAAGCTTTTTGATTTGATTTGATTTGATTTGCTCAGGTATGCCCCGCTACCTCTCACATACCAAAGGTTAATATTGTCTGAACTGAATTCCTTTGAAATTATCATTTTTTTTAAAAAAGACTCACAGTGATGCTCAATAAGTTACTCTTTTTTTTAAATTTATGAGTTTGTTTAATTTTAAATTGTCAATTTAATGTCGAAATGCAATAATGTTTGTTCTTCCAATATTATGTACATGATAATTAAAATTGATATGATCTTTTAGATAATTACTTTTAATTATTATCGATTTACATTATTCAGATTTATACGTAATTTATTGAACATTAGATTTATGGATTGACTTGAAGCTTAAAGCGAGCTAATTTGAACATAGAAATGGACATGGTAAATATTAAATTTAATATAATTTCACAAATGTATCACAAAAGTTAGTTACTCTGATTTGATAATAAAATATACAGGATCCGTGACCCGCACTGCAGTGATGCCAAATTGAGTCGCACTACATAATATCAAAACCTATTGAATTCTCATTTAGTAATCCATGCATTTAATAATTAACCTAATATATTTTTATCCATGACTGATAATTGCATATCGCAATACAAAATAATATGTTAATATTATTATAATATATATGTAGCTTGCCAAAGTTGTTTCTTTGACTAATGTTAGTTCTCAGTGGCGTGCATCCATGTCGTGTATCAATGTATCGATTTAATAAATTTAAAATGAAGTCGTGTCTATAAAGATTATTTCTGCGAAACAAAAACTTCATTCGGATGAGAACAGGAAAATATATATATTTTATATTTTTGTTTCTTTCTCAACCGAAGAATCTCAAATCAATGTAAAGAAGAGTCGTATGCTCCCATAGACACGCCACTGATTATGTTATAGACAATGCCGTTTGAAAGTTGGTAACATTGTAAAAAATAAATACCTCGACCACCGAATTCAAGCATCATAATAGTAATTAGATTGCGCATTAACTAACCATAATTATTTTATTTCATTTATATGGTAGGGTAAGCCGGACTTTTATTGGTACCTCCCAGTGATTGAAATGTGGCGTGAATGCAAATGTTGTAAATATCTGTTGATAAAACGTTAAATATCAAAGCGAATGATTACAATTTGTTTTTATAAATTCTGAGATGTTGATATAAGCGGAGTTTATTACTGGCCAAATTACAATAGCTATATTTCAGTGCCAACTATTATACTAGATTGTACTAGAACGTTTGTGCCAATTATTGTATAGTTTACCCTACCCACATTTTAGGATAAGGATAATCAATTTGGTTTCGTCGAAATTTTATATTTCTAACTTTAATTAAATAAAGGGTTTGTTTTAAATTTAGTAATATTCTCTTGACAACTATGAATACTTGAAATTCAAGATATCATTTTTAATACTACCATTTGAAAGAAAAAAAAAATGGAATATGCATATCACTTATGCTTGACGTCCATTTTACTACTTAGTATTTCGATATATATAAAAAAGCCTTATAATAAAATGTATTGTTAAAATATAATAACAATAATGATTTAAAAAAAGTTTTATATTTATTGGGTTAAAATATGTCAGAGGCTCTTGCCTAGCTGTCCCGACTCATAATGAGTATTGTGTAGTCTTCAGTAAACATTGTTTTATTTTTAATTACTCCTTTCCGGAGATTAATTTGATATAAGTTTTTTGTTTCTTCAAAACTAAAATTTAGATTAATTTACTAGATTTATATAAGGAGATGCTCAAAATGTTAAGACAGTAGATTCTTCTTTACACAAAGCAGATCTCGAGCTATTTAAACATGATGGATGACCTTTTGATATTCTAAATAAAATGAAAAAATTCTCGAAATTGATTGAGCGTAGAGAATCTAAATTTACTCTAGCTTTGTGTAGAGTCGTTATTACTCTACAGTATTTTAGATGTCAATAGAAAAAACCTTTCTCCTCCTTTAATTTTTTAAATGTTTTTTTTTTTTTTTTATATCGTTAGCGTTTTCATACTAACAATATTTTTTTCTTAATAAATGTTTTATTTAAGATGTTGTAACAATTTTTATTACTGTTTTCGATTTTAAATGCGTTGCGTGTTTCATGAAATGTCCGGTACAATAGAAGAAAATACAGCGGAATGAAATGTTACATTTTGTATTAGTTGCATCGACTCCTCAGTCTCCCTATCGCAGCGGTCGGGGAACTTTTTTAATTATTACCCCAAAATATTTTTGTGTAAGTTGATATTACCCCATGGCGAAGAACAAAAAAAAAACGAAATCGCTTCTTTTTAGCAACTTTCATATTATAGCCGCCATGATAATTTTGAAAAAATATTTTTTTTTCCGTTTCGTTTCATTTCGTTTCATCGTGTTTGAAATCACAACGATTCTAAAGAAGTTTCACTTCAATATATACTCTTACTCACAAAAGTTTCATTTTTACCCCCTAAAATTTCATTTTACCCCATTTGGGGTAATTTACCCCGGTTCCCCAACCGCTGCTCTATCGTGTCATGGCGCGCAACGCGATCGTTAAGACGACTAGTACATAAAGATCGATACAAAAAATCGATGTTTTGATCGATACGTGTAGTAGGTAAGAATTAGACAATATTTTGTTGTTCTCTGGTTTGTGAACGTCAAACAAAATGTATAGAGATCAAGTGTGGATTTTGAATAAAGATTTTATTTTATATTGTTTGTTTTATTTTTGCATGATTAATTTCGTATCAGATTTTACCCGATAACGTCGCATCTTTAGAATTATAAAGATCCAACCCAAAAAATGTACTTTTTTGGAAAATATCGAATAAAGTTTTCAAACTGAAAAGGCGTAGAAGAGGGGGACGGCGTTAAAGAGACCGAGAGATGAGTTTGTCCCTTTTTAACTTACTTTGGGTTATTTCATTAATAAGTTACTGAAAAGGGTCGTTGTAGATTCATTTTTGAATATTTTTTTATTTTTTTTATTTCTTAGATTGGTGGACGAGCTCACATTCCACCTAGTGTTAAGTGGTTACTTGAGCCCATATACATCCACAACGTAAATGCGCCACCCACCTTGAGATATACGTTCTAAGGTCTCAAGTAAGTTACAACGGCTGCCCCACCCTTCAAACCGAAACGCATTACTGCTTCACAGCAGAAATAGGCAATAAAGTCGAAATCCAAAAATTTCGATATGGGTCTTTATCATTCTAAAGCTGCGAAATGTCAATAGCAGGCACAGCCAAACCGCACTTACAAATGGAATATAATAATACGTATCGAACGAAGACGAAATAAAATAAAGGTATTGATATTGAGCGATTTAACTGACCTACTTACTGTTCAAATTTCGCGGACAGATACACTTCCTTTAAGAACAAAACGTGCTCACTATTAACTTTACTATGATTTTTCTTTTATTTATTGCTTAGATATGTAGAAGAGCTCACAGCCCACCTGGTGTTAAGTGGTTACTGGAGCCCATAGACATGTACGACGTAAATGCGCCACCGACCTTGAGATATAAGTTCTAAGGTCTCAATATAGTTACAACGGCTGCCCCGCCCTTCAAACCGAAACGCATTACTGCTTTACGGCAGAAATAGGCGGGGTGATGGTACCTACCCGTGCGGACTCACATGAGGTCCTACCACCAGTCGCGTTTCCGATCCGTTAGTAAATTCTGCGAAGCACTGCTCTTGCTAGGGCCAGTGTTAGCAGTACACCCGGTTTGAGCCCCGTGAGCTCACCTACACCTCAAGGAGAAGCTGATATAGCCTCTCAAGGCTATCAGCATGGGCAGGAAAAAAAAAGAAAAAAGAGTTTGCACGGGCAGGTATCACATTTCTGCCACGAATCAGTATGTGTCTCGACTTGAAGTGTGTGACTGCCGTATTACTGTTTAAGTAAATCAGATTTAAACTTTGTTTTAATGAGAGCGGCGACAATTATGTCTATGAGCCGCTGACCACTAAATTTCTAAATGTCAGACCAACCCAAATTGTATTTGATATTGTAACTGTTTTATGTTGTAGCTGTAACTGTAATTTTACTTTATCGCAAAAAAAACTATGTCACATTTTATTCTAGATAAAGTTGTACTTCCTAATTCTAATCTACTTCAACGTAATAATATGAGGACTAAGTAAATGAGAAATGTTTGATACCTATTTAGGAATTATTCACACTTGTAGGATTTTTGAAGCCATAAAGATTAAAATAAATGGAAGAACGAATACTTTTGAAATTTATTAAACTGCCGTCTATCAATGTATATTATAGACTTAAATAAATTTCAAAATTATCATTGTTAAATGAAAATATTGTAATATTTACATTTTTTTCCCTCCCTTTTCGCTGGTAGCTTGAGAGCCTATTGCAGCTATGCGCGGACGGTATTTACATTAACCTAAAGACTACAAACAGTCTTTCGTGTAGAGTTACATTATGGAATAATGAAGGTTTTGAAATATTAAACAATGACAATTCTCCTCCTTTAAACTAGGGACAAGATCCGAATTGCTTTTGCTCAAAGATTGCAACCTCCGGGTCGCCCGTGCTTGCTCCGTCCCCATCTCAGTGGCGAGCATCAGCCCCAAACACTATTCCACGAATGAATGGAAAAATTTCATTCTTTTACCGACTATCTTTAGCTATAGGAAAGTTGGAATCTCAAACAAAAGCTCACGTTATATTCAGGTGAACTTTAAAAACTATCCAGTTGAAATGCAAGCGCCGATAATATAACAGTCATAATAATATAGTGGCGGGACTTTACCACAACTTTACTAGTGTAATGTTGATATGAAGACCGAAGACATTTATCTCCGTCTCTCTCATTCACCATGACATGGACCAACTTTTACAAGACGTATGTAGAATTTCGGCTGTAATTACTTACGACGACGACTTACCAAGCCGATGTTAAGTTTTATATAGGTATATGAAACTTAGAGTATAAATATTTGTTTAATTAATATGTATATTTTTTGTAAATATTTATTATTGCATCTGCATCTGTCCTTATCTTCAGATAAACATTAAAGTAAATGAGATTTCTGTATTTCTGTAAGCCCACATTGATTACGGTGTCACAGGTCAATTCTATTACGATAAGTACATTTTCCGTTACATTTACTTTATTCACAAAACTGTTTTGCAAGGAGAATCACATTAGTTTTAAGTGCAAACAATGATAAGCAAGCTGCTATTATTTCTTTGTTTCGGTGTATTAAAATCATTTAGTGTATCGCATACGGAAACCGCGAGCAAACGAAATGATACAGTGTCAAATGAAGTACAAAGTGAACGGAGCAGTTTGGCTTTTGTGTTCGACACTACCGGATCTATGCACAACGATTTGACACAGTTAAGGGAGGGGGCGGAAATGATCCTGAACACCGCTTTGGACGAAAGCAACATCATTGATAACTTCGTATTTGTGCCATTCCACGACCCTGGTTAGTATACAATGAAGCTACATATTTCTAACGATTATTCGCGCCAAAATATCAAAATTTTGACATAACATCTAATTACAATTTGGTGAAAACAAATGTTTTTTTTTGTAGAATATGTTTTTTTAAATACGTAACATAATTTGCAATTTTCTGTCCGTAATATTACTGTAATAATAACGAATGTTTACAAACAGATATTTCCGCGTTGATTCCGGAAACTGGTTGATTAGTATGCTTATAACTATTACTGGTAGGGACAAATTGAGAGCTAGCACGCTTAGGTGCCGATATCCTGCATATTTCTGTCACGAGACAGCCATGACTTCCGGAGGAATATCGACAGCCGATATCACACAATGGAATTTAGACTGACCTCATAAAACATAGTGGGCCATTTAATATCAATAGGCCTCGTAATTCTGGGTAACCTTACTTCCTCTACTTACGTACCTAGTGTAAAAAAACTGCCTGAAATGAGTAAGCCGGTAGGTTTTTTACTGGTGGTAGGACTTGTTGTGAGTGTATGGGTTCCAGTAACCACTTAACACCAGGTGGGCTGTGAGCTCGTCCACACATCTAGGCAATAAAAATAAAAAAAACCCGTGTCAAATGTATACAAGAGAGATATTTTTTTATTGCTTAGATGTGTGGACGAGCTCGCAGCCCACCTGGTGTTAAGTGGTTACTGGAGCCCATAGACATCTACAACGCAAATGCGCCACCCATCTTGAGATATAAGTTCTAAGGTCTCAGTATTGTTACAACGACTGCCCGACCCTTCAAACCGAAACGCATCTCACAAGAGGTCCTACCAGTAAACAGCCTAATCAAACAGTTAAAATATACCTATTGATACATTCTTAAGGAATCATTTGACAATACTGGTGGCAGGACCTCTTGTGAGTCCGCGCGGGTGGGTAACACCACCCTGCCTATTTCTGCCGTCAAGCAGTAATGCGTTTCGGTTTGAAGGGTGGGGCAGCCGTTGTAACTATACTTGATACCTTAGAACTTGTATCTCAAGGTGGGTGGCGCATTTACGTTGTGGATGTCTATGGGCTAAAGTAACCACTTAACACCAGGTGGGCTGTGAGCTCGTCCACCCATCTAAGCAATGAAAAATAAAAAAAAAAAAAACAATCGTTTACAGGAGTGGGGCCTCCGACGGTTACAAAGAGCAAAGACGTTTTTAAGGCAGCTCTGAACGTGGTCAATGTGTACGGCGGCGGGGACTGCCCTGAAAACTCATTGGGTGGTATTATGATGGCACTCACGGTTAGCCATCCGAGGTCCTTTCTTTATGTGATGACTGATGCCACAGCCGCCGACCACAGACTCGTCGGGAAAGTACTCGATTTAGTTCAGCGGAAGCAAAGTCAGGTGTGGTATATGGTATATATTTTTGAAGTCGCCGTGGCCTAAAGGATAAGACGTCCGGTGCATTCGTATATAGTGATGCAACGGTGTTCGAAACCCACAGGCGGGTACGAATTTTTCTAATGAAATACGTACTTAAGAATTGTTCACGATTGACTTCCACGGTGAAGGAATAACATCGTGTAATAAAAATCAAACCCGCAAAGTTATAATTTGCGTAATTACTGGTGGTAGGACCTCTTGTGACTCCGCACGGGTAGGTACCACCGCCCCGCCTATTTCTGCCGTGAAGCAGTAATGCGTTCCGGATTGAAGGGTGGGGAAGCCGTTGTAACTATACTGAGACATTAGAACTTATATCTCAAGGTGTGTGGCGCATTTACGTTGTAGATGTCTATGGGTTCCAGTAACCACTTAACACCAGGTGGGCTGCGAGCTCGTCTACAAATCTAGGCAAAAAAAAGAAATGTCCTTTGGCATTCGCAATTTTTATAGGCACAATCAAAACAACTTTTACGGTTTTTCTCGATTTTTTTACTGTCATTATACGAAAAAACATTATAGTTTAACATTATAGTTTAAGTTTCAAAAACATAATATAGTTTTGCGGGCGTACAAAAAAGGAGTGTTTTTAGCACTAATCATACCAACACTTACTGGTTGGTACCTATTTCTACCATAGCGGGTAGATAACGGTATACAACAAGTATTACTCAAAATAAGTAAAACAAAACAAAAAAAAGTATAATAACTGTAGATTAATTAATAGTAGTAATAATAATACATAATAAGATAATACGTTCATTTTCAATGCAAAAGTTCAAAATAGGTCATTTGACCTGTTATGGTATGTTTGGTGTTAAAAAGACATCTACTATGTGCTTGATGCGAGTTTTTATTTTTATTTATTGCCTTTGTATGTCCCGGAAAATGTTGCCTTCTATCAAAAAGCGCAAGATAGAATATCTCGGCCACGTGCTCGGGAACGATCGATACATGCTGGTGCAGTTGATAATGATGGCCAAAGTGGACGGAAAGAGACGTGCTGGGCGAAGAAAAAAGTCATGGCTCCGGAATATCCGGGAGTGGACCGATATTGCCTCCGTCGAACAGCTGTTCCGGCTGGCTGCTGACGGAAATGAATACAGGAAGCTAACGGCCAACCTTTAGGATTGAAGAGGCACTGCATGAAGAAGAAGAAGGCAGACGAGCATACGGCCCACCTGATGGTAAGTGGTCACCGTCGCTCATGGACGTCAGCAATGCCAGGGGCAGAGCCAATCCGCTGCCTACCATAAACGTTTTTTAACGTTCTCGATAGCGTGAAAGTTAGCTCAAATTTGTATGTTGCATGTAGTTAGAGAGATAGCATACCATACTAGTGTCCAACCTGATAGACTATCCCAGTTTGGTTTAATGTTTAATTTTCTATAACTCAACAACCAGGTAGTTTTTGTGTTGACCGGCCATTGCGATGACCTTCACAAACCCACGTACCAGGTGTACCAGCAGATAGCAGCTGCCAGCTCCGGACAAGTCTTCAATCTGAACAAAACAAGCGTTCACGAGGTTAGTATTTTTGTACTAGCTGACCCGGCAGACTTCGTAGTGCCTCAATCGATAAATAAAAGACCTAAACTTTTGTATAAAATAAACTTAAAACAAACAAAAGGAATCCGACGGACGGGGGACACATCAAAGGGAAAATAAAATTGTTATTTTTATTTAATTCTGAGCATTTTCATATTTATCTACTTTTTAAACGTTTTCTGGACTTCCACAAATAATTCAAGGCCAAAATTAGCCAAATCGGTCCAGCCGTTCTCGAGTTTTAGCGAGACTAACGAACAGCAATTCATTTTTATATAAAGAAATATATATATATATATAAATAAATGAATTGCTGTATTAATAACTCTACGCGTAATAAAATAATGAAATTTAAAACAGAGAGAGAGAGAGAGAGAGAGAGAGAGAGAGTATTCTTTATTGTACACCAAAAAACAAATAAACAGTGCGATACATTAACAACAAAAAAGTACAATTGGCGGTCTTATCGCTAAGAGCGATCTCTTCCAGACAACCATCAGGTGGACAAGAATCATTTGGAAACGAACAGATTTAATAGCGTTACCTACCCAGGATTCCTGAAGTATTTTGTTAAGGGAAATTACACGCTTTTAATAGCTTAGCCTCTATCCATTTCTTCTTCTTTGTCGTTTCCTCATTACTGAGCGTCGTGACCACCTTGGTCCAGTTTTTGCACCAGCTTCCTCCAATGCTGCCTGCATTCGGCCTGCTTAATGGCGCCCGGGACGCTGGTGTTTGTGGCCTCCTTGATAATGTCCGTCCACCTGGTTGGCAATCTTCCTCGACTTCTCTTTCCTTCCACGTGACCTACAACTATTAATTTTTCCAAGTTCTCAGGATTTTGTCGGGCCACGTGTCCGAAGTACTTGAGGAGACGCTGCTTATAGATTTAACGGAACCTTTTACCGTAATTGTCACTAACTACAACATATCCAATCAAAATTTGTGCGCGTATCAATGACCAATGTCAATACAATAATTTTTAATACTGGCCTAAAATCTTAACCTTATTACATTACTTATATTTAAACTGTTTGTAAAACTTTACTAAATATGTCTTTTTCTAGGTACTAAATTTCGTGAAGAGTTCATTGAAAGGCAATACCGTAAATCTAGTTTCTGCGGTCAAAACGGCGGGACATAATTACACTAAAGTGGTAAGCATTAACTTCAATAAATAAAGCTTTTTTGCTATCCACATTTTTAGTTGTTAAGTAAATAAAAAGTTCTATATATCAAAAAAGACGAAAACTTAAAAAAATATATATTTAAATACAGATTTGTGGGTAGTTGCTTTTTTTAGGGTCTCGACTTTAACTTTAAACAATATTTCTTTTAGATCACTTAAATAAAGGAATCCTATTCTAAAAATGCAACGCGAAATCCAACCCTTTCATTAAAACACTTCGGACGTTTTTGGAAGTTCTTTAAGTTAGCGAATCAGGAAAAATACCGGCCCAAAGCCCGTTATAACCAATTATCTCGCAAAACGATGTCTTGGCCTTTAAATAATACATTTTTTGTATTGCCATTGTAGGCAGACAAGCATACGGACCACTTCATGGTAAGTGGTTATTGTCGCTCATGGACGTCAGCAATGCCAGGGTCACAGTCAAGTCGCTGACAAAAAAAATCAATCAATACAAAAATTCTGGAATCAATTCGCAGCGCTTTCACCGCATCCAATTAATATGGTTAAATGATTTACAGATATACTCAAATAGACGAGAAAATTCATGAAATCGGTACAACCCTTTAGAGCACATTTATATTTACAAATAAAATATAAGTACAAATACAGTCTTCTAAGACTTGATTGTGCGGTGCGCGTGTTTACCTGTTCCATACAGAAAGCATGCACGATCTAAGTTTTAAGAATTAGTATTATAATAACCGTTTTCTACTCAGATTCCAGTGGACAAATCAGTTGGGGAAGTAACGGTATCGGTGTCTGGTGCCAAGCCTCATATCAAGGTGGTCAATCCGAACGACGAAGAATTGACTGGACCACCCAAACTCTTGAAAATACTAGATCTGTCGGAGATCATGGTAAAGTCACAATTTTTTTTTTGTTGCTTAGATGGGTAGAGGAGCTTACAGCCCACCCGATGTTAAGTGGTTACTGGAGCCCATAGACATCTACAACGTAAATCCACCACCCACCTTGAGATATCAGTTCTAAGGTTTCAGTTTAGTTACAACGGCTGCCCCATCCTTCAAACCGCAACACAATACTGCTTCACGGCAGAAATAGGCGGAGTGGTGGTACCTAACCGTGCATATGTAGCATACCCTATTTCTTAGGTTACTTTGTCTGGATACTAGCATTGTTTCTTTAAAACGACTTACATGTAAGTTGGTAATCATGAGTACCCACTGAAAAATCTAGATTAAGCTTTTCTGAGTTGTCTCCGTATATTTTTTCCTACCTATGCTGATAGCCTTTAGAGGCTATTTCAGTGTTTCTCTAGAGCGTAGGTGAGCTGTCGAGGCTCAAACCGGAGGTGTTGTTAACACTGGCCCTAGCAAGAGTAGTGCTTCGCAGAGTCTACCACCGGATCGGAAACGCGACCCACTGAGAAAATACGGCGAGAAACTCAGTAGGCTAATGTTCGTATAGGTACACAAATAATCGTACGTATGTAGTATTCTGGTACCAAGTTGTCTATGTAGACATTACAACGTGAATCTCAGCGCCCATGCCGAGATTTCAAAGTCGAAAATTCAAGTGTGTTGCATGAAGGTTTTCCCGCTCTTCAAACCGGATCACTTGTCTGCACCGCGGCAGATTTAGGTACGATTGTGGTGCCCGTCTATGCAGGCTCACAATACGTCCTGCCATCACTAAATGCTGGTGGGCGTCTACAGTTTGCTGGTGTATTTCTTAGAGCACGCTTCTGCTCATTCTCCAGTCACTTCACCTTTTATGACAGCCACGGTAAGAAAGGGATGGTGCATTTCTGGGCCGCATAGACAATAGTACACATTTAATAGTGAACGATTAACATTCCACCATATTTGTTTACAAAGAAGATCGTCATTTTTCCATTAACGAAGAAAAAATAGAAGAAAATACATAATAATAACTGGTGTCGTATTCAATTTTAAATGCTGTTCCTTTAGGTGGTGAAAGTTTTAGATCCAGAACCAGGTACTTGGAGCATATCAGTGGGCAGCGAGAAGGACTACTCTGTTAAAGTCGTTGGCCTCTCCAATCTCACTTTCAACTACGGCTTCTCGTTGCAAAGACCGACTTCTATGGCTGAAACCGGTTACAGACCATTGAAAAGTAAGATTTATATGTCAGCTAGACCTAGCGCAACAAACATCTGGCCCAGGTTCATCCGCGAAGCAGCTGCTCTCGAGTTGTTAGGTCTCCGTTGGAGGCGCTCGGGCAGCTGGTAGCTAGTCCCACCCCTCCTGGCTGAGCCTATGCTCGCCCACCTGTCCTGGTGAAACTGGAAAGGCCTCCGGGCCACCGGTAAACATTTAATCACAAAAAAAAAACTGGCCCAAAAAGAAATATCTATAGGCGGTAATTCTGGTGATGTAATAATGGTAAATTACGAACAACAAATTTTCCTGCACAATTTACATTAGGTTATATATTTTAGGTGCCCTATGTTATTCGCCGGCTTTCTTATTTGAATAGTTCCTACCACGATTTTCTGGTCATTTATCAATGGTAAATGCGAACAACAAACTTTGGCGCGCTATTTACATTATATATTAAATATATCCTATCTTATTTGACGGGTTCCCACAGTGATTTTCAAAATATGTAAAGGGTTATTATGAAAATCTTTTTAAGAAAGAACTCGTTAAATAATAGTGCTTATAATGCAAAAAAATATACCTATTTTACCAACGTTTTTTCGATACACTCAATGTTACGCAATCAATAGTCGACTATTACAAAGGGTCAACGTCACGCGTCTGAGGATAATGGAGCTTTATTATGCTTTAGATTTCGGGCCATAATCACTGGAACTCAGGACGGTGGCACCTAAATCCATATACGGACAACAATACACACTCTTATTGGTTCTACTCGCTAAAATTAACTCCATGTTCCAGGGACCTACAACCACATGATGCTATCGCTGTCAGAAACAGATGTTCCTATATATTTAGAGTACGCCGAGATCGTGGATTTGGAAGGAAGGACTTTGTTCGAAGTGCCATTGAAATCGGATACAGAGAATAACTTGTACTGGGCTGATGCATTTGTACCGCCAGACGACTTCTTTTATATCGCTGTAAGTTCTTCGCTGTAAATACGATTAGGGAAAGAGCACGATGATCAGTGCGACGGTTTTTTTTTTAAGGGATTTTATGACCTGGTAACTAAGACCTTTAAGTCATATCTTATTTTAATTTATATTCTTATTTTTATGAAAAATGATAATATGCAGTAAAATAAAATGAAATGAAGATGATTAATTTGAGACATTAATCAACTGGGATGAACTTAAATGAAAAGAGATGAAATATAATCTCAGTAAAATGGTGATCATTTACTGGCTTCCCTTATCTAGTTCTTGCTAGCCACCCTGGAGTTTCGAGTTCTTTGGACATATCGCCAGAAAGAGAGGTGACAATCTGGAGAAGCTGCTGGTGACAGGCAAGGTATGCGGGAGAAGGCACAGAGGCAGAAATCCAATGCGCTGGTCGGACCAAATACGCTCCACTCTCAATACCTCAGTCCACGTTGCTATCCACACAGCCGAGGACAGGCAGGAATGGCGCCAGATGATGCAGGAGAAAGTGATTAGAGGAGGCCACGACCCTCAGATTTGAGGATTATCGACGCAAGGAGGAGGAGCCACCCTGCATAGATCATCACTCCACCAGGCTGTCCTGCACTAAGTTTGCCAATTCGCGGTCTCCAATCAAGAGCACGTTTACCCCAACGGTTATCGGTTCTTGTTTTAATTTTGCTACTTGTTATTTAGTATTCCAAATACTTTATTTCAGATAAACGGACGCGATGAAAACGGGCAAGAATTTCGAAGAGTTGGCACAACGGCTGTACAAGCGAGATTACCAGGTTTGACATTAAGGTTATATTTTTATTAAATTTAAACATCATCATTGGAATCACACATTGATGCTCCAATGTCATCTTGTAAAGTTTTCGCCGCCTTTTGACCTCATATTGATAAACAGCCCTTTGTCAAACGCTTCCACTGCATATAGTTAGTTTCTCGATCTTATCTTTTTTTTTCTTTTTTCCTATGCTGATAGCCTTGAGAGGCTATATCAGCTTCACCCTAATGTGTAGGTAAGCTCACGGGGCTCAAACCGGAGTGGTGCTAACACTGACCCTAGCAAGAGCAGTGCTTCGCAGAATCTACCACCGGATCGGAAACGCGATCCACTGAGAAGATCCGGCGAGAAACTCAGTGGGCTGTGTCTGTGGGTTACCTTATCAAACACCCAGGGACGTCTTAAACTAGGATGGGGCCCTTGGGCACACAAAAATTTGAGGCCCTTTTAGAAAGTAAAAAAAGCGAATTATAATAACATTTTTTTTAGTGAGTAAGAGACCATTTATTATAGGTAATCAAATACAGTATGATATAATATGTCATTAATGATATTAGAATGCTGCTGGTTTTTTTGGTTACGATTTCGATAACGGTTTCTTTCGGGATTTCTGTTAAGCAAAATCTCTATTATAGGCATAGTATAGGTATGCCTTGTAAATACCTTCTGATTACTGATTTGTGAAAAAAGTGTGATGTGCCCGACAAAAATGTTTTGAGAATAAACGTGTGAGAGAAATTGTCGGTCTTTCGGGGCCCCCTGAGAATGGGGGCCCTGGGCACGGGCCCCGTGTGCCCTTATGGTAAAGACGGTATTGCAAACACCTTTTCTTGTTTACAGAAGTACCATATTTAACCGCACCCCGTAAGGTAAGATAATTTTCGCACTTTATTTTTTTTTATTGCCTTTGCAGGCAGACGAGCATACGGCCCACCTGATGGTAAGTGGTCATCGTCGCTCATGGACGTCAGCAATGCCAGGGGTAGAGCCAAGCCGCTGCCTACCATAAAAAATTCTTTAAATATGACTACAGAGTTGAAAGCAAATCATTACGAAGTTACTTTCAATAAATCTGTTCAAAATTAAAACAACGATGCACGTTATAATTGTGAATTAAATTTAACGTAAAATAATAAAATACTTGCAATAAATAATAGTATTAAATAAGTTAAACTAAACTTATGTTTCTGCTCGTATTTATAAATTATTCACAGTCTAATTTTTGTAGACTTTTTGTGGTTTGTTGTTGTAAGAATTTGGATTGCGAGACCTTCATTAATGTGAAGGAGACATCTATAAACTTTTGTAATATTTAGTTTAAGAAATAAATACAAAAAAAACGATATTATTTATGGGAGCATAATATACATATCCAAAATTAAACTAAAATGTTTGTTGTACAGTTCAACTGTGTGTTCTGTGTGCTTAGTGCGAGTTTCTTAACGTTCTCGATAACGTAAAAGTTAAGCCATTTTTGTATGCAGTTGGAACAGCGCCCCTAACGGCAAACGTACGCAAACCATCCCACTCCATACAAATATGAGCTAACTTTTACGCTATCGAGAACGTTAAAAAACTCGCACTAAGCACACTGATGAGAAATAAATGCTATTTAAACCTATTTAATTTTAATTTAATTTTAATTTTCAAGTTCAGATTAAAATCGCACTACCTTGCACAATAATATGGCTCCTACAATATAACTGTACAAGTTGCTACTTATTTTGTATTTACTTGCATATTTTTAGTATTTATTTGTATTTAATCGTATGTAAGTCTACCTTATATTGTATTTATTTTTCACATGTGTATATAAGTATATATTTTTATGTAAGTTTATTAAGATATAGCATCGTCCAGTTCGCTTATTCCTCTCCCTGCAAGGTTGCCTGGAAGAAATCGCTTTCAGCGATAAGGCCGCCAATTTATGTCACCGACTATTATTATTTTATTTATTTATTTTATACTTATTGTACACAAAAAGAAAATACAATCAAAACAGACTTAAAGAATGTCCAAATACTATGTACAAAGGCGAGCTTAACTCATTGTTATTCTCATAACTATTATTTGTTTTTTATGCTTACTCTGTACATATGGTGTTAAATAAAGTGTTATATTATTATTATTGTTATTTGATTTAGGTGGTAGCCCGCGCGCATTCCAGAGTAGTTCTAACGTGTAAAGTGGAGAGCATGGTTCCCGTTACGGCTCGGTGGACGAAGAAACCGAACCAAAAGTTTCCGGAGGTATCTAGTTTGTGAGTAATATTCTACTATACAATGTAATATATAGTTGTCGTCGTGGTCTTAAAGATATGACGCCTGGTCCATGAGCGACGAATCGATCGACTTCACCGATGAATGAATAACATTTCCTAATGAAATCAAGCATGAATAAAAATGGAAAGGTTACAAAATTTATGCATACGCTTTATTTTTGGTTTACGCAAATATGATCATGTCTCGCAGTACAGATCACAACTTAATTGGTTGCCTTTTTTTTTTAATTTTTTTTTTATTGCTTAGGTGGATGGACGAGCTCACAGCCCACCTGGTGTTAAGTAGTTACTGGAGCCCATAGACATCTGCAATGTAAATGCGCCACCCACCTCGAGATATAAGTTCTAAGATCTCAGTATAGTTACAACGGCTACCCCACCCTTCGAACCGAAACGCATTACTGCTTCACGGCGGAAATAGGCGGGGCGGTCCTACCACCAGTGTAGTTGCCTATCCGACTTCGCCGTGATGTACATGTTTTATGTATGCTGTTCAACATCCTCAATAACCCAGCTGTTCCCCAGTACCTCCGTGAGCACTTCGAGTACCAGATGCCCCGTGGTGTACCCTGTCGTACAAGTAGATCCCTTCTCCTTAATTTTCCCCCTCACTCTTCCAGCCGCTACGGTGGTTCGTTCACTGTGCACTCTGTGCGTCTGTGGAACTCAGTTCCACACTCAATCCGTGCAAGTCCCTCACTTGAAGTATTCTGGAAGGCATTAAAGGAGCACCATCTATCAATTTAGTATTACTTATATGTATTTATTTTATGTATTTCATTATATATGTACGTGTATGTATATGTTTATGTTATTTATGTGTGTAATTGTGTATGTATATAGTTTGATATTATGTATTAGTGTTTATTTTTATTATTTTTATTGTTTATAGTATCAATAATTAAATTAATTAGATTGTACTCATCTATCCACTAAAGTAAAGCTTTCCTTCTTTGAGAACGGTTAGCTGGTAGATAACTCAATTGTTGAGTTAAGCTCGCCATTTTTTTATATCTTATCCCAATTACTGTATTTTATTAACAGTGTGTACAAATAAATAATAAATAATAATGGTTTGCGTAATAAATGGGGGCAGGGAGTTTTGCGAGTCCGCACGGGTAGGTATGACCACCCTACTTATTTCGGCCGCTGTACTATAATATAAAACTGAGGCTTAGAACTCATTTCTCAAGATGGGTGGTGACATTTACCTTACCGATCACTGACTCCATGGAGCAGATGGGGCTGTAGTCAGCGTCGTAGTCTCGTTTCTAGCATCGAACGAACATTCATGTGATGAACATGTTTGTTTGCCTTGTGCCTCTCTCCCTCCCCCCCTCTTTATCTCTCTCTCTCTCTCTCTTTCTTCCTAGCTATTTATCCCACAATCCCAGATGGTAGATCAACATTGCATTCCCCTCTTGTCCTTCAGCACTATATCCTTCCACTTTGCCCTGGGTCTCTAGATCTCCGACGTCCGTATTTGGTTTCCAGCGTACAGGGAATCCTGGTTTGGGGTCAGATGACCGTTTTCGACTTGACCCCAATTAGAGTTAAAGAGTTAGTCTGCTTCGGACGAATAACGTAAGCACAAGTCGAACGTATGCGGTACAACAGAATAAATTTCTTCCAGACACACGACCACGATTGAGCACGTGATCGAAGACATGAAGGAGGAAAACGTGGGAACCTACACGTGTAACGCTGACAACGTTGCCGGCGTCAGCAGAATATTAGTCCGGGTGGTTCTTCTTGGTAAGACCGACAGACAGCTGTTTGGAGTTTCAAGGGGTCCAACCGCTTGGAGTCTAGTGGGGGCAAATGGGATATGCGCTGTGTGCGAAACGCGTCACCGTACCTCCAGCGATCCTTGGATCAGTTCTGCCTCATCTGAGGCTTCAGGTTGTTGACAGTTAGGATTAGTCGGTTTAATAAGAACATCCTTTGCCTACTGCCTACTGCCACGAGGCGAAAGACCGGCGATTTTATTCTGAGCAAAAAAAAAACGTTTAGAATTTTTTGGTACATATCATTGCTGACGTCAATGAGTGACGGGGACTACTTTTTTTTTTTTTTTTTTTTTTTTTATTCTTTNCCGCAACGATGCAACGCAATAACTGCAATACGGTCTTCTTTAAGCGTCCACTCCATATTTAAAAATGAGTAAAATTCTAAAAGTATACATTTTTATTTTCATGAACAATTCGAAATTCGAATTCAATAAACTTTTTTGTGGCCAGCATTCTAAAAGAAAAGTTTTTACTGTGTGACAATACTTATGACCTGACTAGTTATAATACGAATACAAACATAGTCAATTACTTTTTAACATAATTACTCTGCGCATGGAACAGCATCATTAATATCGCATTACTGACTCCATGGGCAGGTGGGGCAGTAGTCGGTCGAACGATCGAAAATTCATTTATGAACATTTTTGTCTGCATTGTGCCTTCCCCCTCTCCCCATCCCCCTCGTCCTCCCTCCCTCCCTTCCCTCTCCCCCTCCCCTTCCCCTCCCCCTATTTCTCTCTCTATCTCCCTCTCTCTCTCTCTCTTCTTAGCTATTTAGCCCACAATCTCACATGGTGGATCAACATTGCATTCCCTTTTGTCCTTCAGCACTATATCCTTCCACCTTGCCCTGGGTCTACCTCTAAATCTCCGACGTACGTATTTGGTTTCCAGCATACAGGGAATCCTGGTTTGTGGTTAGATGACCGTTTTTGACTTGACCCCAATTACAGTTAAAGAGTTAGTTTGCTTCGGACGAATAACGTAAGCACAAGTCGAGCGTATGCGGTACAACAGAATTAATTTCTTCCAGACACACGACCACGATTGAACACGTGATCGAAGACATGAAGGAGGAAAACGTGGGAACCTACACGTGCAACGCTGACAACGTTGCCGGCGTCAGCAGAATATTAGTCCGGGTGGTTCTTCTTGGTAAGACCGACAGCTGTTTGGAGTTTCAAGGGGTCCAGCCACTTGGCGTCTAGTGGGGGCAAATGGGATATGCGTTGTGAGCGAAACGCGTCACCGTACCTCCAGCTATCCTTGGATCAGTTCTGCCTCATCTGAGGCTTCAGGTTGTTGACAGTCAGGATTAGTCGGCTTAATAAGGAGATCCTTTGCCTACTGCCTACTGCCACGAGGCGAAAGACCGGCGATTTTATTCCGAGCAAAAAAAATATTGTTTAGAATTTTTTGGTACATATCATTGCTGACGTCAATGAGTGACGGGGACTACTTAATGTCAGATGGGCCGTATGCTCGACTGCCAACGATGGCAATAAAAAGCTAGTTTAACAATAATATCGGAACAGATGCAAAGCATTGAACAATAGGAAATCTTGCGTTAAAAGCGACATCTTCTATAAAACCATTATTAATCACAATACGCCCTAACACCAGTGAAGATAGTCGTAATGTATGTATATGTATTTGTATATGTCGACATTTATTATATCTTTATAATATAATTTTTCAAATAATTTTTATTTTCAAAATGTGAACAAGTCGTCAATGTCCCCCGGGAATTGGAACCTTTGATCTCGCGTTTTAGGATGACGTCATCGTTTCTGTGTTACTTAAAACAAAACAAAAATGTTAACAGTGGACCCACCGGAAGTATTGATCGAACCAAAAAACAAAACTTTGGAAGTCGGAGATGACCTCAACGTAACATGCACGGCGATCAGTGAGGCCTTACTGCTGAAACATCGACTTATCTTCAAAGGGAAGGACTTTGAAAACTGTACGTATATATAATATGGAGCGTAGAGGTAAGGAGAACCTTCTCTGTGTGTGAAAAAGTGTCCGTTAAAATATGTTAAATAAGGGTGGCGCTACAGTAGCAACCGGGTCAATTAAAAAAAAGGCGCCCAAGTTATTAGAATAAGATAGAGAAATAAAAAAGGACGAAAGAACTGTAAATACTATAAAAAGTATTTTATTTAAAGCTGATAAGAAAATGAAATCGATGTCTCCACGTTTTACGACAGCAATAATTTTAGGTTATATTGACGAAATTACTGTCGCTAACTCTATTCATTAAAATATATTAAATTAATATAATTATTGATTTATTATTTATTTAAAATTATTAATTTTTTTATTAGTTATTATTTAATTATTTAATTAATTATTATTTATTTATTATTTATTTAAAATTAATATTAAATTAATATAATTTAAATTCATTAAATATATTAAATTTCCTAACTCAGAATACTTCAATCAGTTAACAACTTTACTGCTCAATTCATATTATATCCTGGGCCTATGCTAGCGTCATTCTGGAGGATTTTTAAATTGTTATTTAGTGCTAAAAGTGGAACACTTTTTCAAGCTTCTCCCATATGAGACGGTTCTCCTTACCTCTATCCTCCATAAGATATAAGTACCGACATTTAGTTTATAAATTTTGTCGCTGGTACCTCCTGGTTAATTCAGCTACACCCGGTCGGGTAGGTGAGCTGATGGGTTCAACCTGAAAGAGTTTGTTAACATTAGCCTTAGCAAGAGCAGTGCTTCGCTGAATTTACCATCGGATCGGAATAGCGAGCCACTGAGAAGATGCGGCGAGAAACTCAATGGGTTGGGTCTATAGGACTATATCTAGTAGTATAATTCTATCTTTATACAGGCGATGGATCAAAGATTAACTTAGATTGTAATTAAAACGTGGTAGAACCTCTTGTGAGTCCGCACGGGTAGGTACTAGTAAAAGGGTAGTACTAGTAATACGGTAGGTAAAAGTTAACTCAGATCTATATGGAGTTGGAACGTTTGCCAACGTTTGCCGCTAGGGGTGCTGTTCTAACTGCATTTAACTGCATACAAATTTGAGTTAGCTTTTACGCTATAGAGATCTTTAAAAACAAGCACACAGAAATAGATCAAATTGAAGCGTACCGTTTCACTTCCACGCTGCTTAGCAAAGACGAAATGCATTTTAGATACGTAAGCATAAAGTGCATTTTCGAACTTCAACTTTAGAGCAACCATAATGAATGCTTTTGAAGTTGTATTCTAATTTTTCAGCGACCGATATTCATTTGGAGCCAAACATGGAAGGTTATTACGCTGCCAATATAATCATACGAAACGTGACAGAGAAGTATGCTGGAAACTACACCTGTCTAGCAAGTAATAGAGGTATGAGATCATCATGATGCAGACAAAAAAGTGACTATAAGCCCTAGAGTTCATTGTCTATCGGTATCAGCCCGACATGTTTGTCTATATTTCTCTAAACCGCACTTCAGAAACACAATCGACCCTTCCCATTTCTGACAGTCTACGGAATATGACACAGCTGACGTTGTCCGAGTATTCATCATTAATTGTAAAATTATATAAATTCGAATTCAAACAATAAAAGTAATTTTAGTTATGTCAAATTAATTAAGTAGGTAGGTACGGTTCGCATGTAAAGAACGATGCAAGTGGTAACTCATTAACAATTACCACCAAGATTTAAGATGAGAGAAAATCTCGTCCTCCTCCTTGAGTAGCATTCCTTATGTTTGAGGGTCGTGACCGTCTCCTCCCATTATCCTTCTCTGGACGATGTTTCGCCGTCTTCCTCTGTTCTCGGCGGTGTGTATGGCATAGTAGACTGTGGTAACCAGATTGATGCATATTTGATCAGACCAGCGCATTGGATTGCGGCCACGAGATCTTTTGCCTGCAATCTTGCCAGTTACATAATTTTTTTAAGATTGTCACCGCTCTTTTTGGCGATGTGACCGAAGAATTCAAATATCCTCTTGAAGCAGATGGTAGAGAGCCTGGTTTAGATATTGAGCTGTCTTAATGCGGATGCGTTAGTCCGATATGCTGTCCACGAGTAGCATCTTCCTCCAGAACCACATCTCGAAACCATCCATGCAGTGGCAATCAGCTGATTTCAGAGTCCACGTCTCAGCACCATAGAGAAGAATAGCGATCGAACAAGTCTAATTTTGGTTTCAAGATATATTTTCCTATCTCTCCACGTTCTATGGAGCTGTGACATGGCGCTCTTTGCTATGCCATGCTATCCTGAAAATGTACAGATTTAAAAAAAATATTTTCATGAAATTCTAGAAAAAAAAGCATATTGATGTTTCACCAGCACTATGATGCGGTCCTCTTCAAATTTAGGTTTAAGCGGCTTTTACTGATGCGCGTGCATTATTATTTTTTTGCTTTGCCATTTTAAGCTAATCAGTTCTATTCTTGAAGAACTTTAATATGTATTGTGTTTTGTAAGGAGGATTCTGGTATGCATTATTTACATATTACTTTAAAACTATTCCAGGTGGCGAAGCAAACCAAACAACATACATAAAAATCAATGCAAAACCAAAATCCCGAATATTAGGTCCGCACACGCTGTCCCCACAACTGAACACTGATGTGCAGCTCGTGTGTCATGTCGACAACGCGGAGTCCGTGCAGTGGCTGGCTCCCAACGGGACTGCGGTGAGGGAGCGGTCCGTGGACCACAGCTCTGATGACGTTCTCGACGTGAGGAGCGTTAGTGAAGATGGTCAGTGGACTTGTGTGGCCCGTCGAGGATACTTTAATGGTAGGTTAGATGGAAAAATAATGATATTAAAGAAAAAAAGGAAAATTTCCCATCTATAATTAACAGATTATTCCAATGTGTGAATTATGATGGTTGTGTGAAGAGAAAAAGCCGATCAGAGTTTATGTATATAGGTACATCGTACACTGTCTATAGATATCTAGGAAAGGTGTGCAGCGTCTTGGCTCCGCTCCTGTTAGTAGCAACTCCTATGAGTAATGGTAATCACACTGAGCTTTACTAACAAGCTGTCGCTTGAAGTCGTCGTGGCCTAAAGGATAAGACGTCCGGTGCATTCATGTTGAAGCGATGCACCGGTGTTCGAATTCCGCAGGCGGGTACCAATTTTTGTAATGAAATACGTACTCAACAAATGTCCACGATTGATTTCCACGGTGAAGGAATAACATCGTGTAATAAAAATCAAACCCGCAAAATTATAATTTGCGTAATTATTGGTGGTAGGATCTCTTGTGAGTCCGCGCAGGTAGGTAACACCACCCTCTTTTTTTTTCACGCTGGGGAATCCATTTACGGATACCCGGTCGAGAGGGGTAACAGACCGGGCTATGTCGGACTCCGGCGCCTCCAGAGAGAAGAGGAATACCGGGGTCCTCCTCTTCTTCCAAATTCCTGCCGGGAGATTACGCCTTGAGAAAGGCGCGCGAGACGCTGCACGGACGGCATCAGCCACACAAGAGCTACCCCGCAAAATCGACTACCGACTAAACCCCATCGAGCTCCACCGACTCCGACTCCACGAAACCCACGGTACCGCACAGTGCGCGGCGAAGGTTCGCCGTCGCCGTCCTGACAGTAGGATGGGATTCCATCCCCGGGAAAAGGTACCACCACCCTGCCTAATTCTGTGGTGAAGCAGTAATGCGTTTCGGTTTGAAGGGTAGGGCAGCCGTTGTAACTGTGCTAAGACCTTAGAACTTATATCTCAAGGTGAGTGGCGCATTTACGTTGTAGATGTCTCTGCGCTCCGGTTACCACTTAACACCTGGTGGGCTGTGAGCTCGTCCACCCATCTATGAAAAAAAAAACAGTTCCCACCATATCAATTGTATACGCATGTTAAAGTTAAAAGGTGTCTTCCTAATTTTTTTCGTTTCAGTGTCAGATTCGGTGTCAATAAGCGTTCAAATTAAACCAAGGGTGACTATAATTGGATCCAAGAGCATCACCATATTAAATGGGACGACCTATGACGTCACTTGTGAAGTACTAGCCAAGCCTCCCCCTAGAGTTGTATGGCACAGGGAGACAGAGAAGTTTCTGAACTGTAGCGTAAGTTGACTTGAATTTTTATGAAATAGGTACTTCATATAAGCGACGAAGAGACATACGTAAAGAACCCGCAATGAAATAACTAAACAAAACAAGTTATATTACATAAACCAGGGGTTTCCCAACTTATTTTGTCTACTGTTCACTTTGAGAATAAATTATTTTTTAACGCCGCCATTTTTTCACCTACTAAAAACCACTATAGCGAGAGATCAGTCGGTGTCTAAGAGTCCTCCTAGATGAAGTTACAAATCGCGTTCCAACCCTCTACACAACGCTCCCTTTTTTCTGGGTCTCTTACCGCCCCCCTCTAGCCATACAGCGTCCACAAGGGGGCGTTAGCGCCCACTTTGGGAAAGACTGACATAAACGAACGACGAAATAAAGCGATCAATAAGTCAAGAGAAGATCAATAAGTTTTTTGAAAACTAAATCATATTCCAGACGTCACTGATTGCGTCTAATCTATATCGGAGCGTGCTGCGTCTGGACAGCAGCAAGGAGCCAGTGAACGGCACGTACTTCTGCTTCGCAGAGAACTCCGACGGTATATCCCAGGACAGCGTCGCCGTGCGCGTCCGGACACAGATGCGTCTGCGCCACGGATTCAATAGTGAGACTGACTTACTCATTAATCTAGTTAGTTATCTCCGTCATTGTTAAATATTCGCACGAAAGCTTTTAACTATGGCATAAGTGTTCAACGCATTATAAAACTAATGTGTATAATAAAGCTAACAAGTTATTGTTTTCAGATACGCAATTACAATTGTATTCGCAAATGGATCTCCGTTGTGACGTGGATTCCCTGCCGGCGCCCGTAACGAGATGGTTCCACAACCGAACCGAGCTGCAGAACGACACCAACACGATCATCTCGAGCGACAACGCGTCTCTACATATCAACAGAATGGATTTCTCCAACTTCGGACGGTACACTTGTGTAACCGACAATGGATATGAAAAAATGTCAGTTGATGGCACTATTAGCGCAATTATAGGTAAGGAGCTCGTTAAGTTTTTTTATAATTGAAAGTCGTAGTGGATTTAACGAGAAGATGTACTTACTTCGAGCAATTAATATGGTGTTCAAATCTCACAGGCAGACTATTACAGATATTTTTTAGAAAATAAAAGGATATCATGTAGTTTAAATCAAATACGCTCGCTGTCTGCCCCGTTTGGGAAGTGCAGCGCCGTGTCCTGGTCGCAAAAATAGGACCTGACTTGTCGCTGTCTGGCGTCGTGGCGTCGATGCTTGGCGGAGATGAGTCCTGGAAGGTTATGCTCGACTTCTGCGAGTGCACAATTTCGCAGAAGGAGGGGGCGGGGCGGGTGAGGCAAGAATCTCCTCATTACGCAGAAATCTGCCGCTGCCGAGCAGGGGGTCGGGAGCGGGGTTGCATCCGTGATCCGGTGCCCTAAAAGCTTCGGGCTCCACCCGCTTTGTGCGGGGATGGACCCAGACGTGGGGTGGCGTGCTTTGCACACTCGCCCGCAATAGGAAGCCGGGTGATGATAGACCGCGTTCTCCCGACCGCTTCGGGGAAAGGCTAGCGCGGCGCCATCAAGGCGGGCTCCCGGCCCGTCGACCGAGGGAACCGGTGGTCGTGTCGCCGGCGGCCGCCGGTCCGACGTCTGTGGGACGGCGGGATGGATGTAATATGCTCTGCGTCAACCCTGTCCCGCCGTCTCGATAGCCGGCCGGACCGGGGTAGGACGCCGGCTGTGAGCGGCAGGAGTATTTAGTGAGGTTCAACTCCCACATACCCCACCTGCCACGTGCTTGGGGATCCAGCGATTTTCTTCTGTGGAAAAAAGGGATAACTCCAGCTGCGCGCGGACTGGAGCTAACTGTTAATGAATCATACCAAAGCAAGATTATTCCTCGACTACGCATTCTTTCTTTCTTGGCTAGTTTATAACAAGCTGCTTCTTGTTATAAACTAAAACTTCAATATGAGTAGTTTTAAATAATTATTACCTTTGTAAACCTATACAAAAAAAGCCGTTAAATATACTTACATCCCGCTGAAAGAGCACAAAACAATTACCATTATCTTTGTCATACGCAGGGTGTTGAGAGACGTTTTCCGAATGACATAAAACTAGTCTTGCCTAAATGTCTCGCCTTGAACAATTGTGCACCCAATACTGAGTGCAGGTCCCTTCACATGCACTCCATTCCCTTCAGTCTCTGGCCTTTGCCATCCAATCCCTATCAGCTATTTTGACCAGGTCGTCGCCTATCTCATTAGTTGTCGTTCCAAGTTACGACGAGGCACGTACTCTTTCCAGTACGAGGTCCCCACTCCAGTACTTTTGCGCCTCACCGATTGTCAATGCGGCGGTTAATCGATGTAAATGTGATGACGGTTAATTCCAGACGTCAAATATCTTAGGAGCACAAAATGTCTACTATCAAAGGCTCTTTGTAAACTATACTTTAAGAAGCACATATCACAAGTCGACATGCCGTTGCCGGCTTCACAAGTCTTCCATGCATTTCGCGGCGATTTAAATCGTAGCAAATATTACAGTAGATCCACCGCGAGTGTCGATAGAGCCTGAAAACAAAACCATTGACGCTGGAGAGGATCTGAACGTGACATGCACGGTGGTCAGCGAAGCGTCATTTCTTAAACACCGACTGGTCTTCAAAGGGGACAACTTCGAAAACTGTATGTATGTTTTAGCTGTTTTTCAAGATCAGTTTCAAAATTAGCTTTTGCAAGAGATGCAGTTTCTAATGACGTATATTTTCAGAGAACTTTGTATTAAAAGAGATTACGAGTATTTCTTGGTTTTATTAGTGGTAGGGCGTATTGTAAGCACCCACGGGTAGGTAGCATCATACCGCCTATTTTTACCGCGAAACAGTCACGCATTCCAGTTTGAAGGGTGGGACTGCCATTGTACAATATAATTGAGACCTCAATTTCATGTTTCAAGGTGAGTGGCGGTATTCTACATTGTGAAGTATAGATACGAGGGAGAAGCAGGGGCTCTCCGGTAATCATTGAATACAAAGCGGGGCGTGAGCTCAATGCAATAGAATTTAGATAAATTTATCAAAAGGCGACCAATATGTTTTACAGCCTCCGAAATACCCCCAGAACCGGACACGGGGGGACGTCACTCTTTCAGTGTTATCATACGCAACGTCACGGAGAAGTACACTGGGAACTATACGTGCTCAGCAATTAATGCAGGTTTGAAATGATTATCTTATAATTATTTAATTGCAACTTAGTCATTATACAAAATATAATAAAGTTTTCAGAAAATGTTTATGAAATAACTTACTATGAATATTAAACTAAACAAAAGCAATGGGGAAGACAGGACCTAACATCAACGTAGCTGCGTAAATCGTAACGTGAATTTACACAGGCAGAAATGTATTGTAGGTACATACATGTCTGATATCATAATATTGGTCGAGCGGCTGCTGCAGAGAAGGGTGTCGCCGCACATCCTTCTCAGACCCGAGCAATTCGGGTTTCGTAGCGGTCACTCGACAACGCTGCAATTGGTCCGCGTTATGCATCACTTGGCGGATCGGTCCAACGCGCGCCATTACACGGCCGCAGTCTATCTCGATATCGAGTGTCTGGCATGCGGGACTGATCTACAAGCTGTTGCAGAACACGGACCTCCAGCACGCCCACCTGTGACTGCTGGGGTCGTATCTGGAGGGAAGATCCTTCCTTGTCGCGGTCGAGGGGGTCAAGTCGTCGGTGCGCCCAGTCACGGCCGGAGTTCCTCAAGGAATCGTCCTGGCACCATTCCTCTAGGCTCTCTACACTAACGACATTCCCACGCTCGAGGGCAATCTCCAAACATAGGAAGTCGATGTGAAGTTGGCGCTGTTTGCCGACGACAGCGCCTACTTCACGTCATCAAATTTCCCCTCTGCGGCCATTTCTAGATTGCAGAGGCTATTGGACCTACTGCCCCAGTAGCTGGACCCATGGAAGGTTGTTTTAATATTAAATTGTCATCGGTCCTTAATAAGTATACCAAATTTCGAGTTAATCCGACGTTTTGAAGGGGGTAAAAATCATGTTCGAAGATTCCGTTACATACTAACAACATACATACGTCTGAAGCTAATAAAAGCGTATTATAAACACGTTAGTTTTATAAATTTAAATTTTTTTCCAGGAGGTGAAGCGAACAAAACAACCTACATCAAGATAAACCCAAAACTGAAATCCCAAATATTAGGTCCGCACGCGCTGTCCCCACAACTGAACACTGATGTGCAGCTCGTGTGTCATGTCGACAATGCGGAGTCCGTGCAGTGGCTGGCTCCCAACGGGACTGCGGTGCGGGAGCGGTCCGTGGACCACAGCTCTGATGATGTTCTGGACGTGAGGAGCGTTAGTGAAGATGGGCTGTGGACTTGTGTGGCCCGTCGAGGAAACCTTAATGGTATGTTAAGTGTCTGCCTGGGTTTCAGATTTTATTTAACTAAGCAGCCTGATTATCTTCGACTGTTATTATGTATCATATGGATAATTGGAAGGAATAACATCGTGTAATAAAAATCAAACCCGCAAAATTATAATTTGCGCAATTATTGGTGGTAGGACCTCTTGTGCGGACGCACGGGTAGATACAACCACCCTGCCTATTTCTGCCGTGAAGCAGTAATGCGTTTGGGTTTACGTTTGAAGTGGGACAGCCGTTGTAACTATGGCCGCCGGTAACCACTTAACACCAGGTGGGCTGTGAGCTCGTCCACTCATCTTAGCAATAAATAAAAAACAAAAAGATATTAAAAAATTTACGTCACATGAATCTTTAATACATATAATAAAATTTACAATAAAACTATATTAACTTTAGTTATCGACAATATCAATCGGAAACTTCGTTTCAGTGTCAGATTCGGTGTTAATAAACGTTCAAATTAAACCGAGGGTGACTATAATTGGATCCAAGAACATTACCATAGTAAATGGGACGACCTATGACGTCACTTGTGAAGTACTAGCCAAGCCTCCTCCTAGAGTTCTATGGCACAGGGAGACAGAGAAGTTTCTGAACTGTAGCGTAAGTCCTTTTCTGTGTAATAAATTTACAAAATCTAAAAATGATGTATACTGTGAATCAAACATAAGAGTTTAATAAAAAAAATTAACCGAAATCGTATGGTATTTTGCAATGTCAGTTAGCATTTTAAGAATAGTAATAACTCGGGGTTCTTATAAAACAAAAAGAAGTTTATAGAATATCCGTTTGTTTTGCTGACCGTACTTTTTATTCTTTTAGTATTTTAACTTAAGACAACGAAATATTAGTTAGAGAAGTCTTGAAACTTAACATCTTCGTTTCCTAAGCTCTTTCCATCCTGCCATTTCGCTTTGCGCGATTCTTATAGCTCTGTTAGACGTACTGCAAAGCAAACGTTCCCGTATTTGGCTTATTGCTTAAATTGATGAATTCTAGCTGAAGCGACGAAGAAACATACATAAAAGAATTCCATCTTTGAGAGCTTCCTAAGAAACAACTAAACAAAACAACGATTGCTACTATCTTTACTGGTGGTAGGACCTCTTGTGAGTCTGCGCGGCTAGGTACCACCACCCCGCCTATTTCTGCCGTGAAGCAGTAATGCGTTTCGGTTTGAAGGGCGGGGCAGCCGTTGTAACTATACTTGAGACCTTAGAACTTATATCTCAAGGTGGATGGTGCATTTACGTTGCAGATGTCTGTGGGCTCCAGTAACCACTTAACACCAGGTGGGCTGTGAGCTCATCCACCAATCTAAGCAATAAAAAAAGCGATCAATAGTTCTTTTGAACACTGAATCATATTCCAGACGTCACTGATTGCGTCTAATCTATATCGGAGCGTGCTGCGTCTGGACAGCAGCAAAGAGCCAGTGAACGGCACGTACTTCTGCTTCGGAGAGAACTCCGACGGTATATCCCAGGACAGCGTCGCTGTGCGCGTCCGAACACGGATGCGTCTGCGCCACGGATTCAATAGTGAGAATCAATTACTTACTTTTAAATTAGTTAGCAATTTTTATTTTATATCAGACACATTTTATACCAAATAGAGTCTGAATTTTTATTTATTTATAGAAGTCTAAATTTAAAATATTTAGAAAAGTATGTATTTTGTGCCGAATTTGGCTACCTGATTGGCCTTGGCTATTTATTCTACTCAATATCCGAAACTCATAGAGTTCATACACTGTAATTCATGTTTCTAAACGGTAATGAAACTATTGGTATTTTCTAAACTTATTCTAAACTTATGTTTTTGATAGTTCAAGAATCCTTTTATCCACTGGCAAAAAGATAATCAAAAAATAAATAATTTAAATGAATTTCCTGAGCTTAGGCGAAAACTTGAAATACTATTCAAGGATTTTCCTTTCTTTGTTCATATGTCTCTGTAGCATACATAAAAATATGATAAGGTGTTTCCTAAAGCCTGTAGTTATAATAGTTCATCGAATGGGTCTTTCGTAATTTTGTGTGATATATTAAATACATACTGTCTGAAAAACAACAATAAAACAATTCAAATCCAGTATCTTCCTAAATATAAATCAGAACTGTTCTAGTGGCCGTTATACTCATTTGGCTAGCTGGTAATTTAGAAAACACCTAATCTAGAGACCAAAGCAAACAAGTAAGATATTAATTCGCCGTTGAGAAAGACGTTAGTCAGAACATCGAACATACCAAACTGAACTCTAAACTTTATCCCAACCATTATTTTGAAAAAAAAAAAAATTCTCTTGCAAGCTCGTGTATCATTACGTTATCGTGTGTATTATGAAATAATAAATATTAATAATATTTTATTACTTTTCACACATATTTAGATTGTTATACGTAAATAAAAGGCAATGTAGTATAAATAATACTTTCAGATACGCAATTACAATTGTATTCGCAAATGAATCTCCGATGTGACGTGGATTCGCTTCCGGCGCCCGTAACGAGATGGTTCCACAACCGAACCGAGCTGCAGAACGACACCAACACGATCATCTCGAGCGACAACTCGTCTCTACATATCAACAGAATGGATTTCTCCAACTTCGGACGGTACACTTGTGTAGCCGACAATGGATATGAAACAATGTCAGTTAATGCAACAGTAACGGTCACTGGGTTAGGTAAGAAGAGATTTAAAAAACGTTGTTAAACTGTTACTCCTTAAAACAAATAGTTTTTGTATTCAGTTCAGAAACATAGAATGTATGATCTTATGAAGAAAAAAAATTTAGGAAAAAAAGGCAAGTGTAGTAGCCCTAAGTCGCCCCTAAGCTGCGCCGTCTGGTTGTAGTGTTGACCGCGGTAACCTCCTTACCTCATCCGGATTCTGACCTCGGAGGGGATCGAACGCTTGGGCGAAGAGTGCAGAGAAGTCGTTTAGTGGGTAGGGTCCTGAAAACATCCTTGGGCCCGCGATTACGCAGTCGCAGACCAGTCCCACATAGTCCCACGAGTCCACTCGGAGGAGATTCGGATCCCGGCCCAAAAACCAAAAAAAGTAGCCCTAAGTCGATGAGTTTACTTGTTAATCAAGGTTTCTCGTCGGATCTTCTCAGTGGGTCGCGATTCCGATTCGGTGGTATATTCTGAAAAGCACTGTTCTTGCTAGGGCTAATGTTAGCAATCGTTAGGCTAGAACCCCGTGAGGACACATACTCGTTCGACGAATATAGCACGACCCCTCGAGGTCACATTGCCAAATTGGATAGTTCGAACCGGGTAACGAATAATATAGACTGATAATGGAAAATTATATTAGATACCATTTATTTTTAATAGTCGAATTGTATGATAATATGAATGCAGGTGATCGCGTGGTGAGAGGTAATTGTATTGATTAGGGCCATGCATTACTCATGTTCCTTTATACTAAATGATTAAATACTTCATATTATTAAAGTATGGATGTGGTATCAAGTTGCCGCTCGCTTAACCTAAACATTAACTGGTATAAAACATCACTCTGTATAGTGTATATATATATACAGAGTGTTTTTTTTTCTTTTTGTCTTTTATTTTTGTCTTCTAAAGCTCACTAAATATTTTATCATGAATCTGGAAAAGAGAATAGTTTCTATTAATTAACGCTTCAACTTGAGTGCAGCTGTCAATGTTTGAAGGGATCTCAGATCTATCGTAAGGTTTTTGTCACCAGAATTTCCCGTAATATCGAAAGGGATCAAGAGCCAAGCTGCCCGTAAAGGAAATTCAACAAATATCACATGTAGGTAAGGTTGTTAATGGTTTTATATGTAATGCTCCCCCACTTAGTTAAACTTCAGTTAAAGTTTGCACAAGCTTCATAATGGTTACATAAATTGAAGATTTTGCCTGGTAATGAGTAGTCGCCGAGCCCGTGGATATCAGAATATGAATACCACCATACCACCAAGGAATTATGCTCCAGAAGTTAGACTACTTGGTGATAGTTCAAGGTGGACGTAATACCTTATGTTGATTTCAACTCCAGCTGCGCAAAGCATTCCCCGCTGTATTTCAAAGTCCGCGATGACTACTATTATTTGTTTGGTTAAACATTATTATTTGCATATTATGGTACGGTAGGTGGATATATAAAAACACTTTTTGGCTGGAGTGATTCAAATTTAACTTTGAGTGTCAAAAGGATAATCTTTATAAATTTCAAATTCGAGAACTTAAAATTTAAAATTTAAATTTATGTACTGTTTTTTTTTATTATTGTCCTCCTACGAGCATACGGTTTACCAGATGGTGAGTGGTTACCGTCACTTAAGGGCATTAGCATTGCCAGGGGCAGTCAATACCCTGTAAAGTCAAGTACTGTAAAACTGAGAACTTAAAGATAATGTCTCAAGGTGGGGGGTGGCATTTACGTTGTTGATGTCTATGGGCTCCAGTAACTACTTAACACCAGGTGAACCGTAAGCTCGTTCACCTATCTAAGCAATAAAACCATATAAAAAGCCGTTGCATACCACTCAGTGCTTTCCGCAAACCTCGTTTGAAGAAAGGCTTGTAATAAATAGCACTCAGGAAACACCGGAGGGAAGTTTATTTCAAAGCCCGATTTCTTTACCTTATCTTCCGATGGTAGAGAGATCGCAATCTCTCAAATAGACAACATTCATATCACCCGAAACATGGATTCAATGTTAATGGCTTTAGCCGATGAATTATTCCAAAAGCAATTTTATTGTGGTTCTGATGTAACTGAATAACTTATTTGCCATGCCCGTGGGTTGAGGTAGCCGCTTATGTGAACCGTGAGCTACACTCCCTGTTACGTTGTGGTAATTGAGTGTAGACTGTATTTATTGATATGAGATTCCTTACTGGTGGTAGAACCTCTTGTGAGTCTTCACGGGTACGTGCCACCATTCCCACCTATTTCTGCCGTGAAGCAGTATTGCGTTTCGGTTTGAAGGGTGGGGCAGCCGTTGTAACTATACTGAGACCTTACTACTCATGGTTCAAGGTCGGTGGCACATTTACGTTGTAAATGTCTATGGGATCCAGTAACCACCTAGCACCAGATGGGCTATGAGAGCACGTCCACACACTTAAGCAATAAAAAAAATAAAAAATGTGAGCCGTCACGGGACGCCTGGCAGATGTGAAACATCGACGTTATTTTTAAAAGTAATATGCAGAAAAGAACAGATTGTGATAGGAACTAAATATGTCATAATGATAAAATAAAATATTACGAAAAAATAATTTGTTTTCAAGTAAAACACAGGTTATGTGTACTGCAGTAAACAACACTGTATACACTACGGAGTATACACTATAGGTATCCGAGCTCAGTGTAGCGAGAGCGAGATGGCTTAACGCCGGATCGAGTGGGAGAGAATCGCACAGTCGATTGCGCATGGCGACACGTCGCCACACCATACACACTACTGCATATAGACTGTATATATATACCATCATATAGGGTGGCGACGCGTCGCCATGCCATGCGTCGCCACGCCAGAAATCGGTTTTACGTGCGGCTATAGATGTTTCACATCAAAAAGGTATACATTGTACCTTTATATGACAAATTAAAGACTTAATATAAAAGAAATTTAAAATGATGATGAGTTAATTTAAAGAAATAAAGTTTTTTTTTTACAGTGTCTTAAAAGGAAGTCCGGTTCCAACTATAACGTGGATGTACAAAAACGATACTACGAAAGGATTCGTCAACTTGCCCACGGACGGTATCGATCGGGGAAATTTAAGTATTTCAAATGTCACGTTGGAACATTCTGGCATCTATAGATGTGTCGCTGAAAATGTTATAGGAAAAGATACGCACGAAATCGAATTGGTGGTTCAGTGTAAGTTGTCTACTTATTGTGGTTGTTTGAAAGCCCCTGGCGTACGAATGCGTTACCATTTCCTGATAGAAATAAGCAAGATGGACCAAGAAGCTCAAAGACATATTGACAGGCAGTTTGTACTGACATCAGGGAAACAGCACACAAAAAACATTCCTCGCATCATATATAAGATATTAGGCTTAATCGCAGTGAGTGAAACGACCGTTCCAGTGTTTCAATCAACATTTTGCACAATATATAAATATCTAACACGCGATTTGGTATACTTCTGTAGCGAGTAAGTCATGTGTTCCGATTTTAATGTTTAACAGCTTTTATATAATACAGCTGAGACTTTGATCTAACGTGTCAAGGCGACATCTAGTGACTTCGATAACCAGATGATCCGTGAGCTGTTGGTTGATAATAAAAAAACGTCCTTTTCACCAATTAAGACCCATTCCTTTATATTTTAGATGCTCCTCAATTGGCACCACTGATTAGTGAGGTAGGAGACGGGCCACGCGTAGTAGAAGTCGGTAAACGAGTAGTGTTCTCGTGTAACGTAACTGGCTTCCCTCCGCCGGTCGTAGTGTGGACGAGAAATGGACTACCCGTTGTTTATTCGAAAAATGTGTGAGTATTTTGTATAAGGGAGTGTGACGTCACGCGAAAAATTACCGAAAACCGTGGGCTATGATATATACTTCTTCAAATTAGTTTGAAAAGTGCCCTGGAAATTAGCAGTCTGGTTGTGCCACAGGTATAGCTGAAAATCCACTCGAACCGCAATGTATGACAACATAAATAAATTTTAGAAGTGAAACTTCTTAGGTGCGTTGAAAGTAAAATTTAACACGCGATAGATGTGTTACGGCTAGAGACAAAAGATACAAATTAGGCAGGGCGAGAGTGAGAAAATAGACAGAGCGTCTCGCGAACCATTCGAACGTCGATAGGGAAAGGACAACGTGATCTAGGTCATTTCTCTTCTACACAGCATTCCCTATTGCAAGAGAAATTTGATTTAAGGATGAAAAACTAAGAAAACCACAATACTACAGACCGCAAAAGAAGTTTCACTTCTTTCACATGCACTAAGTTGCACGCGCACCATTTTTAGCGCTTACATGTTTATGTTTTACATGAACTACGACAGATAAGTAATTCAATTAATGCAAAGACTTAATTTACAGCCATTTAAATGAATCCCAAGCTTTGATAATAGAAAATGCGACAGACCACGAAGCCGGCTCGTACATTTGCAATGCGACCAGTGCGCTGGGATCGACTCACAGAAATTTCACGCTCAAAGTTTATGGTGAGAGAAATTTTAATCTTGTCCTTTTATAACAATATTAAATTTATTATAATAAATAATAATAAATAAAATCATTTACATATTACCTTTCACATTAAATAAAAATAAAATAAAAAAAGAAGACAAATAGAGGTGAGGACGGTGACCGGTGCTTTATTCATAAACATATTGTGCTTATATACTATGTTACAAACAAGGGGTTCTATCTTATTCTGTTCTATTCTAATCTTATTCTATTTCTAGGTATAGAATACAGTGAATATTATATATACTTGTTATCTAATCCTAATTACCAAAGTTAAACAATGATGATGTTATGAACGTTATCTAGTTACAAAGCGCTATTGTGGCAATAGGCAATGGCTACATAACTCGTAGCTTTATTTTGTTTTAATAATATCATCTGCGATTAATAAATTTTCAGTGAGTCCAAAGATCTTACCGATAAATTCGGAACCTATACAGCAATTCTTAGAAGGCCAACTAGTAGAGTTGCCGTGTAAATCAAAGGGCCTGCCGGTGCCGCGGGTGGAGTGGACCCACAACGGAGACACCATACTTGATGATAGAAGACACATCGACGAAGATGGACTTAGGTATGGTGGCACATTTTTTGCAAAATATCTAGACCAGTAGTCGGCATCCTTGTCAATCAATACAGCCAAATACTTAGTCTGGCCATAAATACTCTTACAATTAAAAATAAACAAAATATTACATTTGAATTTGGAATCTGTCATTTTTATATGATTGCTCATTGAGTTTTCTCATTTTGGCGCCAATACACTCTGTTTTCCAATTACAGCACAAGAGCGCATTATGCGGCATAATGCTCAACGTTGAATGTTTCAACTACAGCAACGCTTCGCACAATCGAGCACTCTCAAAAGTAATGCTCTCGCGTGATACTCGCTATCGATACCGACTCGATTATGCGAAGCGTTGCTGTAGTTGAAGCATTCAACGTTGAGTATTATGCCGCTTAATGCGCTCTTGTGCTGTAATTGGAAAACAGGGACATTGTACAATATTTTGCGACATTAAAATGGAGTGGGGTAATAAAGAGAACCGAATCGCTGTGATTGCATTACACAAAGTAGGTATGGAGCCAAATGCAATTTTTAAAACTCTCCATACGCTTGGTATTAGTAAAATGTTTGTGTACCGGGCTATTAATAGGTGCAATGAGACCTCCTCTGTTTGTGACAGAAAAAGATCTGGCCGTCCACGTAGTGTTCGTACGAAAAAGGTGGTCAAAGCATTAAGGGAAAGAATTCGAAGAAATCCTGTCGAAAGCAAAAGATTTTATCTCGGGATATAAAGATACCACCTAGAACCATGTCGCGTATTTTAAAAGATGACTTAGGACTTGCAGCCTATAAGAGACGTACTGGTCATTTCTTAACTGATAATTTAAAAGAGAATAGGGTGGTAAAATCGAAACAACTACTGAAGCGGTACGCAAAGGGAGGTCATAGAAAAATTTTGTTTACGGATGAGATAATTTTTACAACTGAACAACATTTTAACAAACAAAATGACCGTATTTATGCTCAAAGCTCTAAGGAAGCTCCCCAATTAGTCGACAGAGTGCAACGTGGGCACTATCCGACTTCAGTGATGGTTTGGTGGTATTAGGTGGTGGTATTAGCTATGAAGGAGTGACTGAGCCATACTTTTGTGAAAAAGGTATCAAAATATCGGCACAGGTGTATCAAGATACCATTCTTGAGAAGGTAGTGAAGCCCCTTAACAACACCATGTTCAATAATCAAGTATGGTCCTTCCAGCAAGACTCGGTGCCAGGTCATAAATCTCGGTCTACGCAGTCTTGGTTGGAAACGAACGTTTCGGACTTCATAAGAGCTGAAGACTGGCCGTCGTCTAGTCCCTATCCGCTGGATTATAATTTATGGTCAGTTTTAGAGAGTACGGCTTACTCTAAACGCCATGATAATTTGGAGTCCCTAAAACAATCCGTACGAATGGCAGTGAAAATTTTTCCCATGGAAAGAGTGCGTGCTTCTATTGATAACTGGCCTCAACGTTTAAAGGACTGTATTGCAGCCAACGGAGACCACTTCGAATAAGCTTTTTATACTTTAAATTGTTTTATATTTATATATTAAACTAACACACTGTAAAAGTAATAAATGTTATTTGCAATAGAATTTATTTTTATTTTTAATTGTAACAATATTTATGGCCAGACTAAGTAGGTATAGATGACACACAATTGAAATTTATTCAGTGTAATTTTTTTTACATTTATTTTTATACTCTTCTCGAAATGTTCAAAAATGCTAACTCATCTATATACTAAATTTAACTACTGAACCGTGCATCCGATTGACTTGAAACTTGGTATCCATGTAGAAAATATACGCACTTAATGGATCGGCTTATATTTATATGAGTGTTGGACTCTCTACACCAGTTGCGGGGGCGTTAATGATTAGAATCTTTGTGGGGGTGAGAAATAATAATGTTAATTTTAACTGCCTAGCGAAGCGGACGGGTACACCTAGTTTCTTATAAAGCAAAAGAAATATTGCGTGCCTGAACTAAACATTTCGCGGAAGAGTCTTAGCCGAGGAGTAAACAAATCGCGTGCTGCCGACCACTCATGCAACCAATGAATATAATCTATTCGATGGAAAATCTTTAATGTATAAAAAGATTACTAATGATTTTGGTAACTAAAGCACATTGATTTTCAATACACAACAAAAAAAAAAAAAAAGATAACCGGTTGACAAAAAACAGAATGATACTGAACTGTTTTTATTTTTTATTATTGCGTATTTATGTATAGGTCGTATAGTCAAGCCGCTTTGTTTGCGGGTCCTTGACTTGGATCCAAACCTTGAATGAAGAGTTCCTTATACAACGAAATCGGTCCAGTTAGCCGGAATATAAAATTAAAACATATAAAAAAAAACACATCGACTTTTAAATACATTTTTTATTTATTTATTGCTTAGATGTGTGGACGAGCTCACAGCCCACCTGGTGTTAAGTGGTTACTGGAGCCCATAGACATTTACAACGTAAATTCGCTACACACCTTGAGATATAGTTCTAAGGTCTCAGTATAGTCACAACGGCTGCCCCACCCTTCAAACCGAAACGCATTACTGCTTCACGGCAGAAATAGGCGGGGCGGTGGTACCTACCCGTGCGGACTCACAAGAGGTCCTACCACCAGTAAAAAACATATACAGATTATCACGTTCTAAATAATCTGTGTTTGGTTTATTTCAGGTTCGTGGCGAATATAACGGACTTCGGGAATTACACGTGTGTTGCCAGGAATGAATATGGAAGCGATTCAATATCATATTCTTTGTATATTTGGGGTGAGTGTGTCTTTGATTTTTGATAGTATACCACCATAATAATATCATAGATAATATACACTTCATAAATAATACCATAGATAATATACTTACACTTAATATTTAAGAAAACTGACAAGTCGATGTTTTGGCGGGACGAGAATCGAAGTTGTGATCTTTTACTTTGTTTATTTATGTTTAAAGTCTGTGAAAATGCACAAGTTTGCGAAAATGTAAGAAAGTCGCTGAGCTTCTTGTGTTTTCCATCTGAAGTCTCAGTCATTGTAAATTCTCATGATTTACGTTTCATTTGATTTCATTCCAATAGATTACAATCTCCAAATTTACCTCATTCCAAATCATATCATTTTTCATGTAAGTTCAGTATATTTATTTACCAATATCATACACTTAAATATAGTTGAATATAATATTTGAATATTTATAAAAACTTAACACTGGCAACAATGGCATCACAATAACTCGATTACTATCTGAAAAAAATAAGAAAAAGAAGAAGTTGATCTTATTGAATACTTTTATTTTTTCACTAACAAGTCCTTAGATATAATAAAGGCCGTCACCCAGAAGCAACGTCTCTCGCCTTAAATCCTTATTTTATACTTGAAGTCGGTTGAACAATTTTCGCTTGCAGTGACACCGAGAATAGAGCCTCCGCTTGAGACGACGAAACAAGTACTGTCAGGTGACAATGTGACCTTACAGTGTGACGTCATGGGCTTCCCCATCCCTAATGTAATATGGGAGTATGAAGGGAAATCTCTCACTGAAAATACAACAACGTTAAGGTAAACCAGTACAAATATTAGGTCCTTACATTCGAAATTATTATTATTATTATTTTTATTGCCCTTGTAGGCAGACGAGCATACGGCCCACCTGATGGTGAGTGGTTTCCGTCGCCCATGGACTTCAGCAATGCCAGGGGCAGAGCCAAGCCGCTGCCTACCTATGAGCGCTTTGTACAGGAGGAAAATAATTTGTTGGGACTTCCTTTTCCTTATTTCTTCCTTAATCCGTTATCTACGCCATCTGTTGACTAAAAACTACGCGTGTGAAAACGGCGCGAAGAGTGTGTGAAAAAAAAACTAAAACACGGTGCCGGTGCAAAAATGATAATATTGTGATTTGTTGATCAATCGACACATATAACTCTCGCAAGTGAGAAAATAGAAAAGTTCATCAACGAACTACGGAGTGAGTCCTAAAACTTATCCCTTTCTCAGTCCCAAACATATTTAAATTCAAAACCTGTACATATTTTGTTTACCTACTAAACATAAAAAATAAGTACTAAAATTTCGGTTATTCCCACATATTGTGTGCTCATTCTGCATAATGTTATTTTCTAAATAATTATAAGCAAAAATCTCGTTATTGTGTTGTACAAGTACTAGGTATGGTTTTAAAGAGGTTTTTGGGAAATATTTCTTTTCATTTTTTTTTTTTTTTATGATTGAAGGATTACTGGTGGCCCGGAGGCCTTTCCAGTTTCACCAGGACAGGTGGGCGAGCAAAGGCTCAGCCAGGAGCGGTGGGATTTGCTAACAGCTACCCGAGCGCCTCCGAAGGAGACCTAACAGCTCAAAAGTAGCTGCTTCGCGAATGAATCTACTACCGGATCGTAATCGCGACCCGCTGAGAAGATCCGGCGAGAAACTCAGCGAGCTGATTCATGGGTTAGGTTGCACGGCGAACTCTTTGTCGAGTTCGACGAGTACGGTTACCGGGGTCCCTAAGCCTGCTCCTAGTGTTAGAGCTGAAGGCGTCTAATGCAAAGGTTATTGGATCTGATGGATCCGTAAGGACGTGTTTCTTTTCATATTAGAGTGGAATCGTGTTGTAAAATACCGTGTTATGTGAGAGTTACATGTATGTAATTGAAAACTTGTTTGTCCTAACTCTGTGTGTGTTTGCCAACCAAGCATATACAGGGTGTAACGAATTAAAAAAGCAAACTAAATTGTTTTTCCCTTACTTTTTCTGTTGGTAGGGCTTAATGTAAGCCCAAATGGATAGGTGTCACCATCATGTCTTTTTCTCCCGCGAAGCCTATACGCCTTCTGGTTGGAAGGGCCTTTATATACTACAATTGATACTACGATATCATGTCTTGAGGTGGTTCACGCACATTGCAATGTCGATGGTCTCCAGCTTGTCAGATGGAACGTAATATCCATACTCGGTTATGTAAATAAAAGTTAATTAAGTCAATTATTCAGGTTTCCTTGCGAAGACATGCCAACAAAAAACTATGTTTCATTCCAGTTTCAATGACTACGGTAATCTGTACATAGTGAACGCTAGTGTCGAGACAGAAGGAGTTTACAGTTGCATCGCTGGTAACATCGCCGGTGTTGCCGTGAAGACGATTTTCCTTAGCGTTAATGGTATGTAAAAAAAAAAACAGTTTAAAATTTACCTGTGTCGTATTTTTATAAATTACGAGTTCTTTTTTCAAACATTCGAATCAATTAAATACTTGATACGGGAATATAGTATCGGAGCTTATGAATCTGTCAAACTAGCGACACGCGTTATTAAAAAAAATTAGCCTGAAACTTCCAAATCCTAAACAACATGAATCTTAGGCGCTGTATGTGCAAATCCTGCAAGTTTTCTATCTCTCTCTTACGTAAGAGTTAGAAGGGGATGAAGCGATGGAGACTAATTCGACTAACATATTCGAAGAATCTTTTTTTTTCTAGAACCACCGAAAATTCTAGAAGATAATTATACCGGCCCGTATGTGGCCACCGATATGGATCATTCATTGACAATATATTGTTCCGCAACCGGCAAACCTAAGCCGTATGTCCTTTGGTCTAAGGACGAGTTTTATTTGAATCACGGTGAGATATATGACAATGATCTAATTACTTTTTCTTGACTTCGTTGCGTTTAAAGAAACATACAGTTGTTTTTCAGTCTTTTCTTTAAGAATACAAAATGTTGTGTTTGTTATGTTTTACAATACAAAATAATGAATTTTTTCGATTAAGTAATAACAAAAATGGAAAGTAATAAGGATAATAAATATAATAGAATACATATTTTGGAACGAAGCTCCTTACGGCAGGCTTGGAGGGGATAGGGATTTTGCTGCGCGACCGAACTGAAAAAAATGTGATAGTAAAACCATAAGAAAAAATCCGTGGAAAAAAGTGCGTGGAATAAAACCGTTAAATGAGACGTGCGCAGGCGCGACAGTCGTATATAATAATATAAGCAAGTAGTGTATAATACCTTTCTCTTTCTCCCTCTTTCTTTTCGTTCTCTCATCCCTTCTCTCTCTATTTTGTAATTATTTCTATTTCTATGTAATTTTATGTTGTCAAACAAAAATAAAGAGACATATTTTGTTATTTTAATTGATAATTTGAATTACGATTTTATTTTTATTTTACGTAATTTATTATTTCCTAAAATACNTCAAACAAAAATAAAGAGACATATTTTGTTATTTTAATTGATAATTTGAATTACGATTTTATTTTTATTTTACGTAATTTATTATTTCCTAAAATACTGAATTTCCTAAATACTTTCCTGTACTTAAATAAAAACTAATCAGCAAAATTTAAGAGAAAAATCAAGAAAACCAACATAAAATTGAGCACGATTTTTTTTTTGCTAATTGTGTCGATTCTACATTAGCCGAAGGAACTTCGTTTTTCTGTAATGAAAGCATTATCTAAGACGTGGATTTAGTTTTCTCTTTCACTCACATATCACACCCTGTATTAACTCTGATTTTATGGTCCCAAAAAAGAAGGAGGTACGTGTATTTGTAAGACTCATTGACGTTTGCAGATCCTCGTTACGACGTGGACTTCAATGGTAGGTTAACGATACAGTCGCCCGCCGAGGAGTTGAGCGGAAACTACACTTGCGAAGCCAGGAACAAGTTCGGTTATACGAACAAGACAGTCGAAGTAAACATTTATTGTGAGTTAAGTTTTGCTGGTAACATCGCGAGGACGAAACTCGTGGAATAAAATTAAGAATATGAATTAAAATAAGACATGACTTAAAGGTTAGTTACGAGGTCATAAAACCCCTAAAAAAAAAGATACTCGTGGGTGGAGGTGGTCGCGATCCTCAGGCATGACGAGCACGACTGAAGGAAAAAGCTGGTCCTAGTCTGTTTTTTTTCTTCTCAGTCGTTTCACTCTTGACAGTCCGGTTGGGGTCGTTAAGTAGTTTTGAAGGAGACAGACATGACCCGTCTTACGACGAGCCATACCTCACACCTCGAAGTGATAACAATTAGTTATGATGGCTACAAACTTCGGTAACCATTTAACACCAGGTAGTTCATCAGTTCGTCCGTCTACGCAATAGATAAATAAATAAATAAACATAAATCTATTCTACTATCCACGTGTGGGCGGTGTGGATGTAATACGCTCTGCGTCAACCCTGTCCCGCAGTCTCAATTACCCCGACTGGGCTCCGGCCCGGTCCAAGGTTGGGCGCCGGCTGTGAGCGGCAGGAGTTTTTGGGGAGATTCAACTTCCACACAGCGTGTGGTGCGGTGGGTAGGATTCCGGTGATTTTGTACTGTAAATAAAATAAAATAAACTATCCATGTTTAAGAGTAATCTGAACTCCAAACGAAGTCATAAACTACATGTTATCGCTTGCAGTGTACATGTACTTGCATACATATGTATGAACGCTTTTCCAGCCGTGCCCAAACAAGTACAATCAGCTGAAAGCTATGCGAAGGTGACAGCACTCGAAGGAACCGACATTGTCATCGCGTGTCCCATCCGAGCTACAAACGTGCGATCAATATCATGGTACAAGGTTCGACGGTGATTATATTAAATTATAAATTATTGTTGTATTGTAAACCCCGTCCAAGATCAATAAACCACAGATATAATAGTAACGTGAATTTTAAAAAGATTAAACTGTTTGCAGGAAGCGAAATTAATATCAAAAGGTGATCTTCAGTTAAAAAACGTTTCGCGAAATGACACGTCCGTGTACGCGTGCGTCGCGACGAACACTGCGGGCAGCGCGCACGCGTCCGTAGCGCTCGACGTGCAATGGCCGCCCGCGTTCGTGACGAGGGTAGAGGGAAATATTGAGGTGATCAAAGGAGAGGACGCGTGGTTCAGCTGTGCAGTCGACGCTAAGCCTTTGGCTAAGGTTGATCTTCATTATTTATCTTTAATGTTTACTGATTTTTTTTTTGTCTATTTGATTGTTAAGGGTGAGTGAGTTTACGGTTCTCAAGTTTAGTTGTTGTTGAATCTCATAGAGATCACAACGTGTATATTAGTCGCATCCAGTTTCAGACGCGAATTCGATTGAATTCTATAACGGTTTGAAAGATAGTCTTCAAATTGGAACGCATGTCTGCATCGCGATTAAAAATTGTGGTACCTACCCACTCAAGCTATATAATGCTCCTGACTACCGGTTTGTCAATAGAAAGTCAAGTATGCTCTAGTTTTAGTTTTCTAGGTCGAATATTCTGGAACGTTTTAGACAGAATGCTTGACGCGGATGCTATGAAAGCGTGATCATAGACAATATGAAGACACTTCTATTCATAGCGAAGCAACTATCGGATCACCTCTACAAAGCGAAGATGTGAATAATGATAGTGGAGTCTACCTTAATAGTCGTAATAGTTATATATAGTTTTAATTAGTAATTCAATGAAGAGTTTTAGTAATCTTGAGCTATACCTCATAACAATATTATCATTTGCTTTTATAATTGTATTAATTTCAGATAAAATGGTTATTCAATTCTAAGCCGTTGATCTTCGAGGATAAAGATGTTTTTAAAGTATTAAACGCACAACAAAGAAACGCGGGCGTTTATAAATGTGTTGTTAGCAACATTCATGGAACTATAATCAAGGCGTTCAAATTGTCCGTTCTGGGTGAGTCTTTGAACAGAAATTTAAGTAATAAATTCAAAGAAACCTGCATGGACCTTAAGGTATGATGAATAAGAATAATGAGATTTACCTGTAGGTACTTTTGTTCCTATACTTCAAACTGAGGGTAGTCGAAAATATGTAAATCACAAGGCATTAATCATCTACAAAATAATTGAATTTTTGATGCTTTCACAATATGAGCCTATGATTAGTAGAGTCATTTATTTCTATAAATAAACAAGAAAGTCACCAACAAACCTTTAAATCATCACTTATGACCTGTATAATCAACATACTGTTGTACATACTTTTTTATTAAAGTAAAAATGTGGAGAGTCAACCCTAAATGTTTTTTTTGTAATTACGATTCAATCCTATCATGGTTCATAAAATACATGTACCTCCAAAATTCAGTAACAGTATGCAGCGTCTTGAACTTGTCTGTGTCATTGCTGACGTTCCCGAGTGATGCTGACTATTCGCCGTTAGGGAGCCCGTACGCTCATCTACTTACAGTTGCAATAAAAAAGGAACATCTATACAATGATATTTTAGGACGCTTAAATAAAAGCGGCTCTAAATAAAATAATAAAGTGTTTACCTATTTTAAGTAAAAATGTACAATGCTTTTTTGTTAAAATGGCGGAGATCATGGCTTCCTAGATTTCTTCAGTCGCGCATGCGCGTGACGAGACCAAATTTTTCGCCACACCATCCCCCCCACGGAGACAAACAAATTTTTATCAAGTATTAAGTTTATTATTTATTAATTTCGCCATAATATTAAGTTCTAATTGGAAGATTGTTGAGTTTTTTTTTTTTTTTTTTTTTTNATGGGTGGACGAGCTCACAGCCCACCTGGTGTTAAGTGGTTACTGGAGCCCATAGACATCTACAACGTAAATGCGCCACCCACCTTGAGATATAAGTTTTAAGGTCTCAGTATAGTTACAACGGCTACCTCACCCTTCAAACCGAAACGCATTACTGCTTCACGGCAGAAATAGGCAGGGCGGTGGTACCTACCCGTGCGGACTCACAATAGGTCCTACCACCAGTGATTACGCAAATTATAATTTTGCGGGTTTGATTTTTATTACACGATGTTATTCCTTCACCGTGGAAGTCAATCGTGAACATTTGTTAAGTACGTATTTCATTCGAAAAATTGGTACCCGCCTGCGGGATTCGAACACCGGTGCATCGCAACAACGAATGCACCGGACGTCTTATCTTTTAGGCCACGACGACTACTATTCCCACTACGTTCCCATATGTTAGGTATCTTTTTTTCTCTCTCTCTCTCTCTCTCTCTCTCTCTCTCTCTCTCTTCCTAGCTATTAATCCCATATGGTATTGGAGTGAACGTTCCTTATTTTTCTCCCCCATTTCTCTCTGTCTTCGATATCCTCGTCAGCAACATTAGATTCCTTTTTGGCTTTCAGCACTATATATCTTTTACCTTGCCTTGCTTGAGTCTTCCTCTAGATCTCCGACTGCAATCCGTCAAGCTGCAGTACCAAATTCCCGACGTAGCATTTTATATGTTATGCACCTGTAATAGAAAATAACAAATTTTCAGAGCCTCCATACCTAATGGAATTTGACTTTTTGGATGTCTTGCTGAAGGAAGGGAGTAATGCTACACTTGAGTGTGTGGCTAAAGGAGTTCCCGCACCGACTGTCCAATGGATCTATAAGTAAGTCGATTTGAAGAAATCTATAAAACATTACTAGATTCTTTTTTTTTCTTACCTATGCTGATAGGTTTGAGAGACTATTTCAGCTTCACCCTAACGTGTGTAGGTGAGCTCACGGGGCTCAAACCGGAGTGTTGCTAACACTGACCCTAGCGAGAGCAGTGCTTCGCAGAATCTACCACCGGATCGGAAACGAAACCCACTGAGAAGATCCGGCGAGAAACTCAGTGGACTGTGTCTATGGGTTAATTATGACCGAGCTTTGCTAATTTTTTTTAATAATTTGTGTTTTTTAGAAATTATATTTAAATACGAATTGTGGTGGGCATTGAATGAGAAAGGTATACCTGGTAAGTATGTGAGGTTAATCTGTGCCATGTACAGTCGAGCCAGGACGTATGTACGAACCGCCGCGGGGAATTCCGACGAGTTCAATGTGGCAGTGGGCTTACACCAAGGGTCTGCACTAAGTCCCTATCTCTTCCTGCTTGTGATGGATGCCTTGACATCGGAGATACAGGAAGAGCCCCCTTGGTGTATGCTGTTTGCCGATGACATAGTGCTCGTCGGAGAAAACGGGCTCGAGGTCCAAAACATACTGGAGAAATGGCGATGCAAGTTGGAGAGTGTTGGCCTAAAAATCAGCAGATCGAAAACCGAACATCTGTTCTGTGATTTTGGCGGTCTCTCCAATTTTACACCCATTTCCCTCGACGGAACACCTTTGCCAGTATGTCAAGACTTCCGATACCTAGGGTCTGTTATCCAAAGCGACGGTGAACTGGATCGTACTGTGAGGCACAGAATTGACGCAGGATGGATGAAATGGCGGCAGGTCACGGGCACCATATGTGACTCGCACATCCCTCTTCCCCTAAAAGGGAAGATATATAAGACCTTAATAAGGCCTGCCGTCTTGTATGGATCAGCTTGTTGGACAACGAAAGTGGCGGATGAAAGGCGATTGCATGCAGCAGAGATGCGAATGTTGCGATGGATGTGTGGAGTAACGAGAATGGATAGAATACGGAATGAATATGTTAGAGGAAGTCTGAAAGTGGCACCTGTGACAGAGAAGCTGAGGAGTGCACGTTTGGGATGGTATGGACATGTGATGAGACGGAATGAAAATGAGGTTGTTAAGAGAGTGTTAACTATGAATGTGGAAGGATTTAGAGGAAGAGGTAGACCTAAGAAGAAATGGATGGATTGTGTGAAAGACGATATGGGTAGGAGGGGAGTGAGCGAAGAAATGGTATATGATAGAAGAGTATGGAAGGAGAAAACATGTTGCGCCGACCCCAGGTGACTGGGAGAAGGGCAGGATAATGATGATGATTTAAATACGAATTACATATTGATAAAATGATGAAATATGAATATTTTTCGATCCTACCGACAGAATAATAAAAAAATATGAACTGGTTATTTAAAGAAACAATCAAAATTATCGATAAAGTTGATTATTGAATACACGAATAAAACGACATTTTCTGAAAATAAATCGTAGGTAGATCGATTTATCGCCCCCGAAATACCCGCTGTATACTAAATTTTATGAAAATCGTTGGAGCCCTTTCCGAAATTCAGATTAAATATGTATATATGATTAAATATGTATATACAAGAATTGCTTGTTTAAAGATATAATTGCTAGTTTAAAGGTATAAGATAATAAAACGTTATAAGTCATACAACAAGATAGGTTGTTTGTTTCTTAGCCTTCAGTGGAACTTAAAACACAAACCACATTCAAAACCAGGAAAATAAAAAAGTTTAGGTTTCATTAAACAAAATTAGCCTGTTTGATAATTTACATTTCGTTTCAAAGGTTCCCTGTACTTAATGATTAGCTGCCCGTTTTGGATGCTGCGCAAGAATCCATCTGTACAATTGCAATTAAATAAAATTACATTCAATCATAATAATAATTCTGATTGCAATTACGTATTTGCTATAAAATAAATATATAATTACAGATTACAATTAGAAGTATGTGTTTTGTATGTATATACAATATGGAACTTTCTTCAAATCGTTATAGTATACTTAGAAAATAATTATTTTTTACATACTATGAACGATAAGTACGTAGGTAACGCATGCATGTGACTAGGAGATGTATGGAAATGGTAGTGCAAGGTAGAGGGGGAAGAGGTCGACTGAAAAAGACATTTTTTTATTGCCCTTGTAGGCAGACGAGCATACGGCCCACCTGATGGTGAGTGGTTACCGTTGCCCGTGGACTTCAGCAATGCCAGGGGCAGAGCCAAGCCGCTGCCTACCGGAGCGGATGGGTGGATGGAGTGTGTGAATGACGATATGAGAGAGGAGAAATGTGAGTGTTGAAATGACGGCTGATAAAAGAGAACGGAAGAGAAAATTAGCTGTACCGACATCACCCAGTGGGATAAGGTGGAGAAAAAGAAGAAGGTACTAATACATATTAAAAAAAGGGCAAATTAAATGGTATAATGGTATGATGACATTTCACCGTAAATCCGACTTAGGTTGGTGATGGTTGTACCTCGCGACCGATAGTTGAGGACGTTGAGGTCCTATATGGTGCGCTCTCTACTCTAGCAACACTCAGTGGGTGGCAGACGGTCCAGCCATAACCAGCACGAATACAACAACGGAAGCAGAAGGCCTGTATCGGTGCGAGGCCGCGAACAAAGCCGGGAGCGCGCACGTGGTCTACAGGGTGGTGGTGCTCGCGGCGCCCTCTGTGCTCCACGTCACGTCCTACAGCGACGGACGCGGGAACACCGTCGACGAAGCCGTCGAAGTTATCGTGAGAATCTTAATTCGAACAGTTGTATAGGAATTGTGGTAGTTATCTGATGCTAAAGAAAGATCCTAAGCCCAACGTGTTTGTTTAATAGATCGACTGATATATCACTGCATAGTATAAAACAAAGTCGCTTTCTCTGTCCCTATATCCCTGTGTATGCTTAAATCTTTAAAACTACACAACGGATTTTGATGCGGTTTTTTTTAATAGATAGAGTGATTGAAGAGGAAAATTTATATGTATAATAAAATCAATTAAATAGTGGAGAAATCAATAAAAAATTAGTTTCCGAAGCGAAGCGACAGTGGGTCGCTATAGTAGAATTATTTTGTCCGTGCAGTTTGGGTCATAAAACATAGCCCGGCTAGGGCGGTGAGCATGTTGCGTGGGCGCAACGCCATTATCGATAAAAACAAAAGAGTCATCGTAGGCAGGTACACGGCGGCGGGGTGGTATACGAAGGGTGGTGAGACATTGTTATGTTATGAATCATTTGTTGTATCTACCTGTAAATATGTACATATGTCGAAGAGAAATGTGATTTTGTGCATTCGCTCTCTGAATTTCTTTAGTGATACAATGGCTATTCCTTTGCTTTCGTACTAAAACGGCAGAATTTATTCAAATATTTTGCTTGTTGGCAAAAATATACCAGCACAAGCACATGCTATCAACAATGTGTTAAAATTTTTCACTGAAATGAGAATAGATCCCGAAAAGTTACAAAGTGTTAATTTCTGCCGTTCTCGTTAGCTTGCTGCCTCGATATGTGGTGTAAGTGTTCGATTAGTGTTTTTTCTTTCATTTTTATCACTAACCCACAAAATGACAAAACTAAATACACTATCGATAATGCTTATCGACAACAATAATGCGCATCACTATGTCCGTCCATAAGGCTCGTGAGTGGAAGAGAGAGCGAAATACTCGCTGCACCGCTCCGATTTTTTATGACCCAAACTGCACGGACAAAATAATTCTGCTATAGTCTTTTATATTGCACTTTTTTTATTTAAATTTGCGTAAGCCCTAATGTGGTTGTGGCAGTAGCCATCATACAATACAATAATAATATATTTTCTCGCTAACGACAGTTTCAAACTTGCATATTGTAGGCTTGTATACAATTTCTCGCCGTCGGTCTACCGAGCAATATCACCCGCTCGGTAAAAGATCATCCCTTCGTCATAATCTTCCAAAGTGGTTTTACCGAATTTCTTCTATTTGGGAATAAATCTCCTTACATTGCTTTGTACTTTTTTCATTGCGCAGATGTGTGAACTAGACCTCATTGCTCACCGTAAATCACATATCGCAACTTAAGCGTCATCAGTTACGAGATTTAAGTTGGAAATCTCAATTGAATTAGTATAATATTTCTAGCAGTAGTTCGGTTTGGTTTGAAGGGTGGGGCAGCCGTTGCACTGAAAACTGAGACATAGAACTCATGTCTCAAGGTGGGTGGCGGCATTTGCGTTGTTGATGTCTATGGGCTCCGGTGATCACTTAACCTGGCACTGGACCTGGACTGTATGAGCGTCCACCAATCTTAGCCAAAAAAAAAAGTTAGTTGGAGATCATAGTACGCTGTACTACACATAAATTTTAGCACAATATAGTACCTAAATGTGGTGGGGAAGAAGTCGTTGTGTGTCCTCACGTATAATATTTTTGCTACAGCTCAACAAACGTGCCAGAATATCGTGTAAAGCCAAAGGGAGACCGGAACCCATCGTACAGTGGTTCAAGAACGGTCGCGTCGTTGGACAAAATCTACCGGGAATTAGCAGCGCCGATGTGGTACTGGATAGCGTGCAGGCCTCACATGCCGGGGCCTACACGTGTGTCGCCACTAATGAAGGCGGTAGTGATCAGAAGCGAATCAGACTTGAGGTCTTAGGTTGGTGTTTAATGTTCTCTCTCTCTCTCTCCCTCTGTCTCTCTCTCTCTTTCCCTCTCTCTGTCTCTCTCTTTTTAAGCGGCAGGCAGCGGCTATCTATATATGCTAAGCTATATGCTGATTTATTTTCTAGAGGGATGAAAAATAAAGTAGGCGATGAGTGGTTCTAATTACAGAAAATGCAATATGTATCATTAAAGGGACTTGTTAGGTTACGCTGACATACCCTCTCAAGGCTATCAGCTTAGGTAGGGAAAAAAATGGATTCTGATCTTGTCCGACAGCTCGTGAGTCGGTATAAGACATGTTGTTTTAGAATAATGACGTCATTGTACTAATCCTTACTTAATTTTCATCGTTTTTGAACAGATATTCATTTTCTTATTCTTGTTTTCATGTTTTTTATTCAAGATTTGTTGATGCATAAAAAAGTTACTTTGGTAGCGAGCCGAATCTTGTTCTGGGTGGGGGGAGGGGCGTGCTCTATACATAATAGCAAATAGACACCACGGATTCGGACAGGTCGAAGTTTCAATTGGTTTGTATCAAAGCCCTACCACCTTTGAAACTTTAAAGAGTTGAGCAGTTTTACTGTGTCCTTAACACTGTCGATATCCATGAGCAACGGTGACCGTCCACCGTTAACCGGACCGTATGCTCGTCTGCCATTGAAGGCGATCGGATATCGTGACTGTTTTCCGACAGGAATAGGTAATACTCGAGTTGGAGCTCAGAATACGCTCTATCGTCATCGTAAGAAGTCAAGAAAATTTGCTTACTTGTATATAGCTCGATAGAATAATAGCATTTAGGATTCACATCATTAGCCTATAGAAGTCCACTGCTGGACATAGGCCTGTCCAATTCCACGTCACCAAGCACGATCCTCGGCTTCTCTAATCCAGCTCTTACCAGCTTTTTATAGGACTAGCTTTCGCCCACGACTCCGTCCGCGTGAAATAGTTACTGTGGCATAACACTAAATTTTACCCCCACTTCATTTTTACGTAGAAAGTAAAAATATTTTTCGAATTCTAGAATGAACACCTATTTTGAAACATTCTTTATTAGTGCTCCACTTGTATTGTTCCCACCGTAATGTTATATATAGCCTTCCTCAAAAAACGGGCTATCTAACACTGAAAGAATTTTTCAAATCGGACCAGTAGTTTCTGAGATTAGCGCGTTCAAACAAACAAACTCTTCAGCTTTATAATATTAGTATAGATTCACATATTAATGTAATGTTTTTTTTTTTTAGAAAAACCAAACATATTCCGCACGATTTTCCAAAGCGACAACATAACGAGTAACACGATTAAATTAGACGTGTTAGTGGGGCAAGCGTTTTATATCCACTGCCACCCGACGGGCAGCCCGCCGCCGGACATCTACTGGTTCAAAGACGGGCTCCCGCTGATGCTGTACGATGACACTATGGTGTCGACTGAATTCAACGAGGTCCTAGTCTCGAAGGCCGCTCTGGAGGACCAGGCCGGGAACTATACCTGCATCGTGAGGAATAAGGTTGGCAATAACAGCGTCAATTATCTAGTTGACGTCTTAGGTGAGTCGTGGTCTCGGAAATTTAAGTTTGTAAATTATTTTAATATAATGATGAAAGTGCTTTTTTTTGTATTGCTTATACAGGTGGACGAGCTCACAGTCTACCTTAAGTGGTTACTGGAGCCCATATACATCTACGACGCAAATGCGCCACCCACCTTGAGATATAAGTTCTAAGGTCTCAAGTATAGTTACAACGGCTGCCCCACCCTTCAAAGCGAAACGCATAACTGCTTCACGGCAGGAATAGGCAGGGCGGTGGTACCTACCCGTACGGACTCACAAGAGGTCCTACCATCAGTAAATTAATATAACTATAATTTAAAACGTCAATACAACGAGAAAAAAAGCGTAAACATAAACCTTTTTATTTTATTTTTTCGCAAACGAAAGACATAATTTACATACAAAAGGGTATTTTAGTTGATTATACAGAAAATCGTAAATGTTTGAACAACTAATAGTTAACAGACTGTTAGTGTTCTGTGCGACAGAGACAACGCTCTACAAAGTTGAAATTAGCATTAGCTGATTGTCTCTTTTCAAATGCCGATGTGCAAGTTTATCGCCAAGTATTGCAATTTTTATAAATAAATTAGCTGACCCGGCAGACTTCGTAGTGCCTCAATCGATAAATAAAAGACCTAAGCTTTTGTATAAAATAAACTTAAAACAAACAAAAGGAGTACGTTCGACAGGGAATACATCAAAGGAAAAACAAAATTGTTATTTTTATTTCATTCCGAGTATTTTTATATTTATCTACCCTTTTAAATCTTCTCAGGACTTCTACAAATAGTTCAAGACCAAAATTAGCCAAATCGGTCGCCGTTCTCGAGTTTTAGCGAGACTAACGAACAGCGATTCATTTTTATTTTTATAAATAAAAAATAAATAAACACTTTTGGTACACTACTTTCAGTGCCTCCGCCAATACAGAAAGAGAAAACGAAACGGGTGTCAGCTCGCCTGGGAATGTCTGTGGTACTGACATGTCCGGTGGAGGGCAGTCCCCTACCAGACGTGATGTGGATTAAACACCCTTACACCGAAATAGCCGAGGGCTCTGATAAAATGTCGCTCTCTGATGACAATGTTACTCTGGTGTGTATGAATTGAAAGACAATCACGATATAAATAGACACTTGAACACATTAAGTCCCATCAAACAATTGATTAAGGAGCATAATTTATACGATTAGTTATCTGGTTAATTGTCTGTTATCTGATTAATCTGTGTTTAGGGTTATATCTCTAATTAGTAGTATATACAAAATGTTGCATTATCTATGTTTAAAATCTGGTATTTATATGTAATTTGTGTACTCATTTTTAAAGTAGTCATATTATCATCAAATCATGTATATTTTTATATACGTAATTTATTGTCCTTGTATGTAGAGGAGCATACGGCACACCTGATGGTGAGTGGTAACCGTCGCCCATGGACATCAGCAATGCCAGGGGCAGTGTTAAGCCGCTGCCTACCGTTAAAAAATATATTTCAATAAAAAAAAATATAAATGATTGTTGTTCACCTGATGGTTATCTGGAAGAGACGTTGTACTTTTATATTTAACGTTTTGCAGTTTTATTAATGTATGTTTTGATATACCTACAAAATAACATACTCTACACTAATTATATTCATTTACTAAGTCGATTTTCTCGCCTATTTCTGACATCGAGCAGTTAAGGGTCCCAATTTTGAGTGTGGAACGACTGTTATACATCACAACTATGAGTCCGACCTCATATCTCAAGGTTGATAGTGTTACGTTGTGAAGTCTATGGGTTCCGGGTAATACCTTACTGGGGGCGGGGCGTGTGCTTCACGGCGGGGGAAAAACCCGGGGAACTTAGTTAAAGAATTTTGTCCTAAAATACCATAACATTTATTTTAATCGTATATAATTCTAATCACACAATCTAAACAATTAAGAGACAAAAAATCGTAGCGAACGTGAAGGCGATTTTGTAGAAAAAAAAAACAAATCCGAATTTATGGTTCGATTTTCGAACGATGTTTTTTTTGCAGATAATAAACAACACTGACGTATCGGATGGCGGGAAATACTCGTGCGTGATGACAAACAAGGTTGGCACCACTGAAGTCGTGTTCGACGTGATCATATTAAAGGCGCCGTCCATTGCCGCTAATGTAGGAGGTAGCGCGATAGAAAGACACGTTGTACCATTGAAAAGGAGCGTTGTACTCAAATGCGAAGCGGACGGTCACCCGGCACCGAAAATTACTTGGTTAAAGGTATTTCAATTATTATTATTTTCATTCGAATAAAAAATAAACAATCAAAATGTTAAAACTCTTCATTTATTTTTTAATTAATATTTTATTTTGATTCGCGACGGAAAAATATGAGAACATAGTATGCCTATGCATAATATATGGGATAAAGTTCCTTGACAAAAGTTTATTAAATAATGTAGGTAGTTTTAGATAGAAAACCAACTATAATCCACTTTTTCTTCTTGTATAATATAAACGAGCACATCGCCCACTTGATGTTAAGTGGTTACCGAATGATATATGGAAATACATATTAGTAATCATAACGTGAATACCGACACTCGCGTCATTACGGATCACCTGATCCATTAACAGTGCTTTTAGGTAACTCAAGTACCGGTTACCAACCTCATCGAACCCGTCGCTTGCGATGAAGGGCTTGGCAAGCAAATTAACCCATAGACACAGCCCAAACACCACTGAGTTTCTTGCCGGATCTTCTCAGTGGGTCGCGTTTCCGAACCGGTGGTAGAAACTCTGCGAACTCTCTTGCTAGGGCTAGTGTTAGCAACTTCTCCAGATTAGAGCCCCTTGTGGTCACCTACTCGTTCGGTGAATCTAGTATGACTCCATGAATTTAATGCATCATTGTATTGTAATAAATGAATTGAATTCATAAACTTTGCCACGATAATTTCTAACCAATTAAATCAGCCTTTCTCAAATTGGGCGATAATGCCCCCTTGTGGGCGCTGCAGGCCTAAAGGGGGGCGATAAGAGACCCAGAAAAAAAAAGGGGGCGTTGTGTAGAGGCATGGGAGGCGATTTGTAATTTCATTTAGGAGGACCCTTAGACACCGACTAAGCACTCGCTATAGTGGTTTTTAAGCACTCGCTATAGTGGTTTTTAAGTAGGTGAAAAAATGGGGGCGCTAAAAATAATTATTTCTCAAAGTAGGCAGTAGACAAAATAAGTTTGGGAACCCCTGAACTAAGTGAACTATGAGTGAGTGTGCCGGTTGCAGGACACGCAGCGTCTGAGCGAGAGTGCGTCGAACGTCGTGCGCGTCCTCGGCAACAGCTTGCTCTACGTCCGGGGCGGGTCCTCCCGCGACGCCGGCCACTACATCTGCGTGGCGGAGAACGAGGCCGGCACCGCGCACCGGAGGTACAACCTCGCCGTGCAGGGTACGGTCACAGTACGAACGTCAAACGCAACTAGGGTTGCCACCATTTTTTTTTGCAGATAAAGTACAATAGTTATTATAGGTAGGAAAAAAGTATACAGTATTAAAATGAAGAATGAATATATATATTTATTATTATTATTTTTATTTGTCCAATGTATATTTTAATTAGAATTGAATAAATTAAACACGAAATTGTAAAAATTAATGACAGTGACATTTGTTACTGTTATTATAATTGAGGTTAAATTGCGCTCAGAATTAATTGTTAAAAAACGAGTAGGTACATAAACTCTAATCCAATTACGAAGTCCCATTTGACAGATGTCAATAATCAAGTAATAGGTTTTTTATAGGTGAGGTGGCATTAGCGAATGGCGACATCGATTGAGCAATCGATGTATTTCGCTTAACGAAAAAGTACATATGACTAAACTTTTCAAAATCTCAAAAAAACTAAATCATTCCAAGCAAAGTACAATTACCTTAAATAACGTACAATATCATAAAGTACGGGTGGCAACCTTACACACAACTATAGCCACTGTACTTTATAGACTACATTCCGAGGGTAGAGTAGAAAAAAGCTAATTAGAGTTCTGTATCCCAGACTCTAGACACAAGACTATATGGGTCCTTTTGAGGTTCAGAAAACTAGAAACGAATGAACTATTGTAAAGTGGAATACCGACAGTTAGGTGGTGAAGTCGAAAGATATTCGTAGATAACTTTAAGCTCTGTTTGTGGACAATTTTGTTTAATTGCTAGTATTTCTTCAGGTTTATACATGGAATAATAGCGACTTACTAACCGTTTCGTACCTGGATGTAAAATACCTAGAAGTATCGGCTAGGGTTCTTCCAAAAAATCCACTATGACCCCTGTAAATAATTTTTGAGATTTTTTCCATCCAATCCATTTCGTTACAAATGATTAGATTTTTTTTTCTATCTAAGCGGATAGCCTTGGGAGACTATTTCAGCGTAATCTTAGCAAATAGGTGAGCTCCAGAGGCTCAAACCGGTGTGATGCTAACACTGACCCTAGCAAGAACAGTGTTTCGCAGAATCTACCACCGGATCGGAAACGCGACCCACTGCGAAGTTCCAGCGAGGAACTCAGTGGGCAGAATTTCATACAAATTACTCCGCTCAATATAATTATTCGCATAGCCATATTGTGCACATGTTTATTATTTGAAAAGTAAATACACTTGATACTGGCAACAACAGCATACTTTCCCTATTCGTTGGTAACCTAAGGGACTATTCCGGCTACGCGCGACCAGATAGTTGAGCTCACGGGCTAAATCTGAAAGAGTTTGCTAACACTAGCTCTAGCAAGAGCAGTGCTTCACGGAATATACCACCGGATCGAAAACGCGACCCACTGAGAAGATCCGGCGAGAAACTCAGTGGATAGCATCTTAAGAAGCCAATTCCCATATTAAACATAAGAGGAAAAAGGACTCGTATCTACAGTTGGGAAAGGAGTGCGTATGCTGTAATCTGTTTCGCTTTCGAGCTAATGTCCTTGGTTTACTTCAGTCCCGGGCAAATGGAGCGATTGGTCTAAATGGTCTTACTGCAACGTCACGTGCGGCCCTGGATACCAGTTCCGGTCCAGATCGTGTCACTACATCGACGAATACAACAACACCATAGGTGGGTTTATACAGGGTGGATTCCTAACACAAGAAATCTTCTAATTGTTATGCACGTAGCATTAGGGAATTTAACAGAACTAATGAATTGTACAATTATATTGCGTAAATGATTAATCGAAATTTTATTTCGTTACGTAAATGTTCAACGAGCTCACGGCTCGCCTAGTGTGAAATGGCTGTGAGAGTCCATGGACATCACCAAGCAAAAGTAGACACTTGATACGAGGTCGATGTCTCAACTGTATCGTACAGTGGATGTCCCGTTATTCGAACAAAAACCTCTAATTCACTTTCAAAATAGGCAGGAATATGATGCATCTAACTCTTCTATGTAGAATCGACAGGTTGCGTCGTCAGTCCGATTCATTAGAGATGGACATTATAAACTATAACTGGAATTGTAACTCGTTATTAAAACATAAGTTGATAAATTATCAATAAATCTTACACAACAAAAATACGGTGAATTGGCGTCTATTTTATTGGTAACTGAAACGCATCTACTAACAGGCTCATGACATGCTCCACTACTTAAACTGTCAATAACAGCACATATCCAGGAATCCGAATATTCCAGATTCATAAACTTCCATGTTTCTGAACCTAGAGGGCGTTAGCAGACTAGACCGGTGGCTCTCAACCACCGTATTGTAATGAGAATTTGTAATGAATATATTAGTGCGTCGCCGAGTAAAAAAGATTGAGAGCCGCTGAGCTAGACACTGTCAAACTTAATTTTTCCAAATAATTTCTAATACGAACGGAACGTGCTATTATTAACTATCAATGTTTGACATGGCAGCTTATTGACAATGGACATTGCTAATGTAATTTACGAAGGGGTTCATAAAAATAATTTTTCCTTATTTGGTGAGATTAATTAATCGTTTACAGATAATACAACTCAGTCGGACACGGTCATAGTTGACGAGAGCGCGTGCAAGGGACAGAGTGGGGACAAACGAAAATGCAGGATGCCACAATGTGAGGTAACTATGCGACATGTATATACTATAAATGTATGTCTTTTACATATTTTTTTTATTTCATAGATGGATAAACGAGCTCACAGCCCACCTGGTGTTAAGAGGTTACCGGAGCCCATAGACATCTACAACGTAAATGCCCCCATCCACCTTGACGTATGTGTTCTAAGATCTCAGTTTAGTTACAACGGCTGTCCTACTCTTGAAACTTAAACGCATTACTGCTTCACCGCAGAAATAGGCAGGGTGGTGGTACCTACTCGTGCGGACTCACAAGAGGTCCTTCCACCAGTAATTACGCAAGTTAGAATTTTGCCAGTTTCATTTTTATTACACGACGTTATTCCTTCACCTTGGAAATCAATCGTGAACATTTGTTAAGTACGTATTTCATTAGAAAAATTGGTACCCGCCTGCGAGATTCGAACACCGGTGCATCGCTCAACACAAATGCACCGAACGTTTTATCCTTAAGGCCACAACGACTTAAAACGTACATGTGTACATATATGTTTTGTACCATATGTTCCATACACTCTTAAACCGAAACGCATTCACGGCAAAAATGGACAGGACCCACCCGTGCCAGTTAAAGGACGCCCTATCATATTATTAAGTATTAATAACTTTCTTTTCTTTTATGGCACACCCCAGAAGAGACGTTTACGTTTTTACTGGTGGTAGGACCTCTTGTGAGTCCCCACGGGTTGGTACCACCACCCTGCCTATTTCCGCCGTGAAGCAGTAATGGGTTTAGATTTGAAGGGTGGGGCAGCCGTTGTAACTAAGCTGAGACCTTAAAACTCATATGTCAAGGTGGGTGGCGCATTTACGTTATAGATGTTTATGGGCTAAATAACTACTTAACACCAGGTGGGCTGTGAGCTCGTCCATCCATCTATGAAATAAAAAAATAAAAAAGAGACGTGGCCTGATATACCAGATAGCTAGCTACACACAGCTGAGTTGAATGATCAATAAACTTGACGGTTTGTTGTAGGATGAAGAGAGCCATCCGAAGTGGTCAGTGTGGTCGCGCTGGTCGCAGTGCAGCTCGAGCTGCGGCTCCGGGACGCAGACCAGGACAAGACGGTGCCGGACCAAGGTCAAATGTACCGGGGACAATGTTCAAGTAAGGACATTTTTTTAAGGGATTTGATGACCTGGTAACAAAGACCTTTAAGTCATGTCTTATTTTAATTTATATTCATATTTTTATGAAAAATGATGATATGGAGTGAAATGAAATGAAGATCATTAATTTGGGACATTAATCAACTGGGATGAAATTAAATTAAATGAGATGATATGGGATGAAATATAATCTTAGTAAAATGGTGGTCATTTACTGAGATTTTTTTAGTGGACTTTTTGTAGGATTCAGAAAAGTTACGTCCAGCGACTTTTTCATTTTCCCATATTTGTGCACTTTCACAGATATGAAACAATTAATAAACCACCGTTATTACACATTTAAACCTGAAGAAACACCAAATAGACAAAATAAAACAAATCACACAACTTTACTCCTCGCGTTCTCGCCAAAAAGTCCAGTGAGGACATTTTACTACTTACTGCCATAGATTATACACTTAATATTTACTGCGTTAGAAGATCGAACAAGGTACACTCGATGTCAGATTGTCACTGTCACTGGAGGCCCACAGACAATAAGTGTTGCCGTCCATCTTGAACTTTTTCCGACCTAAACTGATAACCCTATGGGGTTGCACGATAGCTCAGTTTTATTTATGGAGGCTAGAGGTAAGGAGAACTGTTTCTGTGTGTGAAAAAGTGTCCGTTAAAATCTGCTAAATAAGGGTGGCGCTACAGTAGCGACCGGGTAAATTTTAAAAAAGGCGCTGGAAGTTATTATAATAAGATAGAGAAATAAAAAAGGACGAAAGAACTGTAAGCACTACAAAATCACAAAAATTAACTTATTTAAAGCTGATAAGAAAATGCAATCGATGTCTCCACGTTTTATCACAGCAATAATTTTAGGTTATATTGACGAAATTAATTTGGACTACATAAACATGTGAGGTCTTGTCACTAACTACTCTAGTCAATAGTATATTAAATTTACTATCTCAGCATACTTCAGTTAGTTAACAACTGCTCAATTCATATCCACCTATGCCTATGCGCCATTCTGGAGAATTTTTGAACTGTTATTCACCGCTGAAAGTGGGACACTTTTTCAAGCTTCTCCCATATGAGACGGTTCTCCTTACCTCTACCCTCCATAGTTTTCTTGAGTTTTAAAGTTTCAAAGAAATACAAAGTGCCTGCCATCTGCTTAAGATTTCACGACGCACTTGTTCATATGTTGCACAAGCTGCGGCAACGCGTGGCGCTAGTGTCGCACTCAGTAGACTGCGCGGGTACCGGGCAAGTTGGCGGGAGATTTCAAAAGCGAACAGGGGCTATGCGAGCGTAACCTAACTAACGCCCATCTTGAAACGCGCTGAAGTTACATTTCTATAATATAAGGGTGGATTGTCAAGCGCGTTATAAGGCCACACAGCTATTTTTTACGTACATATGTATACGATAAGGTATTATTGCTGGGTGCGGTCAACTCGAGACCGGTCTGTGGCGAGCCTTGGGAGAGGCCGATGTCCGGCAGTGGACGTCTGTGGGCTGATAGTAGGAGCAGAGAGTTTTATTACTACGCCATGACTCGACAAATCATTCATAATGTTGAGATTAATAATTGTGAACACAATGTTTACCTTCATCGTTTATCATATTAAAATATTTTGTAAAATTATAGTCATATAATTAATTATTTTATTATTTTTTATTAAACTACAAAATGTACTCCGAGGGAACGTATGCAAAAGCGTTTTCCCAATATGTAATTAAATTAATATTTAAAATAAAGTAATTTTCAGGTTAGGAAATGTCCCGATCTACCGAAATGCGATAATACGGCGGATACGACGAGTACTTCTGATAATGACGTTTTGGACAGACAGACACACCACAACGACGATGTAAGTAGAGAAATATTTAATCAAATTTTGTTAATAAATTAAAGGAAGCGATTTAAAATTGTATGCATTTTTTATGCTGACAATAGCTTGTCCGTGTTTGTATTTTAAGAAGCTTGAATAAATATTATTATTATTACTAGCTGACCCGGCAGACTTCGGAGTGCCTCAATCGATAAATAAAAGACCTAAACTTTTGTATAAAATAAACTTAAAACAATCAAAAGGAATCCGTCCGACGGGGGACACATCAAAGGAAAAACAAAATTGTTATTTTTATTTAATTTTGATCATTTTCATATTTATCTACCTTTTAAATCTTCTCTGGACTTCCACAGATAATTCAAAACCAAAATTAGCCAAATCGGTCCAGCCGCTCTCGAGTTTTAGCGAGACTAACGAACAGCAATTCATTTTTATATATATAGATTATTTGTCGACAGGAAGTGTATACTCCGGAGGCAGTCTACGAAATGGAACCAGAGATAATAAAATCTAAGTATTCGCCTAACGTTGAACAGTTCTACGTGGCGGCGGGTACGTTTTGCATTCAATATACCATATCATACGTCTATAGCGAACTACGTCATCATCAAATAGAAGTCGTCGTGGCCTAAAGGATAAGACGTCCGGTGCATTCGTATGGAGCGATTCACCGGTGTTCGAATCCCAGGCAGGTACCAATTTTTCTAATGTAATACGTACTCAACGAATGTTCACGATTGACTTCAACGATGAAGGAATAACATCGTGTAACAAAAATAAAAGCCGCAAATTTTAATTTGCGTAATTACTGGTGATAGGACCTCTTGTGAGTCCGCGCGGGTAGGTACCACCGCCCTGCCCGTTTCTGCCGTGAAGCAGTAATGGTTCCGGTTTGAAGGGTGCGGCAGCCGTTGTAACTATACTTGAGACCTTAGAACTTATATCTCAAGGTGGGTTGCGCATTTACGTCGTAGATGTGTATGGGCTCCAGTAGCCACTTAACACCAGGTGGGCTGTGAGCTCATCCACCCATCCAGGCAATCAGTTCAGCGCATTTGGCTTCGTCCACGCGATCCTTTACCGTTGCCCCTACCCTGAACAACAAGTTTCTCGATAGGTTCTGCTGGCGATACGTGTCCAAAATATCGGAGAATCTGTACTGTTGACCACAACCTTTGAGAGATATTAAGTTCCTTTAGAATCGAGGCGTTGGTGCGATGCTCAGTCCAAGATATACGAAGCATCTTCTCCAGCACCTTACATTGACTTTGGACCGTCTAAGTACGTCATAAGACAATCTAAAAGTATTAGTTAAATAGTTTCACCAGGCACTAAACTCATTGTAGGCCACACGGCCGGATATCACACCCCTGTCCACTTCAGGGGGAAATACGATGCACATTCATTTAATTGAGACTTAGATCTCCTCTCTATCGGTCATACCAAGGGTGGTGGCATTTATTTTGTGCCATCCACGTGCTCCAACACCTAAGACCAATGTGCTTAGTATTAGTCTTTTTACTTCTCGTTTGAACGCAGGGACGCTGTTCCAACTCCACACAAATTTGAGTTAACTTTTACGAGATCGAGAAGTTAAAAAACGCGCACTAGGCACACGGGTGAGCTTTGAGCCTTGTCCATCTATGGTAGATCTATACCAGCCTTTCCAAAAGTGAGCGATAACGCCCCCTTGTGGGCGCTGCGGGTATAAAGGGGGGCGGTAAGAGACCCAGAAAAAAAAGGGGGCGTGGTGTAGAGGCTTGGAGGCAATTTGTAAATTCATCTAGGAGGACTCTTAGACACTGACTGAGTTCTCGCTATAGTGGTTTTTAGGTAGGTGAAAAAATGAGGGCGCTTAAAAAGAATTTATTCTCAAAGTGGGCAGTAGACAAAATAAGTTTGGGAGCCCCTGATCTATACGAACAAACGCAGAGTTGACAGTGATTTATTTAACAAAGGAACACGAGCGACGACAGCCTACTATGACGTCAACGTCACCAGCAACCTCGACCGAAGCGAGAGAGGCCGCTGCAACCCAGGGTACACGTACGAGCGGACCACGGACACGTGCCACGGTAATCTTAACTATCTCTTCGATTTGCAAAAATCGGTGAAAATATACGACCATCACCCCTCTAATTTTGATGGCAGAAACATTCCCTGGAGTGCCAGGCAGAGCCGGTACTGAAGATTCATTGTAATCGTGTTTTTTTCCCGTACCTATTAGCTTTTCCAGCTACGTGCGGACTGGTAGGGGAGCTCACGGGCTCAACCCGAGAAAGTTTGCTAACACTAGTCCTAGCAAGAGCAGTGCCTCTAAGAATCTACCACCGGATCGGAATCGCGGCCCACTGAGAAGATCCGGCGAGAAAGTAACCACGATTAGCCCATTGAATCCCGCGATTCCGATTCAGTGGTAGATTCTGCGAAGCACTGCTCTTGTAGCTAATAGCCCCTGGCTACCAGCAATAACATAGGGGATAAAAACATAATGGAGGAACTAAAGATAAAAGATGCGAATGTAAAAAGTAATCGATCGATTTATTCGTCGTCGAAGTCGTCGTGACCTAAAGGATAAGACGTCCGGTGCATACGTATCTAGCGATGCAGCGGTGTTTGATTCTCAGGCGGGTACCAATTTTTCTAATGAAATACGTACTCAACAAATTTTCACATTATAATTTGCGTAATAAATGGTGGTAGGGCCACTTGTGAGTCCGCGCGGGTAGGTACCACCGCCCTGTCTATTTCTGCCGTGAAGCAGTAATGCGTTTCGGTTTGAAGAATGGGGCAGCCATTGTAACTATAGAACTTATATCTCAAGGTGGGTGGCGCATTTACGTTGTAGATGTTTATGGGCTCCAGTAACCACTTAACACCAGGTGGGGTGTGAGCTCGTCCACCCACCTAAGCAGTAAAAAAAATGCAATCGATCGATTTATTTGTTTTATTTACTAGACATAGACGAGTGCAAGATCGACTACAATGAGTGCCACGCGACCCAGTACTGCGTGAACACGGCGGGCGCCTACCGTTGCACGTGTCCCGCCGGCTACCTCGCACTGGGGCTCGGACAACGCTGTCTAGGTATTTATTCCTGATTTTATTGATAGCTGGGTGCTCAAAGAAAATCCTGGTTCGCCAGAACGGGTGGACGAGCACGGCCTCAGCCAGGAAGGTATTACCTGCTGCCAGAACGTCTCCTAACGAGATCTGTGTGCTTATTGCGAGTTTCTTAACGTTCTCGATAGCGTAAAAGTTAACCTATTTTTGTATGCAATTGGAACAGCGCCCCTAGCGGCAAACGTACGCAAACGATCCCATTCCATACAAATATGAGCTAACTTTTACGCTATCGAGAACGTTAAAAAACTCGCACTAAGCACACTGACACCTCTTGCTTCGCAAATCTTCTACTACCGGATCGGAATAGCATCCTGCTGAGAAACTCAACGGGCTGATGCTATAGGCTAGGTTTCACAGTATGTTTGTTATATGACACAGTACCGCGCGATTACTTACTTCCATCTACTGAGTTTCTTTTTTTTTTATTGCTTAGATGGGTGAACGAGCTCACAGCCCACCTGGTGTTAAGTGGTTACTAAAGCCCATAGACATCTACAATGTAAACGCGCCACCCACCTTGAGATATAAGTTCTAAGGTCTCAAGTATAGTTACAACGGCTGCCCCACCCTTCAAACCGAAACGCATTACTGCTTCACGGCAGAAATAGGCAGGGTGGTGGTACCTACCTGCGCGGACTCACAAGAGGTCTTACCACCAGTTTCTCGGATGTTCTTAATGGGTCGCGATTCAGATTCGGTAATAGATTCAGCGAAGCACTGCTCCTGCTAAGGCCAGTATTAACAAGTCCTCTCAGGTGGGTAGCCGGAATAGTTCTTTAGTTACCAGCGAAAAAGAAAACTCGCTTTGTAGCTCATCTTCTATCTCTTTCTATCGTACCAGATATAAACGAGTGCGTCCAAGGTATAGCTGGATGCGAGTTCGCGTGCGTGAACACGGCCGGCGGGTACGTGTGCGCCTGCCCCAAGCACCTGCGGCTGCACATCGACAAACACAGATGCGTGCCCCGTGAGTCCAACTGACCTCAACGTTCTATAAGCTAGTTTTTTTGTTGTTGCTTAGATGTGTGAACGAGCTCACAGCCCATCTGGAGCCCATAGACATCACAACGTAAATGCGCCACCCACCTTTAGATATAAGTTCTAAGGTCTCAGTATAGTCACAACGGCTGCCCCACCCTTCAAACCGAAACGCATTACTGTTTCACGGCAGAAATAGGCGGGGTTGTGGTACCTACCCGGGCGAACTCACAAGAGGGCCTACCAGCAGTAAATGTATGAAATTTAAGTTCTGTGTGCTTAATGCGAGTTCTTTAACGTTCTCGATCGCGTAAAAGTTAACTCAAATTTGTATGGAGTCCGAACAGCGCCCCTAGCGGCAAACGAAGGGAAACTGTTCCAACTCCATACAAATTTGATTAAAAAAAACTCGCATTATGGACACTGTTGTTTTAACATATGTTACAGCGCCTTCATACAATGACCCATATTACACGGATGAAAACGAAGACTACTATAGCACGGCCACAGATTATCCTACAAGATACGTAACGAGGAAGAGAAATTAATAAAACAATATTACGTACAACTGTGCTTTATTTATTTTCTCCAAGAAATATTAACTAAGTATGAATATGCAATAGTATTACATACCTTCAGCTGAATAGGAATATGAAAAACTTTTAAATGATTTTTTTCATCGTAAACTAAATTTGATTTAACATTAACATTTTTAATAAATAATAATTATTAACAATAATTTATATTATTAACAATAATTTATAGACAGTTTCTATACAATAATTTTATTGTTATTGGAAATCTTATTGAAAATGTTATTGAAAGATTTATCATGAAGATTATATTGTACTATCTTAATAAAGGGTAGTATCAAAATTACAATGGTTGCACAACTTCCATAATTCCGTATGAAGCTATTTTTGAAGTTAGTCAGTTGAGTCAGTAAAGGAAGGAGATAAGGAATTCATAAACTGCGCAAAATATTGCTGCTTCTTTTCTGATACTAGAACATCCTAATTGGAAGTGTATTACTTTTTTATTAAATAATCTACACGAAAAATTTATCTAATCTGAAACGATTCCTAATGCGAAATGCTTACAAACGGCATTTAATGATTTCACGTGATTTTTATCTTCACTTAATATGTAAAAAAAGGATTTGTGAGCTAATTCTATCTAATATAATGTTGTTAATAGATATTACATATATTTTGAATAAACACTACGGTACAAAGTCTATTAGGACTTGACAATCTGACTTCTTCGGAGATGAAAAACGTTTTTGACAGTTGACAGTTGATTCAACTTCAAATTTACGCGGGAAATTTGCTAAGTCGTTATAGGCGGCAATAGTTCGTTACCAATCATCTTCTTTATTGGTCCCCGCTTTGGGTCGAACACTCTTTCGTCATTCTTCCGAGTAAAATTCCTGGAACAAAAGACCCAAAGCACAAAATAATTATATGAGCATTGAAATTCTAATCGAATCTTTTCCTTAAAGAATAGTAAAAAAGAAATATTTATTTCTTAAGTCTACATTCAACTTGAGTCGACTATTATCAAAGCCGGCAATGTGACTTTTGGACAATTATTGGTAAATCAGAAAAACGAATTATTTACTTTGTATTCCATTGGCAGTCACAAAACTCTTCTGAACGACATCTTAGATAAATAACAGGTTAAGTATTAACCTTTATTTAATGCAGGTTTTGAACCGTATTCTTTGAGGGAGACGGTTATATTCAAATCAATCTGTATTGACATATCAATAACATTTTTTGTCCAAATGCACAGATTGCCACCTTTGATAATAGACGACTCACTTCTTTATTCAACAATTGATTGTCTCTACGTGATTAATTAATTTTGAAATTACCAAGATCATGTTACTTAAAGGCCTCCTCCGACCGTCCCCATTCCTTCCTGCCCTGTACAAGTTCCATTCATTCTCCACCGGCTACTTTCATTTTATACCGATACAAAGAATACTTACTGCCAATACCCTCCATTCTTCTGCAGTCTCATGATATTGTTCTGACATATCATCAACTCGTTTTGTAAATATGTCCGTTGATCGTTCACTCTCACGAACAGCTGTTGACGGTAAATATTGTTTGACATTTAATTTTATTATCTATACGATGACTTAATATTATCTGTGCCTTGATTTGTCCAATGTTGGCATCCCATTAAGAACTATGAAAATACGACAGCGGCGAATCTTGTAAGCAAATGTATGTCTTAATATTAAAGGCCGTCAAACTAAAGCTGGTTAAGTTAGTTACATATTTTTTGGCGACTGCCCACCACTGAATACTCTCCATGTACTTAATACGAAAAAGTACATTTTATAACGGTCAGGAAATACCATGAAGGGTAGTTCATTCCAAAACCGGATGGTACGTGGTAAAATAAATCTCTGAAAACTCCCTGCAGATAAATACAGCTTTAGTGGCGGACGGTGCGATGCTAATAAAGCGATGTAAAGTCAAATTAGATTGGCAAATGGTTTTGTTCTTTTTTACCTTTGACTCCGAATCCAAACGCCATTCTTTACTGCGCAGTGTACTTATCAAATCAGTTTTGAGCCTTTCAAATCTTTTCACTGTACGCAACAGTTCTGCCTGCAAATAGTGGCTTCTCTAAGATTAAGTTAACCAATTTACTTGCATCTTCCTTTGTATTTTTAATAAACAATAATATAAGAAAAAATGATGAGAGACTTCTATATTAATGTTGGGGCGTAATACGAACTCCCACAAATGGGTACATTCTACTTACTTCTGATATGATTTAGAGTATTGCGGCTTATTGCGCTCTGAAGCATATAAATATAATTTGAAATATAGTATATAACTACAATATACTATACAAAAATAGCGATTTAAAATTTCCACCTCATTCAAGGTGGGAAACGGCTTCCTCTTTGATGTCTATAGCCTTGCCTCTCAATCGAATGTAATAAAATACTAAGAATAAAATCTACGTACCGGGGTTAAAAGATCTAAATTTATATTTAAATCGTCATGTTTCAGCTTACAATCTGAAACAAAGCACAACAAAATGCGTTTAATTAAAATAGAAGTAATTATAGATGTCGCTAGTAGCTCAAAAACCCACCGGGGCCGCACATTTTTGCATTTTTAATTTTCTCCTTCAACAACGGAAGTTGCTCCTTCAAAGTATCTATAGCGTCTAAGAGTTGTTTGTGTTTAGAGCTTTCTCTAGACAAGGCATCGTCATGATCCCATGGATATTCTGGTTTGCGTAGTTCTTCTTGCATTTGCATAATTTGTTTTTCAATTTCACCATTCTGCCAGGATGCGGATTCTCTGAAGAGATAACAAACTGCCAGTGAACAATACAATCTTCGAAAATTTCAACTATTACTTTAAAATAAGTTGAAGAATTAAAAACAAACTATAATAAATAGTAAAAAGTATAGTTACAAAGTACCTAGTTGACCGTTATGGTATTCATCATAACATTTTTTTAGTACAATGAAGCTATACTAAATTAAAGAAAAAAAAGGCCAATAAAATACTGAAAAAAAATCTGGCAAGCATTAAGAAAAGAGATAATAGCAATAAAGGTTTCGTAATTTTGTGCGAAACAGAGAACAGACAATAAAATTATACGAATATTCTGTTTCTTTTCTATGCAGCATACAGTATGTTTTGGCGTAATGTTTATTCGACAAACGTAAATATTAAAATCTACTGTATCCTCCCATACCCTTTTGAAAACCAAATCTTACTTATTAATTTAATAACTTCTGTCATTGATAGAAGACTGAAAAAATCATATCAGTCGATCCTTAAATTATGCTTTGGCCAATAATTTTATTCGAATATACTTATGTAAGTAATATTTTTTTACGTTGCATTAAAATAGTAAATCGTGATCACAGAATTAAAGAAAATGCGATTAGCCTCTTAGGTATAGGATTAGTTAATGGATCATTAAGAATTGGAGAAAAAATATTTCCTTGACATATTCTCTGAAGCTAGAGGTGCACTAGGGGGCGTTTTTTAGAAGCATACATATCCCTAAGTTGGTCATCATGTAAATATATTGCATGAGAAAGTCACTTGCGTTAGTTTACTCATTAAAAAGAAATACTTGAGTTTGTGTATTTTTATACCAAATAAATAAAGCTTAAGTCACGTCACTAACCTACAATTTTTTTCATGCTCTAGTTCATTTTTCAGCGATTCTATTTCCATATCGTTCATTTTAATCGTTTCCTTAAAAACACAGTTCCATAAATGTGTTTGTGACTAGTGATTACACAGAAATTATGTCCTTGAGTAAAATTGATTTTACAACTCCTTAGCAACAAAATGTGAAATAGTTGGTACCACCTGCGCTCACTACGATTTTTTTTTATCGTAGCTGCGTGGTGCATGAAAATGATGATCAATTTACATGTCGCCTTGACCCGTATTTTATTTCTAAAAGCACTTTTGACTGTAGAGCAAACCGAGGTCACAGTATTAGTACAGAAGTTCTAATAAATTGTAACTGTGTAAGAATTTCATTACTATAGACTGAATCAGAAAATTAAGGAACCAATCTGCTCGTTAGTCAAAATCAGAGTGCAAACTTTACGAAATCTGCTGAACAGGGGCTTAGTATTCGTCCCTTGGGTGCGAAATTTTACGAGAAACTAACTGTAGACCATAGTACTACTTTTTATTGCAATTTTAGCTTAAACAGGCTCGCGGTTCACCTGGGTCCAACACCCATCTTGAGATACGAGTTCTAAATATAGTTCTTTTGTCATAATTCTGACCAATCGATTTTCAAAATCGAACATCATAGATAATACACATTTATTATCTATGGAAGCGATTAATACCATAGATAATACACTTATGAATGTACTTTTCAAATTTGAATTTCTCGTGACGGTTATTTAATGTGTTGATGTACCGAATTTTATTTATTCCCTAGAGTTTAATGTGGATAATAAATATTCAATATCATTTAACTATATTGGTTACAAGGTACCTAAAGATACCAAATCTTCAATCACACAAAACTATTAAATTGAAATGTGAAATTTTAAATAGGACCCTAAAGTCATTCTTACGTTTAAACTCAAGAAACTTAGCTACGGGATTTTATGAAACATGAGTCTATTATGTGCGGTTTCAGAAGAAGCCAACAAAATTAATAGTGATAATGTAAAGAAATATCAACATGAACTTTTACCGAAACTGAAGGATTTGACTGAGCGAGTACAACTTTTATCGTGGGCTCTCCAACAGAATGTGATAGATACATACATTAATTACACTGTAACGAAGAGTCTAGAACAATTGAATTTTAAAAGTCGTAAATTGAAAATTGATAATGACTATAATACACTAGAAGAAGAATTAAGAACTTTCACTGAAGATTTTAATGATAACGATGGAATTATGAAGAACGCGGAAGCATTGCACAAATCCTACCATATTTTAAAGGATTTATGTGTTTTAGGGGAAGCTAAAAGTGTTATAAATCGAGCAAATCATGAATTTAACAGATATAACTATTCTGAAGCAATGTTGTCTTTAAAAAACTTAAAAGGTCAGTTAGATAATGTTAAAGCAGATGGGAATGTTGCTAAAGTAGTTCTTAACTTATATGATCATGTTGAGAATCAACTAGCACTTTTTACCGCGCATTTAAGCATTGAATGGGAAGACGTTTTCACTTGGAGCGAGAAAAAAGGTTTAAATTTCTTAATTTACTCATTATCAGTGCAACAAAGTGATCAGGTGCTGTTACAGAGGATATTAAATACATTGTATGTTACTGACAGAATGAAGGCTGAGCTCTGGTCTTTCTCTGATTTCTTCATAAATAAACTAGTACATAATGTTATAAGACATAATTGTGATATATTTACTGAAGATCACATTGGTGCTATAGTCTTCAACATAAAGATTGATTTAAGTGACAACACTAAGCCAAATTATCAAACCATATTTAACAACTTAACTGCCATATTTGAATTTCTGCAATCAACATTAGGTTCTCAGTTTCAAAGCGATGAGACATTCACTCAGATATTTGCAAAGTCAATAAAAAGTGATTTCTTTGATAAAATTATAGAAGACTGTGTAAGAAGTAATTTCCAGTCTTATGATGGCAGCTATCAAAGTTACAAAAACATTGTCATAGAACTTGATTCGTTCAATAAATTTTTGATTGAAATTAAATTTGTCGATCCCGATGATTCACCTCTGAACAGCTATATAGAGAACACGGAATGTTTACTTTACAACAAGAAATGTGAAAAGTTATTGATCAACGTTAGAAGTTTAATTTCCCAGAGTTTATCATATGATTCAATTGAAGTAGGCTCCACATTAAATGACAATAAGACAGATCAATCTAATAATGAAATACCATGGGATCTAAATGCACCAGTATACTTACCAAAATGTATGATTTCACGAAATGTTAAAACAATAATGACACTGATAAAGGATCATTTGGAAGAAAGCTCAAAACTTCCAGAAAAGTACAGTATGAAGTTTGTGTCTTATATTAAAGATATTGCAGTAATGTATCAATGTGTTGTACCAAGAAAATTCAAAATTAACTTGGAAAGCTGCCCATCTGATATTGGTATGAATGACAATTATCCTCTTATCAAAGTGTTAATTCACAGAATTTTGCTCACATCTATGGTTAATTTTTTTACAGCACTATTCTTTAATAACTGCTACTATCTGGCACATGGGCTTGTTGGCCCACCATGGTGTACGACTCTCCCACAGGACTTAGCTGATCGTCTTGTACTGGTACTCTTTGAATGCATCCAAGATCTTAGAGTTTTGGGATTGGAGAAGCTATCACTGTACTTACAACAACAGAAAACTGTTATTCAAGAGGGCATTCAGCCTAAAGGTACCTTTAAAATCATTTTAAATTAATAAAAAAAGGCTCAGAANCTTGTTGGCCCACCATGGTGTACGACTCTCCCACAGGACTTAGCTGATCGTCTTGTACTGGTACTCTTTGAATGCATCCAAGATCTTAGAGTTTTGGGATTGGAGAAGCTATCACTGTACTTACAACAACAGAAAACTGTTATTCAAGAGGGCATTCAGCCTAAAGGTACCTTTAAAATCATTTTAAATTAATAAAAAAAGGCTCAGAACTCTTAAATAGAGATAGAAAACCTTGTGACCTGAAAAAAATGAAATTTGATACTGAAGATACAAGTGTAAGGTATTGTTGGCATTCTACAAAACAATTGATTTCGACCTCATGTCTTAATGCAAGTATGCCATAAATTTACCGAGGACGTCTCACCTTCCGAGCGACGCAGGTGCTCACGGGACACGGCTGTTTCGGTCGCTACCTGCACCTCGTCGCCCGGAGGAAGCCGACGCCGAAGTGCCACCACTGCAGTGGCTGCAACGAGGACACGGCGGAGCACACGTTCGCGGAGCAGCGCCGCGTCCTCGTTGCAAAAATAGGACCGAACTTGTCGCTTCCTCGGAGTGGCGCCGCGTGCCTGGTTGTAGTGTTGACCGCGGGAACCCCACTACTCTGACCGGGTTTTGACCCCGGACGGAGATCGGACGCCGGGTGTAAGAGTGCAGAGGAGTCGTTTAGTGGGTGGGCCCTAAATTCCTTGGGCCCGCGGTCTGCACTCAACACCTGCAGATCGTTGAGTCTCACATACCCCGCGCGCCCCCTAGGTGCGGGGACCTCGTAGGAGGTTCGGCACTCGGCCCAAAAAAAAAAAACGGATGCCATAAATTTGCCTGTCTGCATAAAGCAAGAAAAAGGTACCTATTCCAAATAGTTCATAAGTTAAAATTTTTACAGAATCAACATCTTGGACCCATGAAGAGTTTGAGCACTTTGACTGTGGTATCAATCGAGCTATGACCCTAATGAAAGAACTAAAGACCTCATGGCTCCACATACTGCCGTCACGGATGTACATTATGTCTATGTGTACCCTTATTGAGGTAAGAAATCTAAGTATATTTATTGATTGATATTATTTTGATGTTTACGTTAATTTTCTGATGTCACCTCTAATGTATGGTGCATACAAATAGAACAGCAAGGAGTGATAATAGGAAATTCTATTTCGTCATTCCTGTATACTGTTATAAAACTTACAAGGCCTCTAATGGAACTTTTATCTTTTGAAATGCCAATTATTGTGTATATAAAAGAAGGTTTTCGGTTTACTTTCTTATAAAATGTTTATTTTAATATCTCTAATGGATATGTACGTAATGTTGAGTTTAATCAATTTTATCGGTATAATCTTGTGTCATTGTATTTTTCCCTCCATTACGGCTACAAAATTTTACAAGATTGTTTGTGTCTAATAAAGTGATGTTTAATAAATTCTATAAAACTATCCGACTTATTATTTAAATACGACAAAGTGGGTGAACAAACACCTAACTATTAAAGTTTGGTCCTCAAATATGATACATAGTGCTTACTGTCCAGAACTATACATTTATTTATTATTATGACTTTTTGTAGATTATTATAAGCTGACTTGCTATTTCAGGTTTTATGTGAAACTGTATTAAACCGTATTTTCTGCGACATCAAGCATGTCAGTGAAGATTTGGTATACTTGATTGCCACTAGAATTGAAGATACTTTAGAGGAAGTTGTCACATTGTTTGAGGTTAGTATTATCAAGACGACACCCCCATATTTTAGTTTTATACTAAGGCTTTAATTGTCGTACCAGCCTATAGTGAACGGAAAACCTTACAGAAGGGAACTGCTAGCTGTAACTGATGGATTCTGCACAATATTTAATATAATGTTATTATTGCTTAAGACATGTGTTGCAGATAGTGCAAAAGACACAGTAAAATATAAATCGACTAGCTGACCCGACAGACTTCGTAGTGCCTCAATCGATAAACAAAAGACCTAAGCTTTTGTATAAAATAAACTTAAAACAAACAAAAGGAATCCATGCGACGAGGGACACATCAAAGGAAAAACAAAATTGTAATTTTTATTTAATTCCGAGCATTTTCATATTTATTTACCTTTTAAACCTTCTCTGGACTTCCACAAATAATTCAAGAACAAAATTAGCCAAATCGGTCCAGCCGTTCTCGAGTTTTAGCGAGACTAACGAACAGCAATTCATTTTTATATATATAGATTATTATTTTATTATTAGTAATGGGTTTTGTTGTTGCTTAGATAGATGGATGAGCTCACGGCCCACATGGTATTAAGTGATAACCGGAATCCATAGACATCAAGAACGTAAATGCCGACAGTCATTTGAATGCCAGGTGACCTACATTTTCTTCATTTTCCTGACGAAATCTTTTTTTTTTCAGGAACCAATCGAATTAGAAGAACAAATATCTATTTGGGTAAAGTTTTCAAGAATGCCCTTGTTACTGAAGGCCCAGCTTCTAGAAATTTCCGAACTATGGAACAAGGATCGTGAATTATTCAGCGATTACACTTGCGAGGAATTCAGACATGTCGTGAAAATGCGCTTCGCCGATGATAAATATAGATTGAAAATATTGAAAGAAATACAATAAATAATTTTGAGCATTTGTTTTTTTTAATCTTTCATTTTAAATTCGTAAATACAGGTTGTATTGGAATCGTTCCCGAAAACGAAGACAGATGGCGGTAGTTTGAGATTCTAATATGGTTGCAAGTAAAACTAGTTATTTTTTTCACTTCGGCCAAAACGAAACGTAAATCTACTTTATTACACTCTACATTTACCGGACCTCAAAGAATGAGTTCTTATGAGTACTCTTCAAGCACCGGTCAACGTGTTCGTCGAATTCATCGATTATTTTGACGGGAGAACTAACCCATAGACAGAGTCCGACTCCGATCCGGTTGTAGATTTGCGAACCACTACTGCTGGGGCTAGTGTTAGCAGATTCTCTCAGCTTGAGCCCGTGAGCTGACCTACCTTAAGTGTATAATCTATGGACCTACCCGTTCGCACGTAGCTGGCATAGCCTCAAGCTAACAGCGAATAGGTAGTTAAAATTTTTTTTTCCTAATCTGATAGCCTTGAGAGGCTATTTCAGCGTAACCTTAACTAGTAGGTGAACTCACGGGGCTCAAACCTAACGACGTTGCTAACACGAACCTTAGCAAGAGCCGTGCTTCGCAGAATCTACCACCGGATCGGAAACGCTACCCACTGAGAACATCTGGCGAGAAACTCAGTGGGATGTGTCTGAGGGTTGTTAAAAAAAAAAAAGAAATCACGTTCATTAAACCATAGACAAATGAACGATCAAGCGCAATTGCAAATAGTTTTAATCAAAAATAGAAGCTCAAAGCCGTCTCACACACGTTACACATTCGTTTCCTTGCTTCCGTTCTTCCGCACAGAAAATAGCTTATACTACTAATTACTAATTACGCAACAATACTATTCGACACGCTATTCGTTAGTTATATGCTACATTTGTTCCCGATATCGATTAAGTAGGTATGTTACGAAATAATAATATATAACATTAGTGGAGCCGTGAATACCACTAACTTTTTTTTTTTATGAATGAGTAATTACTGGTGGCCCAGAGACCTTTTCAGTTTCAGCAGGACAGGTGGGCGAGCAAAGGCTCAGCCAGGGTTGGGATTTGCTAACAGCTGCCCGAGCGCCTCCAAAGGAGACCTAACAATTCAAGAGCAACTGCTTCGCGAATGAAAGCACTAACTGCGTGGAATACATTTGTTGTAACTACTCGTGCGCCACCTGTCGTACGTTGATGGTACTATGCTAGACTACGCTCAGGCTTAAGGAACAAACTGACTAAATTTGATTACTACAGCACGAACGGTATCGTAACGCATAAAATACGAACAAAGGTTGATTAATACGCTTTTATTAGCTTCAGACGCATGTATGTATGTTTGTAACGGAATCTTTGAACATGTTTTTGACCCCCTTCAAAATGTCGGATTAACTCGAAATTTGATATACTTAAGGACTGATTGCAATTCAATATTAAAAAAAATAATTAAAAAATTGAAATTCAACTAAAAAATGAAAAATAAATAATAGTTTACAAAAACTAACAAAATACCTAGGCTTTTATAGAAAATCCAACTAAAAAAAATTGAAAATAAATTTTAATAAATTTTAATTAAAAATAGTGTAAGAATAAATGATTTTATTGTAAAAAAAAGCGTGCGGTGCATGGTATCAGTAGTTAAAAATATTTTATGAAACAGATATGAGTAGAAGGGTTATTTTGATAATATCCGGAAATGCACCCCACGTTTTTTTTACAATTATTAAAAAAAAAAATTAAATTTTTTTTTAGATGGGTTTTCTATAAATGCGTATTTGGTGAGTTTTTTTAAACTATTATTTTTTTATTCAGATTTTAGATGTCTTGACATTACCAGCCTGAAGTCGAATTCAGTAGCCGCTGTAAGCCAGGTAGGTGAGAGCTCGTACACCAGGTAATGCAAATAAACGAAAAAAAAACTTATTAAATTACGGGTATGACAATAAACATTAGTAAAATGTTATTAATGCTTAATTCTAATTTATTCAAGAAACATAAATAATTTTTAAGTTTAAAAATAATTAAACCGGATGTCACGGAACTAATGACAAGGAGAAACGTCCACGAGCAACGGTAACCACTCACCATCAAGTGGGCCGTTTGCTCGTCTGCGTAAAAGGGCAATAAAATAAATAAGGGATGAAGTCCACGAGCAACGGTAACCACTCACCATCAAGTGGGCCGTATGCTCGTCTGCGTAAAAGGGCAATAAAAAAAACTTATACTATAAATCCTGCACATCATGTTAATGGTAGGTAGTTTAATGTTATTTCGATAGTAGTAAACAAATTACTTAATGTAACATATTTTACCTACATACCTACCTACTAAGCTATGATTTGATTTTCTCTATACTAAATAGGTACCTATCTATGAGTCAAAAACTTCTAGAAGAATATCATGTTGTTATTTTATGGTTTTTACTGGATGATATTTGCAGAGAAAGTAGTTGTCCCGAAACGCAACCACCCATTACGCGAATGCTATATAAGTGAGTGCGTTTTTCTTGTACCTGTTATTACGTACATGACCGCGACGATAAATCGATATCGCATTATGAACTACTTATCGGTGGGTACTAATTAAAATTATAAGAAAAAAAAAAACATTCGAAAATGGAACGTTTAAAATAGTGGCGGGAAAGTGTTTTTTTTTTCTATGTTCCTAGAAATATAGTTGCGGAGATGTGGTATAAGGGTTTACCAATGCGATTAAGAAAATCGATTAAAGTGATAAAGTCAGTGATATTAAAACGAAAAGTGCAGTTCGTAAAGTTCTGAACTTAGTGTTCTTCCGAAATTTTACAGAGCAAAATTTATATTATTGAAATTTTAATGTTAAAATGGGCACAAATGTTTTTTGCTGATATTTAAATTGAAACATTTCACATAATTCCATTCCTTATAACTTACTCCTAGATCGGCCAGAAGTTCTGAAAATACATTTTGTAAACTTGTTCTTGTATATGGTGTACTATTTATGGTTTAAAATTTACAACCAATGTACCCAGATTTATTCTAAAGTTTAATAATTTAATTCGTTGTCAAAATTAAAATAATTAAGTGAAGTAGACATAAAAAACATTAAAATTCTAAACATAAATAGCGAGGCATATTAAATTCTAATTATGAACATAACTACAAAGATGGATAAATGTTTTTTTTTTCTTCTATCAAATATCCACCATGTTGCGTGACCTTAAATTGTTTTTGTTTGTCCGATATACGTTTCCTATACGTATTAGTAAAAGCAATACATACCTCAATATTTTTTGCGACGCGGAACTCCCGTGCACGCATTTACGCATACAACACGCAAAATGAACCATAAATTAGTTTTTCTGAACAGGCAAATACAATATTTCATACACAAGCCGCAAATGAATAAATCGTCAATCGTCGTTTTTTAATGCAAGCATGTTTCCGACCTCACGTTATCCTGTGTGGTCTACGTTGGTCATAGACATCGCCAATGCCAGGGTCACATTCAAATCGCTACCTACAAAGATGTTGATGTATTGTGCATGTGCTTGTAATGTTTATAAATTGTATTTCCATTTTACAGACGGCACTCGTTATCACTGTCATAGTGATCGTCGTCCATCAAGGAAATGGCGTGGCGGCATACGACGATGGCAGAATCGATCAAATAGCGGAAGAGGCGAAAAACAGAGCAGTTACAATCATTGACGGTCCAAAGTACGTAGAACCGCCGAGGTCTGTTGATGTACCCCTGAACACAAGCAATCCTGCTCCAAATACGAATAACAACAATTCAAACGTAAATGTCCAACATCCGAACACCACAAAGCCAGAACAACGCCCGCCGAGCAAACCACCCATCACACCAGACAAACCGGGAAAACAAATATACTTCCCCAAAATGCCGCGACCAACATATTACGCACACATACAAAAGATACCGCAGCCTCGTCACCATCACCAGCCGCCTTTCAAATACTATCACTCACCAAACTCTATATACAAGTTTCCTAGAGTGATACCGCTGCCGCCGCATCTAAGAAACCATTACTATTTGAAGTCGCAACCGCTCATGTTCGCCGCATCTACTGGGAAACCTTCAATAGTGAAGAGCCCGAAATTCAGTTTACCGGTTCAAACTATTAACGGTATTCGAACAGAGTTCGTCAGACCACCAAAAATTTGGAACATAACATCAACGACGACGACAACAACCACCACCACAGAGGCCACGACAACAACCAAAGCTCTGAGAACGAAACGTATTTGGCCTAAACGAACTTTAGAACTAGAAAACTCGACACTTTCCAATGTACTCGATAACTCATCATTAAGCAACTCTTCCAATGAAGACTACCTCGAAACATCGGCCACATTTCGCCGATTTAGATACGCATACAAAAACGCGACGACCACGTCTACAACTCAATCTCCAACGCTTCGGAGCTACCGGCCAGTAACACGAATTCCTAAAATCAAATCAACGACCCCCACTATTAATTTCACAGCTATCGGGCCAAACGACTGGGTACCTATAGTACCTTCTCATTTTCCTAAATTAAGAACACTACTAGCGCCGATACCGACGCCAATAAACAAACGTTCGGATTTCATTACGAACTCGGAAACGCCTCCAGAAAAACAAATGATGTACCTGCAAAGTTTTGGTTTGGTCCCCGTATCGAAGAACTCCGAGCCAGCCATGACCAGAAAAAAGATGGTTTTCTTTAAAAGGAAACGACAATTGAACCCGTATTATTCTGGTTACAGCCCGAGGCCGGGGAAGCCGCTGAAAGGGGTGATATACGGGGACCAAGAGACCGACGAGAGCCACAGCCATCCCAGAGTTGTCACTAAAATAAAACATCATCATCATCACCATCACCACAGATACATTAAAACCGTCGAGAAACCAGTGAAAGTTCCATATAAGGTGGAAATACCGAAACCCTATCCTGTGACGGTTGAGAAAAAGGTCCCATATCCAGTGGAGAAAATAAAATTCGTCGACAAGCCAGTACCGTATCCCGTTACCGTAGAAAAAAGGATTCCCTACCCTATCGGTATAAAAGTTCCTCATCCGGTCCCGGTGAAGGTTGTCGAAAAGGAATACGTCCCAAAGCCTTACCCGATTGTTCACCACGTTCCTGTTGTGAAACATGTGCAAGTGAAGGTTCCGCATCCGGTGCCTGTGCCCGTGGAAAAAAAGGTTCCGTACCCTGTTGAAGTCAAAGTGCCGGTAGACAGACCCGTACCGATTCGTGTGACGGTCGAGAAAAAAGTACCGTACCCAGTTCCAGTCAAAGTTTTAGTCCCGCAACCGTATCCGGTGGAAACTAAAGTGCCTTATCCGGTAGAAGTCAAAGTTAAGGAGCCTGTCGAAGTTATAAGGCACGTCCCTGTAAAAGTTCCAGTGCCGCAGCCGTATCCCGTAAAAGTGCCTGTAAGAGTAACCGTGGAAAAGAAGGTACCGTACCCAGTGGAGGTTGAAAAGAAGATACCGGTGCCAGTTGAAGTTTACATACCGCAAAAAGTAGAGGTCGAGAAGAAAATACCCGTTTACGTACCTAAACCTTACCCGGTGGAGAAGAAGGTACCGGTGCCGGTCAAAGTGCCTTATCCTGTAAAAGTTCCGGTTCAAGTGCCCATCGAAGTGCCGATTTACATTCACCATCCTTATCAAATCGAAAGTGCTGATTATATAAGTAATATGCAGCAATACGATCCGCAGAACGTCGGTCAATATTTTTCTAACATTGCCAGTCAATTTTTTTCTAATACTAACAAGGGGGAACAGCGGATCTTTGGCACAATTTCAGCCGAAGTATCAACAAATTCGCCTCAACACACGGTCACTGCTCACGGTAATTCAGGATTTGCAGGTTTTCACTCTCGATCCGGCACTGATACACTAACTACGACGGCAGCCACGACCATATAAAAGAGGTTTTGATATTTTCGAACATAAAATCACCAATTTAATCATTTAAATTTTAATAAGTTATTTTTGTTTATCATGTTAGCATCTGTGTAATATTAAGTAAATGAAAACTGTTTGTTGTCGATTGTGTTATTTCACTAAACCCAATAGGTACGTGCATATTCTCGTGCGACAAAATTAAGGCTAGGGTATTTGAAAGAACTGTTGTTAAAGTTCTGTGTGGTAACATTAAAGAAGGAAAAAAAATAGGTATCGGCCAGTATTATAAAGAAATCCTAATAATATAAGAGACTGATCTAGATTGTAAAAAACACAATTATAAAGTTAATATTCTAAGGTAAAAACAGAAAAGCGAGCTTTATATATTTGAGTCTCATTTCAATTGCCTGTTAGCCGGTAGGCCTTGTTGCCTTAGTTTGCCCATTCATCTAGACTAGTCTTCAAATTGAAATTTGCTTCGAGGCTTCTTCTTAGTCGAATACTTCATTGCTGAAGGTCGTGTCCTTGAAAGCCTTTCGTGGCTCTTTACTTCGAGGCAGCTCTGTCAATATTTTGAAACATCAATGTGCTGTTTTGCTGTGTACTCTTGAAAAAAGGAATGAAGCTCGATTTGGAAAAACGGTATCATTGGATCATCCTTACAAAGAAAAATAAATGTAGCATAGGAATATTCTTACAAAACGTAACACAGTAAACTAACGATTTCATAATTATCGTTAACGGACTAGGAAACGAGCGCGAAAGTGTAGTCACAGTTGACTTGCGCGCGAAATGATGAGAACGAAAGTTATTCGCACATATTACGTGAGTCAATGAAAATTCATAGGCATTCTTTGAATTAAAAAACGCCTGGCGTAGCTAAGGTTTAATTTTATTAAGTTTTATGTCTGTTTCTTTACCCATCCGACAAAGGCGACGGAGCGACGTCCTGTCATCGTTCTCGTCGAACCCATCGCTTGCGACGAAGGGTTCGACCACGGAATAGATTACTTATCTATTCCGTGGGTTCGACGAGTAAATTAACCCACAGACACAGCCCACTAAGTTTCTTGCCGGATCTTCTCAGTGGGTCGCGTTTCCGATCCGGTGGTAGATTCTGCGAAGCACGGCTCTTGCTAGGGTTCGTGTTAGCAACGTCGTCAGGTTTGAGCCCCGTGAGCTCACCTATTAGTTAAGGTTACGCTGAAATAGCCTCTCAAGGCTATCAGCTTAGGTAGGAAAAAAGGGGCGACGCAAAGCTGCCGTCGCTCGTAATGTGTTTTGTCGGATCAACGGATTCTCTCTCATTGCTTTTAGGCCCTTCTAGCATCGGTTAACGTCCTCGTCGAACTCGTCCACTACAACGACTGAACTAATCCTAAAGACAGAGCCCATTGAGTTTCTCGCCAAATCTTCTCAATGGGTCGCCTGCGAAGCACTGCTCTTGCTAGAGCTAGTGTTAGTAAATTCTCTCATTTTGAGCCCTTGAGCTCACTTACCCATCCGGACGTAACTGGAATAGCCCCCTAGGCTACTAGTGAATAAGTGGGGAAAAAAGACTATTTCTGCTATGAAGCAATTAAGCTTTTATAGAATAGGTTAATAATGTATGTATAGCCAGTATGAAAGACTGACTCAACGTGAGCAGTAACCTCTCTAGTGTTTATCAGTGTCCTCTGTTTAACACCTAAGATCAAAGAGTCCATGATTTACTTCACCGTTACGAAGTAAAACTATATCCAAAGCAAAAAATTGTTCAGTTTTATTATTAAGTACAGAACTTTAGATAATCATTGAACAGTCGGTTCATTCTTTTGTCATCTATTTTATATACATATGACAACGGTCAATTCGTTCCTTGTCGTCTCGTTTGTCCCGTCTTTTAGGAAGTCAAAAACGTACTGTACTCAAATATATTAAGTGTATAATCTATGGTACTGCCTGCCGGTCACGTATGCCCTCGTTCCATTTCTCTTTATTTTTGAATTCGTGTCAAGTGTTTGTCTTAGTCTGTGTCTACGTCTAGTCATTGTAGATCCTATTAAAGAGGTTTGTTCACGACGTTCAGGGCGAGAGAGGGGACGGGGGAAGGCAGCGGGAGGAGGATGCGCCCACGGCACTGAAGTAGGAAACCTATGGAAATGAAACGTCAACAAAAAATTCGTGCCACTGTGACGTCATCTGGCCACAAAACATGGCGGTTTTAGTGCTGCCCAGAAGATTTTAATGTTAGTAGATTTTATCGATAAACGTTCTTGGCTTATTTTATTTTAAATATTGTTGAGTATGAATGTATTTGTAGAATTTATACTTTAATAGGAATTAAGTATATTGTTATGTGCAAAGATGATGTGATTTAGATATTATGTGAAATCTAAGACGAGTTCGTGCTTCAAATTTTCCAAGTAAACGATACGACGATTTTTAAAAGTTGCTACACTGATTTTATAAAGTTGTCGTTTGTCGCAAAACATAAAGATATGGCGTAGTACAGTGCCATCTGCCCATTTCTAGCATGCTAAATGTTATCGTATTTTGAGTACGTGTTTTTCTTAGACTATTACAATCTATTTTAATTGTTTTGCTGACTCTAAAGTCCGTAACACACTACCTCAGCGCACCCCAAGGAAGGTGCGCCGCACCATTTGAATCACTTTCACTTGAGAGTGATTCAAATTTTAAACTTATCAAGGGACCGCGTGAAAAAAAAAACACCTACAGAACATTTATTCATTATTAAAAACGTCATTCCTTGTGACTTCCTCTCTAAAATCACTTAAGTATTAAATATTTAACGAATTTACAATAGTGTTTTACTCACTGCGAATAAAACTATTTTATTTAAATAGTTCCGAAGAGATTTTGTCGGTAACCTTTTTCCCGAAATATCTAAACAGAATGTCTAAATATGTTTTGATGACATATTTTAAAGAGGTATTTATGATTAGTGTCATGATCAATAGATTCCGACCGAAAAATGGTGTCCGATTTTTCGGATGAGGGCTCCTTAATGAATTTAAATATATATAGATAATAGTTTTGGGGCATCGACTTTCTTGAGATCCTATAAAATACGTTTTAATTATTATTTTTGTATGTTCTAAGCATGATAAATTATGAAATTTTATATAAGCAATCATATTTAATCGATATCAAAGTCAATAATTAATGTACAACCCAAAACAGACGGCCGAACTGACGTGACAATGACATTTGGCGCGCTAAACATGGCGGATTTTCGGCCGCATTAGACGGAGACGGAGATATTTACGTATATTCATGTTTCATTTTATGTACGCACTGAAATACTGTTATATTGTTTTCCTGCGAGTTAAAGTGCTGAGTAAGAACGAGATAGATATATGTTTATGTGTGTGCCTTCAAAATGGGTGCTATTTATATAAGCAATTGTACGTATAGAACAATATGTCGTGTCCCTACTATATAGGTCTATGGCCCGCGGCCTAGGATTCGTGTTGATCGACCAGCAGGGTGACACGCGTCAACATTTGTTAAATAATGTATTTACAGGTATTTAAATAAAACTATCAGAATTCTCTCATGCGTGGTTTCTTCTTCACCATCGTCATGAACACAAAAATCATTTTAAAACACGATAGATCTAAATTTTAGAAAAAAAAGACAACTATTTAATAAAAATTTAAACATAACTTAATCTAACATTGAACATTCAACAAATCATTTGACTTTAATGAACTGCCACTCTAGTTCGTAAACACCAACCGATGCCTGGTTCTTCTCATCGTAGTCCACCCACTCTTTCTCAGTTAAGTCCACATCCTCAAATTTCTTCCCTGAAAATTATTAAAATAACTAAAGAATTATATACCTCATTTTCCACATTCAGTAACACCACCTGATACCAGAGACTAATAGGATTGCATTGTACATAAACATAAGACATAAATTTTTGCTTTCCACTCAATCTACCCTCATTACAGCTTTGATAGATTATACAAACCATTATTCTCAGCTTCGGCAATCCATCCTGATTTTGGTTCAAAGTCGACAGGTTCTACACCTCTACAGTCAAACGTCACTATGGTCTTAAATTTGTTTCCATCGTCACTTGTGAATTTCCCTAAAAAAACAACATTTGTTGCCCTGAGTTTGGTAAATAAAACTTTATTTCCTTTTTCTTAACGGATGTTCATCTGAATGGTTCTATAGAAGCAAAAGTGTATTACTGCAGTGCATGTACAGCACGTGCCCACTCAACTTTAATTCCACACAATAAACTCCAAAATTGTCAGTCACATGAGGCACCTAGCCATATTAATATAGCAGCTGGAATCTTGCTCTTTATGTGCCTGCCACCCACATTTTTAATAAGAATTTAACAATAGTCCATTTAATATCAGTTGATAGAGATTGTTTTGGTCAAATAAATGAAAGTTTAGATTTTTACAAAACTTTAACGAATAAGAAAACATACTTCCACAAAATAAAAATTGAATATCATCAATAGAGTTGAAGGCAATTATTTCTGCATTATTAAGGATAACACAAAAATTACATAGTCAGGTCATGGTATAATTTAAATCGGACCATATGAGAAACACCACCTTTCAAATGAAAAAGTATTACTTTTGAGGTCTATTAACAATAATAGATGTATATGAGAACTATCAACTAAGAATTAATTTCAAAAACATTAGGTAGTCCAAATATAGAGCTAATAAAAGCATTAATGTATAAACTATTGTAGCTTTCGTTTGAATTACTATTATTAAATAATATTATTAAAATCTATTAAAGGTTATGTTTCCTTACCATTGCTGCCCTCAATTACATCGATGCTGTTTTCCCTCGAGCAAAGCTTACATTTTATTAGCAAATTAGTTTCAGACCGGTTGTGCTTCTGCGGAACTTTATCGGCTTCAGTGAGATCATGAAACTTCTCGGACACTTCACCGCAACTGCCGCATTTTAATTTTAAGAACCATTGATAGTGTGGATGGTTCGTATATAATTTTTCTATAGATTCTAGTGTGGCTTTAATTTGAAGTGCGATTTTCACCATTGTTATTGTTCCAGTCCTTTTCTTGATGGGCTTTTCAATCAAAATAGGGATATATTTTTTAAAGGATTTTGTGACCTGGTAACTAAGACTTTTAAGTCATGTCTTATTTTAATTTATATTCATATTTTTATGAAAAATGATATTATGGAGTGAAATGAAATGAAGATGATTAATTTGAGACATTAATCAACTGGGATGAAATTAAATGAAATGAAATGCGATGAAATATAATCTCAGTAAAATGGTGGTCATTTACTAAGATTTTTCAGTGGACATTTTGGAGGATCCCGAGAAGTTACGTCCAGCGACTTTGTTTCATTTTCCCACATTTGCACTTTCACAGATATTAAACAGTTAATAAACCACCATTATTACACATTCAAACCCGAAGAAACACTAAATAGACCAAATAAAACAAATCACACAACTTCACTCCTCGCGTTCCCGCCAAAATGTCTCAAAATAGGGATCAAATCTGAGATACATAGATTAAATCAAGAATCGAAATTAAAAAAAAATCGATTTTTTCTAACCATGTCCATCTCAGAGACTACAGATTCGCAGTTCCTTTCATTCTATCTCAAAGAGATAAAAGAGCCTTACTACGATCTTTACTGCAAAGCACAAGAATAGAAAAAACATGAATTATTCATTACATCTTAAGCCAAAGAGTAAAAGGGAAAATGTATGCTGAGAATTAACAGTAAAAAAAATACAGGTTTTTTAAATATGTGGCATTAAAAAGTCCATTGAAGGCTGCGAAATTTTCTTTAATTTACTGAGTTAATACAGATCTAAATGGTCTCAATCTATTTCAGTGTTTTCCTTACGTTTTAACTTCCGTATAACGCTAACGGCATCGGTCCTTTATTATAAGGCTTAGTATATATGGGCTACGTTCAGTTCGTGACGACCGGAGCACTATATCGAACATTTTAAAGTGACGTGTTTCACAACAGTAGGTGCATCACGTTAGACATAGTTTACACTTAATATTTAAGACCACGTTCCGACCCGACATGGACAAGCTGTTTCTGGTACAGCAAGGTATTCCGGAACAGCAATGGTATCACCCGGGACGCCGACCGTGAAGGCTGACACAGCCACTCATTGAAGACTTCGTTCGCCAAGCGTTCTTAGGCGAGTTGCGAATCTTGTTGCAGTGTTGACCGCGGTATCCCTACGTCTCCGGGTTGTCTCCAGCGGGAATCGGATATTTAGGCGAAAGTGCAGAGATGTCGTTAGCGGGTGGCTATTCCACATACCTAGCTCGCCCCCTCGGTGCGGGGACCTTGTGTAAAGAATAAGCCCCAGCTCCAAAAACATTTTTTTATTTTATTTTTTCTTAAATGGGTGGTCGAGCTCACAGCCCACCTGGTATTAAGTTATTGGAGCCCATAGACATCTACAACGTAAATACGCCACCCACCTTGAAATATAAGTTCTAAGGCCTCAAGTATAGTTACAGTTAGCATGTCGTGCTTATATTTAAGTACATTTAAATGTTATGACGACCCTTCGAGTTGGAGAGGGGTGTATTTGTGTCTAGCCGTTGAGTTTTGTACGCTGATGCTGATTTTAATGACATATATGTACGTAGCGCAACATTTGTCCATCATAAAAGACGCATTATTATAAGCACTGAAAGTTTAACTCGGTTAACCTCTATCAATCAATCGATCAAGAAAATATAAAAACATAATTTCCCTTTTCCCTAATATAAAGCCGATAAAATTACTCAGCTCTTCAGAAAATACGCTACTTACTTTAAGATTCGCAACATAACTTAAAAAACCTGAATTTTATAAGCTGTACAAACAACATATTGAAATTTTGTTTGCTGCTATTCACGAATCCAACATTTGTTCATAATAAATTATAGTTTCATACTGGCTGATTTTATGGTGGAGTAGTTAGCCCCTGATTGTTGCGTCGAGGGTCGTCGGTTCGATTCCCACATCAGACAAACATTCTTATGATGAATAAGTTTTTTTCTCTGTATGGTTATTATCTATTTATGCAAACGTATCACTCTTTCTGTACAGGGAATCCTATCCTTTGGGGCCGGATGATCGCGCCTGACTTAGTCCCGGTTATTAATATCAATTCATTTAAACCTAATTATTCAATACGACGTTTCAAAAATGCTAGGCGCCATCTGTTAGTTATATTTGCGTCACCTGTGTGCTTAGTGCGAATTTTTAAACGTAAAAGCGTAAAAACGATAGCGTAAAAGTTAGCTCATATTTGTATGGAATGGGATTATTTGCGTACGTTTGCCGCTAGGGGCGCTGTTCCAACTGCATAAAAAATTGGGTTAACTTTTGCGCTATCGAGAACGTTCAGAAACTCGCATTAAGCACACCGGCTGCAATTTTTAACCAATATCACGATCGTTAGTTTTGTCCGTGTATACAGTTCGCTTAGGTCAGTACAAATATTAGGTTATGTAGACCATAGCAAGCCACTGAATTTCTCCCCGGATCTTCTCAGTGGGTCGCGAATCCAATCCGGTGGTAGATTCAGTGAAGTACTGCTCTTGCTAGGGCTAGTGTTAGCAAACTCTTTCAGGCTAAACTTGTCAACCAACCATGGGGAAGTCAGATAGACCCCTCGAGGCTACGAGGTAGGCAATACATATCTTATATACACTTATAATATAGTTAAAATCAATAGAATAAGTTATGTTTATAACATAAAATTATGATTTATTTCCAATAGATACATATCACAACACAAGAGAATCTTGTTTAGCTTTTATGTAAACACACAAAATCACGATACATTGTGACTTTAAGTAATGATTGGCCCGATTTACACTCGTGGCAAAGGCATTATCTTCAAAGAATTGTTTTGTGAGTCGGTGGAAAGCGTCAAACCCATTTCTTGGAGTACTTCATTGTCAACTGGACCTTGGAGTGTAGTCTTTGCGATAACTTCCTGTAAGAGTATTAAATAAGAACAAAATGTAGCGTTATCAGGTAATAAACCCGAAAGTGCTGTTTTGAGACACTGGGTTCATATACATACCCATGTACCTTGTGCCTCAAGGCAACGCAGATTTATATATTTCATATAATTTTGCTAATTTTAATTTTACTAACATAGTTATAAGTATTACTCTACTAACAACATATGGACTTATAATGGTCTCAATTAAATGATTTGCATTTTTTTTATTAGTGTTTTTTTTTAATAAATCACTCCAACACCTTTGGCATTGATTCTGCCAATGTCACAGTATAAACAAAAATGATCGGTAATTAGAGATTTTTTTTTATCTAAATACGGATAAATTTGACCAATTTTTCTATTAGTAATAGTCTAAGCATTTCTATCTCATCGCAGTATCCTCTACTTAATTGCGTTCTCCTTCCTAATTTATTTATTTGCAACTTTTTTTAAAAAAAATTAACGGTTTATTATGGTCTGGTAACGAGACCTTTAGGCCTTTAGGACCTTCAGCCTGTTCTAATATTTTCTTCTTACATTCTGTTGTCATAAGAAAAATAGTATGAAGCGAAATGAGATGAAGTTGATTGACTAGAGACTTTAATCAATTGGGATGAAATTAAATGAAACGAGATGAGATGAGGTGGGATGAAATAATGTTTCTAAAAGTAAAATGGTGGTTATGTACTGAGATTTTTTCTGTTCTCGGCGTAGTCATTTTATTTAATTCTATGCAATTTATAGCCACATTAATATCCTTATTACACATAATAAGGATCATCATCATCATCATCAGCCTGCGGCAGTCCACTGCTGGACATAGGCCTCCCCCAAAGCTCGCCACTGAACCCGATCTTCGGTTCCACGCATCCAGTTACTGCCAGCTGCCTTGCGCAGGTATTCGCTCCATCTAGCAGGAGGGCGTCCTACACTACGTTTGCCGGTTCGCGGTCTCCACTCCAGAACACGTCTACCCCAACGGTTATCGGTTCTGCGACATATGTGACTGCCACTTCAGCTTACTAACTCTGCGAGCTATATCGATCACTTTGGTTTTTGCCCGAATGACCTCATTGCGTATTCGGTCTCGCAATGACAAACCGAGCATAGCTCGCTCCATAATAAGGATATTTGTGTTTATCTATACATGTGGATATGACATTCAAACGTATATATTAATATATATCAGTCTCTAGTGTCCATAGCACAAGGAATTGATTACAATCGCATTACCGTCCTCCTCAAACCTCCTGGCATTACCGTCCAGTAGGATATGATGGAAGACGGTAATGCGAGGAGGTCTAGTAGCGTCCTAAATAGTCTTGGATGGACTTTATGTAAGAGGATGTGGGAAGAGTGTGGGTGCAGAGATGACGTATGAGGACCTGAATGGAAACAAATCCCAAATTGTGGGACAAAGGCAAGAAGGTTTGGTACAATAGCGATGGACTTACCTGATTTTCCGGACAGTTTTCACACAACGTGCGGATGGCGAATATGACCCATTGCATTATAACTGTTTTCTTTAATAAGGATATTACTATCAAGATTAACCATTCAACTATTGTCTCCAGAACGATTTACATGAACTAGTTGATGATACTGTTCACATAATTTTTGCCTAGACCGGTTGACGAGTTCGCTGACCATCTGGGGTTATGTGACGTTTCCCATTACTGGTGGTAGGACCTCTTGAGTCCGCGCGGATAGGTACCACCACCCTGCCTATTTCGGCCGTGAAGCAGTAATGCATTTCGGTTTGAAGGGTGGGGTAGCCGTTGTAACTATACTTGAGACCTTAGAACTTATATCTCAAGATGGGTTGCGCATTTACGTTGTAGATGTCTATAGACTCCAGTAACCACTTCACACCAGGTGGGCTGTGAGCTCGACCACGCATCTAAGCAATTAAAAAAAAATTAAGACTTCAATGTGCTTAGTGCGAGATTTTTAACGTTCTCGATAGCGTAAAAGTTAACTCAAATTTGTATGGAGTCGGAACGTTTGCCTACGTTTGCCGCTAGGGGCGCTGTCCCAACTCTCAACGCAGGACCATTGTTTCAATTGTATAGTAAAAAGAAGTTTCTATTTGAGGGGTTTCGTTTTTTTTTTTTACTTGAGCTACTTCTTATGCCAAACACGTCCTAACACAAGCAATGAAAAAAAGGATCCAAAAGTTATGTTTAAAACGAAATTTACATTAGTTTGTTTTTCTTTAAGATTTGTTTTAACGCGTACGTAAAGGATACGAGGATTGCGAGCGTCGATATTGCAACAGTCCAATAGCACGGGAATAACGTCCAAGTCTCGCATCTGCAAAATCAAACTAGATTAAAATTTTTGAAATACGAAAGCTAATTTAACCGTTTGAGTTCGAAGCGGTGTGACAGAGCTTTTTTTTTAAAATTTTATGTCCAGAAATACCAAGCGGCACGATCGTATCCTATTAATAATATAAACGCGAAACTTTGTAAGAATGTATGGTTGTTAGTCTTTCACGCAAAAACTATTGAATGGATTTTTATTTTTATGTAACTTTACAATAATATAGCTTACGCATCAGAATAACGTATAGGCATATAACATTTATAAAGGTTAAGTTAGAATTACCTAAAATATAATGATATGTGTCAAGTAAGTAGGTAAAAAAATCATCTTATTTTCATAATCAGCAATGAATTACAGTTCCCGAAGCGAAGCGAGAGCGGGTCGCTAGTATATGTATCATATACCTTTAAACGAGAAATTCTTGTTTAATCTGAATCTCGGAAACGGCTCCAACGATTTTTATAAAGTTTAGTATACAGGGGATTTCGGGGGCGATAAATCGATCTAGCTACGATTTATTTTCAGAAAATGTTGTTTTATTCGTGTTTTCAATAATAAACTTTATCGATAATCAACTTTAGGACTCTTCCCGATATCTATTGGCGAATAATAATACTATTTTTAATAATTGAGAGCCATTAACTGCTTTAAAGACACAATAACACTAAAGCTATTTCAGCAGATGGCGTTGTTAAGCCACCCGACGCCAATGAGCGTTTGGTTTAAGGTTAGACCAAGAAAATGAATTGTTTATTTATATTATTTGTGTCTTTTAAACTCATGTGTTCACTTAAAAATGCCTAAACGGTCTTGGAATATTTCCTCATTTTATCAATATGTAATTCGTCTAGTATAGGAAATGCGCGATTGCGCTGTCTGGAATTCTTCGACAACGTTTTTTCAATACCATCTAGGATACAAACGTGTCAAGTTAATTTTCAGATTAGCTAATAAATGAACGCTCGCCTGTTTTTTGTTCTCCTGGTTCTTCCAGCACAAATTCGCCAAAGTCCTGACCAGGCGCGCCTTGAAGCCAAACGCGACGTGTCTCTCGACCGTCTCCACGCAAGTTACCGTCTTCTTCGGTGTGGTCATGTCGACTGCGCCAAGCCTGTGAATACATTTGATTCAATATTAGAAGTAAGCAGCTAAGTTTCCTTTGCATCACCTATTTTTGGGTATCACGTAGATCGATCTCTGCACGATAGCCGTAGGAGCACCATGGTACGTGAGGAATGTAGATCTAAACGATCATCTAAATTTAGTACCGATAAGTATCTTAAGGAAGCGTCGGAACGCTACTTTAAAAAATCAGCGCGGCACGATAACCCTCTTGTCGTGGCCGCCGCTTTTATTGCTTAGATGGGTGGACGAGCTCACAGCCCACCTGGTGTTAAGTGGTTACTGGAGGCCATAGACATCTACAACGTAAATGCGCCACCCACCTTGAGATGTAAGTTGTTAAGTTGTTAAGCTTACCTTGTCTTTTGTGTTTCAGGCGAATCAATTTTCACGGAAGGTACTTTAGTCGCAACATTCTCTTCAGAAATCTTCACTTCTTTAACTGGCTCGCTCTTTTTCTCCGCATTTGATTCACCTCTAGTTTTCTCTGATGAAATACCTAATATTTTCTGTAACTGCTCACTGAGATCGAAATCTGTAGATAGATTCTGACTTTTCTTTATCTCTTTCGGAGTATCGGGTGACTGTTTTTGGGAGTCAGGATCTTGAGCCACATCAGCTAGAGGCGGTGAGATTTCGCTCGGGGAAGCCTTAACTTCGCATTGCACTTCATCCTTTGGCATATGAATCTCTGTTGGTGGGTCATTCGGTGAACTATCTTGGGAATCAGTTGTACTGCTCGGTTGTATGTCTAGTCTGGGTTGTAGGGCCACTGGTATGACCTCAGCTATAGTGTTCATGCTACCGTCTGGAGAAGTAGAATCTATGATCAACGGTGGCTCTGTATCATCACCCATATCGATTTTATGTTCGAGACTGATACGTCTGGTTGGTAATGACATTTTATCATCATTTTTAGGTACAGAGCTACTTCTTTTGTATGCAATTCTAGACATATCTGATTCAATCTTGACTGAGTTGCTTCTAGTGCTCTTGATTTCCGGAGCAGATTCAACATATCTCAGTGGTTGTTCCGGAGATATTTCTATCCTGTCAGGGAAAGGAGGTATTTCACTGCATTCAAAGTACTGCTCACTACTCTCAGATTCCGTGCATTCTGAAGTTGTTTCATTGCAAGATAGCATGTTTTCGGCTGAATCATTTTTCGTTAATGGATCTGTAACATTTATTTATTTGAGTCAAATGTACAGTGAGCTCACGGTCGATTGTGATGTTAAGTGGTTTCCGTGTTAATAGACATTACATACCTTTGTGGTAATAGAAGCAGTAAAAGTACCTTCTGTGTTCCCTAAATGTCATTGTTAATTATTTATTACTATGGTTATTGCACATTTCCGTTACGAATTACAAGTTGGTTTTACTGATAAGCCTTATTACTACTAATTAAACTAATTATAAGCTTTATTTGAAAATAGTTTAATATGTTTCTGGCATTTTAGTTTAGAATAGCATCAGTCCATCTCTTACCAAATTCAAATTCAAAATTCAAAATTTATCTATTATTTATAATTTTATATTTATTATAAAACTCAATTGATATTTCGATAATGTTTCAAGGACGGTGATAGCATTTACACTTTTTTTGTTTACTATAAAATAAAATAGAAAATTAATAATTATCTGTTTTTAATAACTTACTCTCTGTTTGAATGCTGGTGTTATCAATCATGTTTTCATCATTAATTAGATGCTTTCCTGTTGTTTCGTATAGTTTATTTAAAGATGAAAAGAAATTTTCACTCTCTTTGCCAAGTTTGTGTATTGCTCGAAGAAGGACTGGTGAATAAAAAATAGAACCAAGTTAGGGTAACAAATCAATGTTTGATGATCTTATGTGACCAATATTTTTTGGTTTTAGGAATTAGTACAAGTTTTTTTTTATTGCCCTTGTAGGCAGACGAGCATACGGCCCACCTGATGGTGAGTGGTTACCGTCGCCCATGGACTTCAGCAATGCCAGGGGCAGAGCCAACCCTAGTCCTATATCTCAACAATGCCCTGTACCTTTAGTGAAAATATGCTTGAGCAAAATGGCAAACATATTCTAGAATAAACCAATTTTATTTTTGTAAACAATTATTGTAAGAATATCATTAATGAACTCCAAGAGTTTACATCTTAAGATATCGTGAAATGATTTTTTTATTCAGAATTATTGTCAAAAAATAAGTAAATTAGTAAGTACTTACATGCACAATTAATAAATAAAGAAGTATCGCTCTGCAAACAGTCCATGTAGGCATCCATACTGGATGCCGTTGCAATAATTTCAAGCAAAAAAACGACCTCTTGTGGTTCTATTGTATTAACATATTTATCAACGGTCTTCAATATACAATCAGACTTGCTTTTGAACTCGTGAGCCATAAACTTTACGAAATTAACAGATACATTAATATCTTGAGAATCTGTGGCCATTAAAATATTGTAGGCTAGATTCAGAACTAGCATTCGACACTCGGGTTCTAGTTTTGAATATAACTTTTCTATATATGTGTTTTCAACACCAATCAGGTATTCTATAATCAAATGCGGATATTCTGCATTGCCATTATTATACATGTATGCTAAGGAATTCAATAAAAAAACATCATCAGGCAAAAGGTTTGGTTGACCTAATAGTATGTTGTACACTATCATGGCTGCTGCTGTTGCTATTTTATCATTTGGCCCCACCAAACAGTTCAGTATCACAGCATCAAATTTGTTCCATATCATTATTTGGTTGAATGGATTATTGACAACAAGGTTGCCTAGTGTCTGTACAAGAACAGTCATGCATTTTTGTAGTTCTTCATTTAAAAAATCAACACGTGGATGTTGGTACTCTGTGGCTAATACCAGCATTGAATCCAATATTGACAGTTCTTTAGATATGTAAGTTTGCATTTTAGTTCCAGCTGCGGCACACGACCGCACAAGACGTAAGCACTGTTCAGCTACCGCTATTGTGCTACGATTGTGAGTAGCTTGCTCCACATCCAAATGCATAATATGTAGAACTTCAGCGATGAGTCTTAAAGTGTATTCTGAGGCTTTTTTACTGTAAAAAACGAAACTAAATATAAAACTCGTCACTGTTTGTCTAATACTGTAGTATTCACGTGGTCTTAAAAGGATCTTTAGTTGACTGTAATATTGACTTCATATTTAAAGACAGTCCTCAGCGGCAAGTAGCTCCTTGGTTGTTCTCCTGGCATTATTGATGCATGAGCTATGGCACCCAGTTACCATCAGATCGACAATTTGCTAGCTTGCTTTGTAGAACGATTTATTTAAATGAATTAAGATGTGACTATGCACCTATTGTTTCATTTATTTAATTACTATATGTAACTTACGGTCTTAGCCTTCCAGTCTCTACGTCCCGTGAAAGTTGGGCTTCCGCTCGGAGCATCTCCTCAACGGCATCCCATTCACCTGACTCCAATTGAAAGTTTATCAATTTAGCATCTAATAATATTTCTTCGGCAAACCACACGCTTTTATCTCGCGACATTTTATTTATTAATGTTTTAATGTTATTTTCTAATTCACAAAGATCAGCAAAACTTACGAAAAAGTACTTTTAAGAAGTGCTATTTGCCTAAGTGCCCTCAGATTAAGTTTAGTACCAGGTAGGTACTTGTTTTGGTTTCAGTTCCACGAATGTAAATAGGTTCGTTCCGAAACAAATATAGGAAGCACTTGTTATTTTAAGAGAAACACTAACATAGGTATTAAATATTTACACGAAACACGAGAAATACAATTTGGTTTTCAACTTAGCGTGAAACTTTTGACCGATACAGTCTTCTATTTCTTTCTACTATTTATGTACAGAAGTCGTACTTCTTCAATTTGATACCGCAATTATGGTGAAATTGACTTGCAGTGCAGAAAGTAGGTACGGTAGGTACCCTAGCTCATAGATTAAACAATATTATACACTTATTATATTTGCCCTAGCTACTAACGTGCTACTAACTAGTACTAGTATGGATTATGACAGCTGACATTCAACTACAGCTGTTTTCTAGTTGACATTTGCAACCTTTTTTTTTGAAGCTTTATTGGTCCTGTAATGAGACTTTTATGCCAAATATTACATTTGTCTATTTTCTGGTTTTTTGCTATTTTGCTATTTAAATATCGAAAATGATAAAAGCAAAATAAAACTTCGTTCCTCTGTCTGTATCACATAGGGTATTTCATTTCATCAAACGTTTCAAAACTTGAAAGTATAAACAAACGTGGAAATTTTGAAATGATAGTGGTTCAAGTTATGAAGCCGCAGAAATGAGCTTAATCGATCTTCAGTAAAAATATATCCCTTTATATTTTACTGCGGATGAGTAGAAGTCAGTAATTGATAAGAAACTATTACTACTGTATCATATTTTACCAAAAATACCGGAAAGCTTGGGTATCTTATATAAATTTACTGCTTAAGGGGAATAGTGGGCAATGCATGATACATAAAGCTTAAAAATATTTAGTGTCACTGTTGGAGTTTGAACATAAATGTAATGGTAGGCAACACATGATTACAGATTTCGAATATCAGAACTATTTTAAATGTTTAAAAAACAGATGATTGTCTTCTCGTAAGAAAAAGTCAGGACTTCTCATCTAGACACGGTCAAGGAAACATGTAAGAGTTTTATAAAAAATATAAAGATAATAATTTTATAATGGTGTAACAGTGTTCAAACTATCTGCAATATAATTATAATGAAGCAGTGTGTTTTTAAATAGCCCCTCATCACCTACAGAACCCAATCCTCTCAAATGTAACCGTCCAACAGTCACTCCCTAGAAAAATTTTAAGGATTAAAGGTAGCGACATTAAAGATAGTATTAAGTTTGAAAGGTTGAATGAATAGTTGTTGTTGAATTGAGAGGGATTATGTAGAAGTAACGGAATGTAAGTGGTTGTGAGGTTTTTTAGGTATGTATGGAAAGAATTAATTTATGAAGGTCAGGTTAGCGTTATTCTTTTTTGGTATTAAATTATAGACGGAGAAAAAAGTGTGCAAGTGTTGAGGGGGTGTGTTGGAGTTTGTATATTAAATGTAATGGCAGGCAACACTTGACACTTGATTAGATTTCGAATATTGGAATTATTTTAAATGTTTTAAAAAACAGATCATTGTATTCTCGTAAGAAAATGTCAATTACTTCTCATCTAGACACGGCAAGACAAACATGTAATAGTTATATAAAAAATATAAAGATAATAATTGTATAATGGTGTCAAAGTGTTCAAGCAATCTGCAATATAATTATAATGAAGCAGTTGTGTTGTTAAATAGCCCCTCATCACCTACAGAACCCAATCCCCTCAAATATAACCGTCCAACACAGTATTTACGTACATTAATAAAATACCTATTTTTAACTTGTATCTATTGTTATCAAAATTAAATTATAAGTTCTTGACTTGACCATGACTATGTGACCCCCTCCTGGCACCAAAGTTGGATCCGCCCTTGTCGCCATGTATGTACAGGGTGACCAGGTCTTCTCCTGCCAAGCGGTTGCCACTCAATCGCAATTGATGCTGCGTTGACTCCACTGCGCCGTAGAGTTTGTCCTATCCAACGCCATTTCCGATAGGCAATGCCTTGTGCGATGGGGGTTGAATGATGAATAAAAAAATAAAATTATTGACCGATGTTGATGAAAGGCATAAGATATCGTAAGTAGCACCTCTCGCTTTTTACCATAACATGATTTGTTTTTTAAATATATACTCAATTTTTTTCTTGAACTCATAGGAAATTATTATCAAAATTTTTGTCCAGTTAGTTTTACGATAGGCAATGCCTTGTGCGATGGGGGTTGAATGAAGAATAAAAAAAATAAAATTATTGACCGATGCTGATGAAAGGCATAAGATATAAGTAGCACCCCTCGCTTTTTACGATAACATGATTTGTTTTTTAAATATATACTAATTTTTTTTCTTGAACTCATACGAAATTATTATCTAAATTTTTGTTCAGTTAGCTACAAAAGCGTGTCTTTTGGTAACTGTTATCTAATTTAGCTTTTCTTAGCCTTTAACTATCACAATTTTACAAGGAAGGATCGGTTTCATAATGCACCTAAAATATTATTAAATTATTGTATTGTTATTGGACATTGAGCAGTGTACAGAGTTTTCAGTTCCATTTGACGCTTTAAACTGGGTGAAAATCACGTTACATACTAAGCCAATAAAAACGAGTTAACTAACAAAATAAAACAGTCCTTCATTCCTCAAGCTTCTCCCGTAAAATCCAAATAGTACATATTTACTACGCAGACGGATTTCCAATAAATTGATCAACTCCTAAAAACACCGGTAGTCAAGTCTCGTTTAAAAATGAATGTGAAGGTAGTGAAGTTGCTTCAGCTTACACCCGCCCCACCGTCGCCCGTTTCCCCCATCTCACCGTCGTCGGTCGAATGATTAAACGGCGAGAATGGCATTTGTGCGTGAAAATAAATGAGTTTTTGTGTTAACAAGTGCATATTTCTTACGACAACGAATTCTCTCTGTGACCTTTAGTTCAGTAGCTCAATTGTAAAACACAAAGTGCATCATTATGTGCTGCTTCCGTGCGTTTTTGTGCAGGAAATTTTTGAAGTGACCTGTTCAGGGTGGTATCCCGTGGTTTAGGTTTCGCTGCGTCGTGCAATAATGGACAGTCTTCCCGCTAACATCGTTGGAATTTAAAATATTTGGTGAGTCATCAGCATTTAGATCGTTTTTAGCTGAACATAAGACTAAACAGCTCAATAGTGCATTTTCTAAAAATATAGTCCTAATCTTCTAATACATTTCGATGTTGCGTTTGAAACGCTATTTTTACCGAATTGTTTCTTTATTTCCGTCGCTTCCGCATTCTCTGTCTTTGAAAGATCGTAAACATTTAATTTAAGTTAAAAGTATCTATTTTGAACATAACTGAAACGTAATCCGCATACCCAGAAAGTTAGAATAGCTTAAATAATTTAAACACATTATTTTAAAAACATTATTTAAACCCATTATATTAAAAGTATTTGGATTTTCCAAATTCGATATCTTTAAAAGTGTTTTGAGATATGAGATATAACCTATCACCGATATCTAAATGTCCTTGCACACTTTCACTCCAGTCTTGCACAATAATTATCAATAAACTTACAAAAAAAAACGAATAAATAAAAAATAAAAACTGAATAAGAAGACGAGGGCATTGTCATGTGTAGTCAATGGAAATGCTTTTTAAAATATTCAATTTGAATAAAACATTTAATATTATTATTTAAACTTTATAAAACTATAAATTACCATGCTTTCTATTACAAGTCAATATAATATCAATACATATACAATATCAATATATACTGAGAAATGCTTAATATTTTTTTAAAATAGAAAACAAAAAATATTTAATCAATTAAAAAAAACAAAAAAACTTAATATTGTTTTTTTGAATGTTGATATAATTATTTTTCTCTTTACTGGCTATAAGTTACATTATTATTATACACATATCTGAAATGGCCTTTTAGGATACCAGGGAATAGGTAGGGATTTTTTTTTTCATACACTGGATACGCAGTAGCTTATATACAATGAAGTTGAATAAGGTACCTAATTGTCCCATCTCATTATGCATTGTAACTGTTGCTTATAGATGTCAACAATACCAGGAGCAGTGATAGACTAGACCTAAATGCCTTATAATTAATTAAAATGAAATATTAAAAGTTATTCAGATTTTAAAAAATCTATCTTTCTATATTTTCTATCATCAATCTGTCGATTTGTCTCTCATGTGGCCCAGTAATTGTTGTTGGCTGGTAGTGATTGCACCAGTCTGCTTGTCACCATGAGACCTTACATGTGCATAAAATTTATTGTTTGACATTTTATTCACATTCATATCTGAAAGCACTGTAAAATTTATTGACTGAGATTTTTTGGAAAGTTTTTATCAAGAAGAAAAAAGTGAAGAACTAAACACATGGTTCAAAAGTTATGTTGGTAGTTTTGGAAAGGTTTGTGGCTTTCAATACATATAAAATATTTTAATAGCGGGTCCTTATGTCACAGCATAGATCGTGTCTATTTTGGACTTGAATTGAACAGAGCAAGGGTGTTTTTTTTCCTTGTGCACAAACATCCCCCTTATTTCTGTGTCAAATCAGTCATTATTCAGTCATTATGATATTTCAAATAAGAGGAACACTGAGGACTAACCAGCTAATAGTGCAAACTCTTACAAAAAAATTACCTAGCAAATTAACTTTTCTTCTTCTCAATCGTTTCCCTCTTGACATAGTGGTGGTGATAATCATGTAGTGTTGGAAGGAGCAGACTTACATCATAGTGTTCCACCATCTCTCTCTACTCAATTCTATGCTACTGTACTTGTTTAGGGGACCTCCCACTGTAGTTTTAATTTTAGCAGTCCCTCAAGTAATTATTAGAAAATAGAATTAATATAATAATTAATCAAATTAATGGAAAATTAACTAATTTTATATATTTTCAGGTTTAAAAACGGAATGGATGAAGGTCTGTTGAACGATCTGCTCGAGTGCTCCGTTTGTCTGGAGCGGCTCGATACATCTTCAAGAGTTCTGCCCTGCCAACACACTTTCTGTCTTAAATGTTTAAAGGTAAGCATTAAAACTAGACATATTGTATTTTGGAGAGGCTACCAACAATGTAATTCAAATCTATAAATTTGTCTTTGCTGGAGTACATCATCTCTTACCACCTGGGTTCAGAAATTAGGAAGTTTTGTAGGAAGACAGTGTAGATATGGTATGGATCAAAGTCAGTAGCAGTAACAGGCATAGGCATGGCTTCGACACCGGTATTTTTCGATTCATTGTATAATAGACGCTCCCCATGATTTCAATCTCTTGATGTTTGTAATTCAAAAACATTAAAACGGATGCATTTACTCGAAATAAAGAACTGTTTAGATCACTGCCTGATCCATCATAATGTCAAACTATTTTTGTGCTAAATTTCTTGTTGTGTGATTATTTAAAAACACATACAAATTTTCAAATTTATTATGTTAGTGTATAATAATATTATTATCATCATTGAGATCCTCTCAGACCTCAATGAATCTGTTACGTCGTATTTTTATGTAAATACTCTTCGGTTTTAGTCGTATGTATGCCTTCAGTTATTTTAAAGTTATTCATCAACATAAGTTCACTTACACAACACAGTTCCTAGTAAATCGACGTGTGTACAATGCATTACTGGCGATATCCGGCGATCATTGCAATCGATAATGTAACAAGACGTTTTTGCATACTTTTGTGTGTCCCTATTCAGTCTTGATTTGGTTTTTATTTATTTAGTTTGAATAATCTTATATAGAATATTCCTATGTTCAACTGGTAATAATGGGAGTGCTAGACCTAGGTCTAAATAGTCTTGTATTGTAAGCAATAGAAGACTGAGGGGAAGGAGTTCTGTAACCACACAAGCTAGTAAAATCCTGCCGTCCATATCTATTCGAATTGAAACTTCGATGTCACTAGATGAGTGGCGTCTACTTTAAATGTCTATGGTGGGGTCGTTTAGGTTGTGAGTTCTTGACGTCAAAATATGTGTCATGTGTTTACTGGTGGTAGGACCTCTTGTGAGTCCGCACGGGTAGGTACCACCGCTCCGCCTATTTCTGCCGTGAAGCAGTAATGCGTTTCGGTTTGAAGGGTGGGGCAGCCGTTGTAACTATACTGAGACCTTAGAACTTATATCTCAAGGTGGGTGGCGCATTTACGTTGTAGATGTCTATGGGCTCCAGTAACCACTTAATATCAGGTGGGCTGTGAGCTCGTCCACCCATCTAAGCAATAAAAAAAAAATTAAAAATAAAACAACGTAAAATTTGTTTCTCATAAGATGTCATTGTGTATTGTGTGCTCATACGAGTGTTGATATTGTAACAGACTGTAACAACGGAGTCATCTGCCGTGTGTCTGTCCAGTCGATACTCACGAATTAGGAGGTCCTTACACAAACAAACACTACCGTACGGTCGCGCAAGAAAGTGTTTAGAAATATTTTATTATAATCAAAAAGCCAGTAGACTTTCGAGCAATCTAACGATTTGCTCGCGACACTAACGCAACTCTGCGGACGTTCCGAGAAAATACGAAATAATGATAAGTAAAACTAAGTCAAGGCTTTCTTCATTTTATTTAAAAATTATTCAACACCCTGATGATTCACGCAGAATTCGCAATGTTTTAGATTAAGTTAGCTCGGATTAATAGCACTATCCAGAATATTGTCGCTGCGGTGATGAACTGAATTGTGTTTATTATACAGTGCACAACAAAAAACTTTAGTATTTTTTTCCCCTTTCACTATATATGTATTCGCTTATAACCTAAGGGACTATTTCAGTTTCTCGCGGTCGGGTAGGTGAACTCACGTGCTCAACCTAAGAGAATTTGCTAACACTAGCCCTAGCAAGAGCAGTGCTTCGCGGAATCTACCACCGCATCGAAATCTCGACCCACTGAGAAGAACTTAAAAATTAGTCAATAAAACTGATTGCGAATTTAAACCGAAATTATCGCGTATTGAAAAAACCGACGTAGAGTCCGGTGTTCGCTATTGAAACCGGTTCTTTCACACTCTGTCATTAGTAAAAAGTATTTTTTGAAAGCGAAAATAAATAAAACAATTCAGTTTTTTACTCAACAGTACTGCGTCACGTTAACATCCTGCGCTCTCCCTGCTCTATCGTAAATAAACATAGCTTATTGCCACATTCAATCTAAACAGGCAGGAATTTTACTTTGACTCACCGATTGTCCCGTTCACTCATTAATTTATGACATTTATCGTCTATCACTAATCAGTGTTGTGTTTATTTATGAACTCAAATGAACTTTCGTGTATGAATAAATTTAAATTTGTTTTTTTTTTAGAGCTTAGATGGGTGTCGGGATGGACGAGCTCACAGCCCACCTGGTGTTAAGTAGTTACTGGAGCCCATGGACATATACAACGTAAATGCGCCACCCACCTTGAGACATAAGTTCTAAGGTCTCAGTACAGTTACAAACGGCTGCCCTGCCCTTCAAACCGAAACGCATTACTGCTTCACGTCAGAAATAGGCAGGGTGGTGGCACCTACCCGCGCGGACTCACAAGAGGTCCTACCACCAGTAAATTCGATTGTAAGTCGCAACGAAGTCAATGGTACAATAATTGTTTCTGGCTTGGTGATGAGTTTTTAAACTTTTGAGCTATGCGGTTCGCGTTAAGTTGTCGCAGAGATCGGTGGAGCGTTTGAATCAATTCTTACGAGCTCACAATCGGGTCTGTGTGCTTAGTGCGAGTTTTTTAACGTTTTCGTTGGCGTAAAAGTTAGCTCATATTTGTATGGAATGGGATGGTTTGCGTACGTTTGCCGCTAGGCGCGCTGTTCCAACTGCATACAAAATTGGCTTAACTTTTACGTTATCGAGAACGTTAAGAAATTCGCACTAAGCACACTGCTCTATAAATCTCTTGCAGGTTCAATATGCCCTATCACCTATAATATCCGGATTTCTATTCGATGAACACGATATTTGTATGGAATGGGATCGTTTGCGTACGTTTGCCGCTAGGGGCGCTGTTCCAACTGCATACAAAATTGGGTTAACTTTTACGTTATCGAGAACGTTAAGAAACTCGCACTAAGCACCCTGCTCTATAAATCTCTTGCTGGTTCAATATGCCCTATCACCTATAATATCCGGATTTCTATTCGATGAACACGATATCCGTTTCCTAAAACATCGAGCCGTAGCAACAACGAAGCGGATGGTGACAAGCCCGTTCTGATGTCAACGTTCCACATTTATCGATCGCCATCAATACAGGCCGTTACCTCGTCTGCTTATCTTCACCTACAACGAGAACTGTCTCATTTTGGTTAATCATTCCGATTAAATATTAAATTCGAAATCACGCACGTAGGTAGGTAGGTACACTATAAAATTTATTTCATGTTTTTAGTATTCGTAAATACAGGAGGTGTCTTTCCTGTATACTTTTGACTAGAAAGAGTAAAGAGGACCGATCGTGCTAATCTTATAGGACACTGAAAAGATCGCGGCATTTGCTAGTCCTCGAACGCAAAGATTAGGTGACAGTTGCGCGTTATTGTTAAAATTTATTTTCTATTTTTTAGTTCGATTTTCTATAAAAGCGTATTTTTTTAGTTTTTTAAACTATTATTTTTCATTTTTTAGTTGAATTTCAATTTTTTAATTTTTTTTTAAATATTGAATTGTCATCGGTCCTTAATAAGTATACCAAATTTCGAGTTAATCCGACGTTTTGAATGGGGTCAAAATCATGTTCAAAGATTCCGTTACAAACATACATACTGTTACAAATATACCACTGGTGGTAGGACCTCTTGTGAGTCCGCGCGGGTAGGTACCACCACCCTGCCTGTTTCTGCCGTGAAGCAGTAATACGTTTCGGTTTGAAGGGTGGGGCAGCCGTTGTAACTATACTTGAGACCTTAGAACTTATATCTCAAGGTGGGTGGCGCATTTACGTCATAGATGTCTATGGGCTCCAGTAACTTAACACCAGGTGGTCTGTGAGCTCGTCCACCCATCCAAGCAATAAAAAAATAAAAAAAACATACGTCTGAAGGTAATAAAAGCGTATTAAAAACAAAACAATTTCCCTTTCGAAGACAATATATATATTTGCATTCATGTTTAATCATAAAAGTGTTGATTTAATTGAAACTTACAAGCAGCAGTACCGCACAAGGCTTGCGTGTCCACTTTTAATTCTCTCAAGCGTGAACATAGAAAATATGTGGATAGCATTAGTGTCGTGACACGAAATTACGGATAATGTTTTTATGTCCACTCAATTGTGGTGAGTCGCCGTCTCATCTCTACCAAAGTGACGCAGATCTGAGACTAGGCGCGTTCCTCGTGGATTCAGTGAAAGTCGTAAGAACTTTTTTTTATGATCGAGTGTTTACTGGTGGCCCGGAGGCCTTTCCAGTTTCACCAGGACAGGTGGGCGAGCAAAGGCTCAGCCAGGAGGGGTGGGATTTGCTAACAGCTGCCCGAGCGCAAGTCGTAAGAACGCAGCGTGGTGTTTAAAAGTAAATATTCGACAAGTTAAAGTAAACGATTGGCATTCCTTAAAGTTATAGACGATGTTTTGGGCCAAATTGTGAATGGTTTTTGGAGCGCGCTTATGTTAGCCCACTGAGTTTCTTGCCGGATCTTCTCGCGATTCCGATCCTGTGGTAGATTCTGCGAAGCTCTTGCTAGGGCTAGTGTTAGGAAATTCTCTCAGGTTGAACCCGTGAGCCGAACTACCTGTCTGCGCTTAGCTGGAATAGGCTCTTAGGCTACCAGGCTATTGGTAGAGAAAAAAAGCGATAATGCCGCGCAATTTTACTGAAATGGCGCCTGCGTCACGCGTCATCCGCCTGTCAGCGTTCTCGATTGTTCGATTCACCTGTCACTAAGATTTAGGAGAGGTTTTCGACAAAAACAGGAAACGCATAGTATAGTAATCTTTCTCTCTCTCTCTTTCTTCCCAGCTATTTATCCCACATGGTGGTGGGGTCAGCTTTCCTCACTTTACCCCTCCACTTCGCTCTGTCTTC